TATAAAAAGCATGTAAAATAGAGGTATATCACACACCCTGTTTTCTTACATTCACGTTAAACCCATTTTTTATTGTAATCAACATAATATGAACTTTGATTAATCTTTTCATCCTCACCTATGTTTTAGTTGTCGGTTGTCAAGAGTAACAGCCAAAGCATTTCAGATGATGGCTCAACCCCATCACCGAAGCGTGATTTTGAATCAATGCATGGTGTCCCAGCCGGATCTTCCACTTCGAAGAAGCATTGCCCCAAGCAACTTCCTACAGAGGCCAGTAGAGAGCTGGTCAATCCGGATGGACTAATTAGCCAGCATCCTGAAGCAAATAAAAGCGAAGCTAAGCTCCACCAACTCACCGAGAATTGACGTTAAGCGTAGCATGCAGAAGAGTCTCCAATAATTAATTGTTTTCAATAAGGATCGAGCTTATGTTCTCCATGTGTTTTTATTTTGCTAGACACTTGGTTTTCTATTTATTTCATATCTTTTTCTGGCAACTTTTTAAAATAATGGAGTTCTTTGTTTTACATTGTCTTCCTTAACTATATTTTTCTAGATCAACTATCAATACACAAATACAACATGGAGAATTTTCCAATGAGTAGGATACGTACATAATAGATGCCAAGTACATGCTCTGAAACGTCATATACTAAATTAACCGCAGTTATTGGATTACCTTTAAGTAATGTGATCTACAAATGTTCAAGATGTTTTAACCTTTATATATTCATAAACCTAGAAAAATATAACGCAAAATTTATTGGAAATAATGTGATCTATACTCTGTAAATAATGTGAGGGTGTCAATAGACATGTTTTTGCAAAAGATGACACTCTCTAATTATATAACCAAATTATATTTCTATATAAAAATACAAGGAATTGGACGATTAATTATTCTGTTTAAGATTTGTATTTTGTAAAAGTTAGTTCTTTATATAGGTGGGAATGTTTATATATTTGAAAAGTTTGGTGAAACCGGGAATCTCAATTGTTATATTTTAAGCTTGAGTGACAAGTTTAATAAGAACACTAAACCTCCAGTCACGAGGAAGAGGAAATTGACCTCAAGTAACAATGAAAATGTAGATCCAAACTCAGAACCGGTAACATGCACCCATCTCCTTTTTTTATTTTATTGTCTAATTGATGAAGTAGAATCATGATGAGGATTTGGTTTCCATGGTCAGGTGAAAATGAGTCAAGGTTACAGAACTTACAAAAGAGGAAGAGACAACGTGGAAGGAGAGTACTGCAGGATATCTCACCAGATGACGATGATGTTTTTGGAGGATTTTCGGATGATAACCTGGACCTGGTCGACCGTGATGCGATGATCTCGGTCGATCGTGGTCCATTGCCTCCCGGGTCGGACGGTGCGGTCGTGCGGCCGGATCGGTCCTGGAGAAGGCCGAGCGAAGCCAATACCCTTCCTGTCCGGCCGAGTGCGTTCGGCCGGCTGTGGACCAGTCTTCAGTACAAACGTGATATCTCCTAAACGGCTTATCCAAATTGCATACTTACAACGGCATTAGAACAATAACTCATCTGGCTATCTTGGTGTTGAGTTTCATTGAAATCCATTGAGTTTAAGGGTCTAATCCGCTGCTGCTCGTCTGATGTACTGATGCAGTCCGATAAATCTCCTCGGTATATGTCTCAGGGAAATAGAGATATCTCCCAATCTACTCGGTAAAATTGATTGATTTCAGTTGCATTGCAAAGCTAACTCCTGTATTCATCTCCTCGAACTCGATTTGATGAATTCCATTGAGTAGATAGTTTTTAAGGCCCTTCTTAAGTTGATGCTACCTCCTGGAGCGGTCTTGAAGTCCAAATCATGTGTTTTGCTCCAAAATGCATCTTTTGACCTGTTTAGACTCTAAGTACTATAAATCCATAAAAACTACCTTTTTAGATCAGAGAGCCATTAAAAAGCTTATGAAAAGCATAGTAAAACCATATAAAAAGCATGTAAAATAGAGGTATATCACACACCCTGTTTTCTTACATTCACGTTAAACCCATTTTTTATTGTAATCAACATAATATGAACTTTGATTAATCTTTTCATCCTCACCTATGTTTTAGTTGTCGGTTGTCAAGAGTAACAGCCAAAGCATTTCAGATGATGGCTCAACCCCATCACCGAAGCGTGATTTTGAATCAATGCATGGTGTCCCAGCCGGATCTTCCACTTCGAAGAAGCATTGCCCCAAGCAACTTCCTACAGAGGCCAGTAGAGAGCTGGTCAATCCGGATGGACTAATTAGCCAGCATCCTGAAGCAAATAAAAGCGAAGCTAAGCTCCACCAACTCACCGAGAATTGACGTTAAGCGTAGCATGCAGAAGAGTCTCCAATAATTAATTGTTTTCAATAAGGATCGAGCTTATGTTCTCCATGTGTTTTTATTTTGCTAGACACTTGGTTTTCTATTTATTTCATATCTTTTTCTGGCAACTTTTTAAAATAATGGAGTTCTTTGTTTTACATTGTCTTCCTTAACTATATTTTTCTAGATCAACTATCAATACACAAATACAACATGGAGAATTTTCCAATGAGTAGGATACGTACATAATAGATGCCAAGTACATGCTCTGAAACGTCATATACTAAATTAACCGCAGTTATTGGATTACCTTTAAGTAATGTGATCTACAAATGTTCAAGATGTTTTAACCTTTATATATTCATAAACCTAGAAAAATATAACGCAAAATTTATTGGAAATAATGTGATCTATACTCTGTAAATAATGTGAGGGTGTCAATAGACATGTTTTTGCAAAAGATGACACTCTCTAATTATATAACCAAATTATATTTCTATAAAAATACAAGGAATTGGACGATTAATTATTCTGTTTAAGATTTGTATTTTGTAAAAGTTAGTTCTTTATATAGGTGGGAATGTTTATATATTTGAAAAGTTTGGTGAAACCGGGAATCTCAATTGTTATATTTTAAGCTTGAGTGACAAGTTTAATAAGAACACTAAACCTCCAGTCACGAGGAAGAGGAAATTGACCTCAAGTAACAATGAAAATGTAGATCCAAACTCAGAACCGGTAACATGCACCCATCTCCTTTTTTTATTTTATTGTCTAATTGATGAAGTAGAATCATGATGAGGATTTGGTTTCCATGGTCAGGTGAAAATGAGTCAAGGTTACAGAACTTACAAAAGAGGAAGAGACAACGTGGAAGGAGAGTACTGCAGGATATCTCACCAGATGACGATGATGTTTTTGGAGGATTTTCGGATGATAACCTGGATTTTCGGTCTGGTCGACCGTGATGCGATGATCTCGGTCGATCGTGGTCCATTGCCTCCCGGGTCGGACGGTGCGGTCGTGCGGCCGGATCGGTCCTGGAGAAGGCCGAGCGAAGCCAATACCCTTCCTGTCCGGCCGAGTGCGTTCGGCCGGCTGTGGACCAGTCTTCAGTACAAACGTGATATCTCCTAAACGGCTTATCCAAATTGCATACTTACAACGGCATTAGAACAATAACTCATCTGGCTATCTTGGTGTTGAGTTTCATTGAAATCCATTGAGTTTAAGGGTCTAATCCGCTGCTGCTCGTCTGATGTACTGATGCAGTCCGATAAATCTCCTCGGTATATGTCTCAGGGAAATAGAGATATCTCCCAATCTACTCGGTAAAATTGATTGATTTCAGTTGCATTGCAAAGCTAACTCCTGTATTCATCTCCTCGAACTGGATTTGATGAATTCCATTGAGTAGATAGTTTTTAAGGCCCTTCTTAAGTTGATGCTACCTCCTGGAGCGGTCTTGAAGTCCAAATCATGTGTTTTGCTCCAAAATGCATCTTTTGACCTGTTTAGACTCTAAGTACTATAAATCCATAAAAACTACCTTTTTAGATCAGAGAGCCATTAAAAAGCTTATGAAAAGCATAGTAAAACCATATAAAAAGCATGTAAAATAGAGGTATATCACACACCCTGTTTTCTTACATTCACGTTAAACCCATTTTTTATTGTAATCAACATAATATGAACTTTGATTAATCTTTTCATCCTCACCTATGTTTTAGTTGTCGGTTGTCAAGAGTAACAGCCAAAGCATTTCAGATGATGGCTCAACCCCATCACCGAAGCGTGATTTTGAATCAATGCATGGTGTCCCAGCCGGATCTTCCACTTCGAAGAAGCATTGCCCCAAGCAACTTCCTACAGAGGCCAGTAGAGAGCTGGTCAATCCGGATGGACTAATTAGCCAGCATCCTGAAGCAAATAAAAGCGAAGCTAAGCTCCACCAACTCACCGAGAATTGACGTTAAGCGTAGCATGCAGAAGAGTCTCCAATAATTAATTGTTTTCAATAAGGATCGAGCTTATGTTCTCCATGTGTTTTTATTTTGCTAGACACTTGGTTTTCTATTTATTTCATATCTTTTTCTGGCAACTTTTTAAAATAATGGAGTTCTTTGTTTTACATTGTCTTCCTTAACTATATTTTTCTAGATCAACTATCAATACACAAATACAACATGGAGAATTTTCCAATGAGTAGGATACGTACATAATAGATGCCAAGTACATGCTCTGAAACGTCATATACTAAATTAACCGCAGTTATTGGATTACCTTTAAGTAATGTGATCTACAAATGTTCAAGATGTTTTAACCTTTATATATTCATAAACCTAGAAAAATATAACGCAAAATTTATTGGAAATAATGTGATCTATACTCTGTAAATAATGTGAGGGTGTCAATAGACATGTTTTTGCAAAAGATGACACTCTCTAATTATATAACCAAATTATATTTCTATAAAAATACAAGGAATTGGACGATTAATTATTCTGTTTAAGATTTGTATTTTGTAAAAGTTAGTTCTTTATATAGGTGGGAATGTTTATATATTTGAAAAGTTTGGTGAAACCGGGAATCTCAATTGTTATATTTTAAGCTTGAGTGACAAGTTTAATAAGAACACTAAACCTCCAGTCACGAGGAAGAGGAAATTGACCTCAAGTAACAATGAAAATGTAGATCCAAACTCAGAACCGGTAACATGCACCCATCTCCTTTTTTTATTTTATTGTCTAATTGATGAAGTAGAATCATGATGAGGATTTGGTTTCCATGGTCAGGTGAAAATGAGTCAAGGTTACAGAACTTACAAAAGAGGAAGAGACAACGTGGAAGGAGAGTACTGCAGGATATCTCACCAGATGACGATGATGTTTTTGGAGGATTTTCGGATGATAACCTGGATTTTCGGTCTGGTCGACCGTGATGCGATGATCTCGGTCGATCGTGGTCCATTGCCTCCCGGGTCGGACGGTGCGGTCGTGCGGCCGGATCGGTCCTGGAGAAGGCCGAGCGAAGCCAATACCCTTCCTGTCCGGCCGAGTGCGTTCGGCCGGCTGTGGACCAGTCTTCAGTACAAACGTGATATCTCCTAAACGGCTTATCCAAATTGCATACTTACAACGGCATTAGAACAATAACTCATCTGGCTATCTTGGTGTTGAGTTTCATTGAAATCCATTGAGTTTAAGGGTCTAATCCGCTGCTGCTCGTCTGATGTACTGATGCAGTCCGATAAATCTCCTCGGTATATGTCTCAGGGAAATAGAGATATCTCCCAATCTACTCGGTAAAATTGATTGATTTCAGTTGCATTGCAAAGCTAACTCCTGTATTCATCTCCTCGAACTCGATTTGATGAATTCCATTGAGTAGATAGTTTTTAAGGCCCTTCTTAAGTTGATGCTACCTCCTGGAGCGGTCTTGAAGTCCAAATCATGTGTTTTGCTCCAAAATGCATCTTTTGACCTGTTTAGACTCTAAGTACTATAAATCCATAAAAACTACCTTTTTAGATCAGAGAGCCATTAAAAAGCTTATGAAAAGCATAGTAAAACCATATAAAAAGCATGTAAAATAGAGGTATATCACACACCCTGTTTTCTTACATTCACGTTAAACCCATTTTTTATTGTAATCAACATAATATGAACTTTGATTAATCTTTTCATCCTCACCTATGTTTTAGTTGTCGGTTGTCAAGAGTAACAGCCAAAGCATTTCAGATGATGGCTCAACCCCATCACCGAAGCGTGATTTTGAATCAATGCATGGTGTCCCAGCCGGATCTTCCACTTCGAAGAAGCATTGCCCCAAGCAACTTCCTACAGAGGCCAGTAGAGAGCTGGTCAATCCGGATGGACTAATTAGCCAGCATCCTGAAGCAAATAAAAGGGAAGCTAAGCTCCACCAACTCACCGAGAATTGACGTTAAGCGTAGCATGCAGAAGAGTCTCCAATAATTAATTGTTTTCAATAAGGATCGAGCTTATGTTCTCCATGTGTTTTTATTTTGCTAGACACTTGGTTTTCTATTTATTTCATATCTTTTTCTGGCAACTTTTTAAAATAATGGAGTTCTTTGTTTTACATTGTCTTCCTTAACTATATTTTTCTAGATCAACTATCAATACACAAATACAACATGGAGAATTTTCCAATGAGTAGGATACGTACATAATAGATGCCAAGTACATGCTCTGAAACGTCATATACTAAATTAACCGCAGTTATTGGATTACCTTTAAGTAATGTGATCTACAAATGTTCAAGATGTTTTAACCTTTATATATTCATAAACCTAGAAAAATATAACGCAAAATTTATTGGAAATAATGTGATCTATACTCTGTAAATAATGTGAGGGTGTCAATAGACATGTTTTTGCAAAAGATGACACTCTCTAATTATATAACCAAATTATATTTCTATAAAAATACAAGGAATTGGACGATTAATTATTCTGTTTAAGATTTGTATTTTGTAAAAGTTAGTTCTTTATATAGGTGGGAATGTTTATATATTTGAAAAGTTTGGTGAAACCGGGAATCTCAATTGTTATATTTTAAGCTTGAGTGACAAGTTTAATAAGAACACTAAACCTCCAGTCACGAGGAAGAGGAAATTGACCTCAAGTAACAATGAAAATGTAGATCCAAACTCAGAACCGGTAACATGCACCCATCTCCTTTTTTTATTTTATTGTCTAATTGATGAAGTAGAATCATGATGAGGATTTGGTTTCCATGGTCAGGTGAAAATGAGTCAAGGTTACAGAACTTACAAAAGAGGAAGAGACAACGTGGAAGGAGAGTACTGCAGGATATCTCACCAGATGACGATGATGTTTTTGGAGGATTTTCGGATGATAACCTGGATTTTCGGTCTGGTCGACCGTGATGCGATGATCTCGGTCGATCGTGGTCCATTGCCTCCCGGGTCGGACGGTGCGGTCGTGCGGCCGGATCGGTCCTGGAGAAGGCCGAGCGAAGCCAATACCCTTCCTGTCCGGCCGAGTGCGTTCGGCCGGCTGTGGACCAGTCTTCAGTACAAACGTGATATCTCCTAAACGGCTTATCCAAATTGCATACTTACAACGGCATTAGAACAATAACTCATCTGGCTATCTTGGTGTTGAGTTTCATTGAAATCCATTGAGTTTAAGGGTCTAATCCGCTGCTGCTCGTCTGATGTACTGATGCAGTCCGATAAATCTCCTCGGTATATGTCTCAGGGAAATAGAGATATCTCCCAATCTACTCGGTAAAATTGATTGATTTCAGTTGCATTGCAAAGCTAACTCCTGTATTCATCTCCTCGAACTCGATTTGATGAATTCCATTGAGTAGATAGTTTTTAAGGCCCTTCTTAAGTTGATGCTACCTCCTGGAGCGGTCTTGAAGTCCAAATCATGTGTTTTGCTCCAAAATGCATCTTTTGACCTGTTTAGACTCTAAGTACTATAAATCCATAAAAACTACCTTTTTAGATCAGAGAGCCATTAAAAAGCTTATGAAAAGCATAGTAAAACCATATAAAAAGCATGTAAAATAGAGGTATATCACACACCCTGTTTTCTTACATTCACGTTAAACCCATTTTTTATTGTAATCAACATAATATGAACTTTGATTAATCTTTTCATCCTCACCTATGTTTTAGTTGTCGGTTGTCAAGAGTAACAGCCAAAGCATTTCAGATGATGGCTCAACCCCATCACCGAAGCGTGATTTTGAATCAATGCATGGTGTCCCAGCCGGATCTTCCACTTCGAAGAAGCATTGCCCCAAGCAACTTCCTACAGAGGCCAGTAGAGAGCTGGTCAATCCGGATGGACTAATTAGCCAGCATCCTGAAGCAAATAAAAGGCGAAGCTAAGCTCCACCAACTCACCGAGAATTGACGTTAAGCGTAGCATGCAGAAGAGTCTCCAATAATTAATTGTTTTCAATAAGGATCGAGCTTATGTTCTCCATGTGTTTTTATTTTGCTAGACACTTGGTTTTCTATTTATTTCATATCTTTTTCTGGCAACTTTTTAAAATAATGGAGTTCTTTGTTTTACATTGTCTTCCTTAACTATATTTTTCTAGATCAACTATCAATACACAAATACAACATGGAGAATTTTCCAATGAGTAGGATACGTACATAATAGATGCCAAGTACATGCTCTGAAACGTCATATACTAAATTAACCGCAGTTATTGGATTACCTTTAAGTAATGTGATCTACAAATGTTCAAGATGTTTTAACCTTTATATATTCATAAACCTAGAAAAATATAACGCAAAATTTATTGGAAATAATGTGATCTATACTCTGTAAATAATGTGAGGGTGTCAATAGACATGTTTTTGCAAAAGATGACACTCTCTAATTATATAACCAAATTATATTTCTATAAAAATACAAGGAATTGGACGATTAATTATTCTGTTTAAGATTTGTATTTTGTAAAAGTTAGTTCTTTATATAGGTGGGAATGTTTATATATTTGAAAAGTTTGGTGAAACCGGGAATCTCAATTGTTATATTTTAAGCTTGAGTGACAAGTTTAATAAGAACACTAAACCTCCAGTCACGAGGAAGAGGAAATTGACCTCAAGTAACAATGAAAATGTAGATCCAAACTCAGAACCGGTAACATGCACCCATCTCCTTTTTTTATTTTATTGTCTAATTGATGAAGTAGAATCATGATGAGGATTTGGTTTCCATGGTCAGGTGAAAATGAGTCAAGGTTACAGAACTTACAAAAGAGGAAGAGACAACGTGGAAGGAGAGTACTGCAGGATATCTCACCAGATGACGATGATGTTTTTGGAGGATTTTCGGATGATAACCTGGATTTTCGGTCTGGTCGACCGTGATGCGATGATCTCGGTCGATCGTGGTCCATTGCCTCCCGGGTCGGACGGTGCGGTCGTGCGGCCGGATCGGTCCTGGAGAAGGCCGAGCGAAGCCAATACCCTTCCTGTCCGGCCGAGTGCGTTCGGCCGGCTGTGGACCAGTCTTCAGTACAAACGTGATATCTCCTAAACGGCTTATCCAAATTGCATACTTACAACGGCATTAGAACAATAACTCATCTGGCTATCTTGGTGTTGAGTTTCATTGAAATCCATTGAGTTTAAGGGTCTAATCCGCTGCTGCTCGTCTGATGTACTGATGCAGTCCGATAAATCTCCTCGGTATATGTCTCAGGGAAATAGAGATATCTCCCAATCTACTCGGTAAAATTGATTGATTTCAGTTGCATTGCAAAGCTAACTCCTGTATTCATCTCCTCGAACTCGATTTGATGAATTCCATTGAGTAGATAGTTTTTAAGGCCCTTCTTAAGTTGATGCTACCTCCTGGAGCGGTCTTGAAGTCCAAATCATGTGTTTTGCTCCAAAATGCATCTTTTGACCTGTTTAGACTCTAAGTACTATAAATCCATAAAAACTACCTTTTTAGATCAGAGAGCCATTAAAAAGCTTATGAAAAGCATAGTAAAACCATATAAAAAGCATGTAAAATAGAGGTATATCACACACCCTGTTTTCTTACATTCACGTTAAACCCATTTTTTATTGTAATCAACATAATATGAACTTTGATTAATCTTTTCATCCTCACCTATGTTTTAGTTGTCGGTTGTCAAGAGTAACAGCCAAAGCATTTCAGATGATGGCTCAACCCCATCACCGAAGCGTGATTTTGAATCAATGCATGGTGTCCCAGCCGGATCTTCCACTTCGAAGAAGCATTGCCCCAAGCAACTTCCTACAGAGGCCAGTAGAGAGCTGGTCAATCCGGATGGACTAATTAGCCAGCATCCTGAAGCAAATAAAAGGGAAGCTAAGCTCCACCAACTCACCGAGAATTGACGTTAAGCGTAGCATGCAGAAGAGTCTCCAATAATTAATTGTTTTCAATAAGGATCGAGCTTATGTTCTCCATGTGTTTTTATTTTGCTAGACACTTGGTTTTCTATTTATTTCATATCTTTTTCTGGCAACTTTTTAAAATAATGGAGTTCTTTGTTTTACATAGTCTTCCTTAACTATATTTTTCTAGATCAACTACGTCCTGGAGCGGTCTTGAAGTCCAAATCATGTGTTTTGCTCCAAAATGCATCTTTTCACCTGTTTAGACTCTAGTACTATAAATCAGAAAAACTACCTTTTTAGATCAGAAAACCATTAAAAACCATTAGAAAACATAGTAAAACATATAAAAAGCATGTAAAATAGAGGTATATCAACTCCCCCAGACTTAGATCTTTGCTTGTCCCCAAGCAAAAGAATCTAAATCCGTGAAGAGGTTTGAAAAACGTGGGAACTCCCTTGCTTCTTTGAAAATCCTGTGAAAGGTTCCTTTCCTGTATTCCACTAAGAACATAGTCAACATAAGGTTAGCTTCACATACACCCTGCAAGTTTAGCGAACAATACCAACCCAACTAGTCTCATCCAGCAATCCAAACTCTCTATTGCTAACCTCTTGCATAAATTTAAAGCGTGAGTTCTTTATCAAGGGAACATCGATCAATTGAACTTGTTCTTACCCACTTGATCTTCTCCAAGATTGTCTTTGAAGTGCAATGAGTTCTTTTCCTCTCTCTTTCTCACATCAGAACTTTGAAAGGTCAATTTCTCCCTACTTTTCTAGGGTATCATTTTATTTTTTCTATTGACCTTCTTTCAACCACAGGATAAGTCTTTAGCTTGTTCCTTGTTTGACTAAGGTATTCCATAAGACATGAAGGTACAGACATATGCATTCCTCATGCTTACTTGTTTTCCTTGTGCTCTTTGAGCTTTTCTCATAAACATTACTTACCATTTGGGATGGGAGAGAGAGGAGAACTCTTTAGACAAATCTCATTGAAAATCAAGCAAGGAACTGTCGACATGTATGCCAATCCCCTTGACAAGAGTATTAAGATTGATTAAGGGTGAGGTTAACTCTAGATTGCTTGGTTACCTTAGAAATTTCGCTGAGCTAGCATGCGATCCACTGTAAGAGCTTCTGTTAGGCTTGTGCCTTCAGCTGATGTCTGCTCTAGGGTCATAGATTGTTAGCATAACACTATCAAATCTCAAAGCAAGTTCATAGTTTCCGGACTGGTTTTGACTCAATAAAACAAAGTTTTGAAAAAGGTGGAAAAGAGAATAAGATATAAGATAAGACAAGGCATGAACAAACACATTAGTACCAACAATCCCCCCAGACTTAACTTGCACCGTCCCGGTGAAAGAAAATCCGATTAAGGGAGGAAAAAGAAAGAGGTAATAAGTGGTTTGTGAATGAGAAGAAAGATATAACCTGATTAGACATTAAGTCCATGAAGAAACGACCCATTGGTGAGATGTGGATGTCCATCTCCTTTGATAGGTTGAGATAAGCCTTAGGTCATCAAGATCAGGGCCGGGTTGGTGAATGGGACACTTCCTCATGTTATATTGGTCGGTGAGTTTTGAATTTCAGGGCCTGGTTGACTCCGGTTTGCGTTTTGGCCGAGATGGTCCATTTCGGTCGTCCGAAAGGGTATGCTATGAACTACAGAACAAACCATGAAGAATTCCTCGACCCATATTGAAATTGAATCGACCAACCTGATAGTTTCTGCCCACTGATGAAGTTTGAGATCATTAGAACGAGCGATGTGAGAGATCCTTCACAAAGTGGTCCAATCGGCTCCATGGAGAGGTTTCTTGGCCATCCTTGAGATTGACTCGTTCGTTTTGTACTCTTTCTTTGGAAGTGTGTTAATGAAGCTCCATGAAGTGTTTTCCAGCCAGTGGGCACGCCTATGCCGTGATTTGGTTTTGTCGGCCATTTTCTAGACGTAGATCGGCCGGATGTGGCTCCTTGGTCTATCTCCTGAACCGTGAACATTTCACCGTCCTATCTTTTGGATTTGCTGACCAAAATATGATTTTAAGGCCGCCTGTGAAGTTTGGTGGACTGTGGACACACGGTTTGGGAGGTGGCCGATGATTGCTCCTTTCTTCATTTTTCTAGGTTTCTTCTCAAATTTCATGCTAGATTCTCAAATCTCTGTATTCAAAACTTCAAAAACAAAACAAAAACATTAAACTAAAACAAAAAGTAAAAAGGGAAAAGAAAACACCTTATGGGTTGCCTCCCATACAGCGCTTGTTTAATGTCATTAGCTTGACGTTATGGCTCTTCTTAGGCGAGTGGGGCATCGACTAAAGGAACTGTTTCTCTCTCATCCTCATCAATGTCTGCGAGATATGGCTTGAGTCTTTGTCCATTAACAGTGAAATCACCTCCAGAACGGTTCCATAGTACAACAGCGCCATATGGTTTCACTTCTTTTATCTTAAAAGGTCCGGACCATCGCGATCTAAGCTTACCGGGAAAGAGTTTCAGGCGTGAGTTGAAAAGGAGAACCTGGTCATTGGGAGAGAACGTCTTGGGGACTATCTTCTTGTCATGATATGCTTTTGTTCTTTCCTTGTAGATCCTAGAATTCTCATAGGCATTATGACGAATTTCATCCAACTCATTCAACTGAATCAAGCGCCTCTCCTTTGCTGTCTTGATGTCGTAGTTTAGCTTCTTTACTGCCCATTCCGCCTTATACTCAATCTCAACAGGAAGATGGCAAGCTTTCCATAGACAAGGTGAAAAGGAGTTGTTCCAAGTGGGGTTTTGAATGCAGTTCTATATGCCCAAAGAGCATCATCAAGCTTTACTGACCAATCCTTTCTTGTCATTCCCACTGTCTTCTCTAAGATCCTCTTGATTTCTCTGTTAGAAATCTCTACTTGCCCACTTGTCTGAGGGTGATAAGGAGTAGCAACCTTGTGTCTCACTCCATTTTTCTTCAGTAGACTTTCAAAGACCTTGTTGATGAAATGAGATCCTCCATCACTAATCACAACTCTTGGGATACCAAATCTTGGAAAGATGATCGACTTGAATAACTTTATCACCACCTTGGAGTCGTTTGTAGGGCTGGCTATGGCTTCTACCCACTTAGACACATAGTCAACAGCAACAAGGATGTACTTGTTCCCATAAGAAGAAGGAAAAGGACCCATGAAGTCTATTCCCCAAACATCAAAAACTTCCACTTCTTGGATGAAGTTTTGTGGCATCTCATTCCTTTTGCTGATGTTTCCTTGTCTCTGGCAAGCATCACACTTAGAGATGAAGTCATGGGCGTCCTTAAACATGGTGGGCCACCAAAAACCAGCTTGCAAGATCTTAGCAACAGTCTTGTTAGTAGCAAAATGTCCTGCATAGTCAGATCCATGACAAGCAAAGAGAACTCCTGGGACTTCTTCTTCTGGAATACATCTTCTAAACATACCATCAGAACAATGTTTATAAAGATAAGGTTCGTCCCAAAAGTACCTTCTAACATCACGTAAGAATTTCTTCTTCTTGTAGCCAAAGAATTGGGGTGGTGGATGATCAGCAGCAAGATAGTTGGCAATGTATCTAAACCAAGGAGTGTCGGATGGTGCTGGTTTTGGAGGTGCTCTAGGACGTCTCTCAAGGTGGAAAACTTCCTTAGAACTATCTGCATCACACTCTTTAGGCATCACAGTCGAAACCTTGTCTCTTAAGCAACTTTCATGATCAGAGTTCACTGATTTGATAACTTCATAAGATCTTATGTAAAGAGCTTGCTTGGAAACGTTTTGAGGCTTCTCCTTCTCTTCTCCATGGTCTAAACTCAATCTGCTGCCATTCCTAATGGTTATACAATAAGAGCTCTTGGTAGGGACTGCTGGATAAAAGACTCTTTTCTTTACTCTAGAGAAAGAAACTCTTTGGTTTGGATAGTCCACATTAGCTCCAACTGTTGCAAGGAAGGAACTACCAAAAACCAATGGCGTTAGGGGTTCCTCATTCATCTCTAGAATATGAAAATCTGTAGGAACAAGACAACCTCCCACTTGTACCAATATATCTTGAGCAAAGCCATATGGGGTAATAGTAGAGGCGTTTCCAAACTTCAGTGATGTTTGAGAGTCTTTAATGTCAACTATTCCAAGCTCATCTGCTATAAGCTTAGACATAACATTCACATTAGCTCCTGTATCGCAGAGGGAATCAATAAAATCCATACCATTGATTGTGCATGGGAAAACAAATTGCCCTGGATCTTCCATCTTATGCAGCTTTCTTTGATGAGGTCCCTTGTAGATTGGCTCATCATCTTCAGGCCATTCCAATGGGTTTTTGAGGGTTGAATGATCTCTAGGGGCTGGTGAGACCACGTCCTTGTTCTGAGTTGTGATAACTTTGCAAACTCTTGGATTTAACTCAGTCTTACTTGGAAGAAAACCCTCTTGCCTCTTCATACCTTCTGCAGTTTGAGCAACTTGTACCTCAAGCATCTTCACATGATTGGTTAGATCAAAGAGCTTTGCAAATATCTCATCATCTTTTCTGTTGAGATGACCATAGTCGTTCGCCATTTTGAACTCAAGGTTTTCAATCTCTTGGGCGTTTTGCTCTTGTCTTTCCATCATATGTTGTTGATTTTCCATTAGCTGTTGCATCATAGCTTCGAGTCTTTCCTCTCTAGCATCAATGTAGTTGACTTCTCCTTGCTGCTTGTGAGTGTTATCACCATTACACTCCTCTTTATCCTTACCATGAGAAGCTCCCATGTTCTCACATTGGTATGCATCCCTTTGCTGGTTCTTGAGAAATTGAGCAACCATTGATTTCAGCTCAAGGATTTCTGAAAAGTCTGAACTTGGCTTGATGTCCTCCACGTTTTTCTCATAATCCAAGCAAGAATATTTGTTGCTTGCAGCCAAGTTATCAATGAGAGTATTGGCTTGAGCAACTGTATTAGTCATGAAGTCCCCTTGACTTGCGATGTTGAGTGCCATCTTGAATTTCTCATCAACTCCTTGATAGAAGAAGTTTAGCAAAGAAATCTCTTTGCTTCCCGGGTCGCACGGTCTGGTCGGCCGTGATGTGATGATCTCGGTCGATCGTGGTCCATTGCCTCCCGGGTCGGACGGTGCGGTCGTGCGGCCGGATCGGTCCTGGAGAAGGCCGAGCGAAGCCAATACCCTTCCTGTCCGGCCGAGTGCGTTCGGCCGGCTGTGGACCAGTCTTCAGTACAAACGTGATATCTCCTAAACGGCTTATCCAAATTGCATACTTCCAACGGCATTAGAACAATAACTCATCTGGCTATCTTGGTGTTGAGTTTCATTGAAATCCATTGAGTTTAAGGGTCTAAGCCGCTGCTGCTCGTCTGATGTACTGATGCAGTCCGATAAATCTCCTCGGTATATGTCTCAGGGAAATAGAGATATCTCCCAATCTACTCGGTCAAATTGATTGATTTCAGTTGCATTGCAAAGCTAACTCCTGTATTCATCTCCTCGAACTGGATTTGATGAATTCCATTGAGTAGATGTTTTTAAGGCCCTTCTTAAGTTGATGCTACGTCCTGGAGCGGTCTTGAAGTCCAAATCATGTGTTTTGCTCCAAAATGCATCTTTTGACCTGTTTAGACTCTAAGTACTATAAATCCATAAAAACTACCTTTTTAGATCAGAAAGCCATTAAAAACCTTATGAAAAGCATAGTAAAACCATATAAAAAGCATGTAAAATAGAGGTATATCACACACCCTGTTTTCTTACATTCACGTTAAACCCATTTTTTATTGTAATCAACATAATATGAACTTTGATTAATCTTTTCATCCTCACCTATGTTTTAGTTGTCGGTTGTCAAGAGTAACAGCCAAAGCATTTCAGATGATGGCTCAACCCCATCACCGAAGCGTGATTTTGAATCAATGCATGGTGTCCCAGCCGGATCTTCCACTTCGAAGAAGCATTGCCCCAAGCAACTTCCTACAGAGGCCAGTAGAGAGCTGGTCAATCCGGATGGACTAATTAGCCAGCATCCCGAAGCAAATAAAAGCGAAGCTAAGCTCCACCAACTCACCGAGAATTGACGTTAAGCGTAGCATGCAGAAGAGTCTCCAATAATTAATTGTTTTCAATAAGGATCGAGCTTATGTTCTCCATGTGTTTTTATTTTGCTAGACAGTTGGTTTTCTATTTATTTCATTTCTTTTTCTGGCAACTTTTTAAAATAATGGAGTTCTTTGTTTTACATTGTCTTCCTTAACTATATTTTTCTAGATCAACTATCAATACACAAATACAACATGGAGAATTTTCCAATGAGTAGGATACGTACATAATAGATGCCAAGTATATGCTCTGAAACGTCATATACTAAATTAACCGCAGTTATTGGATTACCTTTAAGTAATGTGATCTACAAATGTTCAAGATGTTTTAACCTTTATATATTCATAAACCTAGAAAAATATAACGCAAAATTTATTGGAAATAATGTGATCTATACTCTGTAAATAATGTGAGGGTGTCAATAGACATGTTTTTGCAAAAGATGACACTCTCTAATTATATAACCAAATTATATTTCGATAAAAATACAATTAATTGGACGATTAATTATTCTGTTTAAGATTTGTATTTTGTAAAAGTTAGTTTTTATATAGGTGGGAATGTTTATATATTTGAAAAGTTTGGTGAAACCGGGAATCTCAATTGTTATATTTTAAGCTTGAGTGACAAGTTTAATAAGAACACTAAACCTCCAGTCACGAGGAAGAGGAAATTGACCTCAAGTAACAATGAAAATGTAGATCCAAACTCAGAATCGGTAACATGCACCCATCTCCTTTTTTTATTTTATTGTCTAATTGATGAAGTAGAATCATGATGAGGATTTGGTTTCCATGGTCAGGTGAAAATGAGTCAAGGTACAGAACTTACAAAAGAGGAAGAGACAACGTGGAAGGAGAGTACTGCAGGATATCTCAAACTTGCCAGATGACGATGATGTTTTTGGAGGATTTTCGGATGATAACCTGGATGAAGAACACCACATAACTATCCGGATCTTTTAAACTCTGATGAAGGTGATAATTTATATTATGATTTTTAGACATTGTAAACGTGAGCCTAGATCTGTAACTTATCATGGTGATTTGTATTAACAGACGATGAAGGGGATTACAAACACATTTTCCAATGCAGTAGTCCTGATAGTACAAGACACAGAAGATGGTGATAATGATAAATACCAACCTTCTCCATCACATCTGCAACAAACGCATATCTCCGAACAAGAACCTCCTTCGACCGTACACATAGTTCCAACACTTCCTGAGAGTGTGATTACTCAAGAAACTGTTCAACCTTCTCCAACTCTGAAAAAACGAAAGAGAGTGAGTATGGCAAAAAAGAAAGAAACTGTACCCGATAAGATTGGTAAGCTAAGTAGCAACAACGTGTTATATGTATGATGCAACAGCGAACTTTGTATATAGTAAATCATGATTTGTATGTTCATTATGTTGTGCAGTATACAATGACGAGGGTGACATGACTTACTCGTGCGTGCATTGTGGTGCTAAATTTTGGTATGGAGAACGCCTAAACAGAAGAAGGACGACGGGGGATCCATCATTCAACCTTTGTTGTATGCACGGCCAAGTCAAATTGCCCTTACTAAAGGATCTTCCTGCTCTTATTTTGTGTTCTAAAAATCGGCGATTTAACTCAATAATCGGTCGGAAAAACGGGCATCGGTGGACCACCGTGGGATTAATGAAAATCGGTGGTCTCTTTCGGTCAAACGCACTTGGCCAAAGTCAACGTTTTTTGGGTTAGTAAATTGGGGAAGGAGAGGATCTCCGGAGAAGAGAGAAGAGAGAGATAGAGTTAGAGAGAGAATAATACGCAGGTTTGAAGAAAGAAGAAGAGCAATAGAGCTAATGGGCCCATTTTCTAAGTCAAACTTATCAACAAAACGCAGCGTATCAACATGTTACATTATTTTTGGTTAAAACCAAAAAAATTCCATACTAAATAATTATTTCTGAGATAAATTAAGTTATTATAATTTAGTTTTGGTTTAGACAAGCAGGTTTTGTTTACTTATATAGTTATATATATAAAAATGTTTGAAAATATATAATATATAATTAAAATTTCATCCCCGTTTAATCCCCGCTTAATCCCCGTTTTTTAAAAAAATCCCAAATCCTAACTCGACCGCCCGATTAACGATTACCGATATTTTGAACACAGCTCTTATTATAAAATTGCTGTTTGGGGATGATGAAATGAGCAGGCACTTTCAAACATTTATCAGAATCTAAAACATGTTGTTCTCTATGACGTCTCTCAGAGGTAAAACTGATCGTTCTATCAAGAAAGGAAAGGGTCCAAACATGTTTCAGCTACCAAACCCCGGTGATTATGCAAAATTCTATCAGATGTACATAGTTGATTCTATCAGATGTACATATTTGATTCTATCAGATGTACATAGTTGATCCATCGCACAGCACAACACCTCTTCCTCTTCTCCAACAGTCATGTATGCAGATGTTGTGCAACATCATCATCAACGTTCTCAACAGAACAATGGCAGCGGCTACAATAACAACAACGGTGGTAACTACAACAACAACAACGGTGGTCACTACAACAACAACGGTGGCAACTACAACAACAACGGCAACCGCGGTAGAGGTGGTCGTAACAGAAGAGGTCGTAACAATCGTGGTCGAGGACGAAACTGACCTAATCAATGGAACAACAATCCATACCCTCAACCTCCGTGGTCTTACAATCAACCTTCGTGGATGTACTAAACCTCGTACAATGCACCACCTCCACTATCGCCTTACCACTATCCTGCTCCGACTTCCTACGGCGGCTACTCTCTGCCGCCTCCGAACGGTCTTCTCGGTCAAACACCACATCGTTGGAGTGAAGTTCACTATCTTCACACATCTCCTGCTGCGCCATCTACTGGTTCCTCGGCTTCATATGCACAGTCCGTACAATCCGGTATATTCAATGCTTTCAGTAACATGACTCTTCAGAATGCAACAGACAACGCTTATGGTACATGGACACCGGAGCCACCAATCACATCGCGACTCAGCCAGGTACGCTACGTTCCCTTTTTAATGAGAATACTATTTCGTCTGTCACCGTTGGAAATGGATCTTTTGCTCCCGTCACCCACACTGGCCAAACAACCTTCCTTACAACCCAAAAACCTCTCCACCTCTGCAATGTTCTTGTTTGTCCGGCTATTATCAAAAATCTAATATCAGTTCGACAGTTTGCCACAGATAACATGTGTTCTATTGAGTTTGATCCATTTGGTTTTTGTGTCAATGATCTTCGAACCAAGAAGTAGCTTCTCCAATGTGACAGCACCGGTCCTCTATACACTCTCACATCACCCGCATCCTCTCCGCAAGCTCTTACTGTCTCTGCATCTACCGGAACACTTTGGCATCGCCGTCTTGGCCATCCGGGAATCTCTTCTCTCTCTTCTCTTGCATCTTCTGGTTTTATTTCTCTTTCAAAGAGCGACATGTCAAAGTTGTGTCATGCGTGTCAGTTAGGCAAACACGTTCGTCTTCCTTTTTCTTCTTCAACTTCTTTTATTTCTACACCATTTGAGGTTGTTCACTCTGACTTATGGACCTCCCCTATTCCAAGTTTTAGTGGCATCAAATATCATCTTATTTTTCTTGATGATTTCAGTCATTTTCTTTGGGTTTATCCAATCCGCATAAAGAGTGATGTGTTTAGCCGGTTTCTTCACTTTGAAGCCTATGTTCGCAGATCCTTTAAAAGTGAGATTGGATATCTTCAATGTGATAATGGCCGTGAATTCGACAATAAGCAATTCCGAGACCACTTTGCTGCCACCGGTACGAGTTTTCGTTTCTCTTGCCCATATACTTCTCAACAAAATGGGAAAGCTGAACGAATGTTGCGATCTTTAAACAATTCGCACCTTGCTGTTTCAAACTCATTTGCCGCTTGCTTATTGGGTCGAGGCGCTTCATATGGCTGCTCATCTTCTCAATCTTCTTCCTTCAAGTGCCATCAACAACGAAACCCCTTTTCAAAGACTATTTCACCAACCACCATGCTACGATCACCTCCGTGTTTTCGGTTCTCTATGTTACCCCAATTTGTTACCAACAACACCACATAAGCTTGCGGCTCGCTCCACACGTTGTGTCTTCTTGGGTTACCCATCTGACCATAGAGGCTATCGATGTCTTGACCTCACAACCAAGAAGATCATTCTCTCTAGACATGTTATCTTTGACGAAAACATTTTTCCCTTTGAATCTCTTTCAGGTTCACCACCGTAGCCTTCCATACCCATACTCTTGCCTCCGATCATAAAACCATCATATCCACCACCATCTACAACACCAACCTCTCCAAACTTACCACCATCTTCCACACCATCAAATGTCCCACCTGCACCACCTCAACCTTCCCATCCTATGATCACTCGTAGCAAGCTTGGTATTACCAAACCTCACCAATGTTTGTGCCTCCATACCACTACCGTTTCTCCTCTCCCAAAATCCCACATTGAGGCAGCAAAAGATCCCAATTGGAATCCTGCAATGGGAGACGAATATAGTGCTCTTATTAATATGGGGACGTGGTCACTTGTACCACGGCCCAAGTCTGCTAAAGTGGTTTGTTCTCTTTGGAATTACAGGCACAAATTTGACGCTGGCGGAAAACTTGCTCGTCACAAAGCTCGACTCTTAGCAAATGGAAAATCTCAACAATCTGGAGTCGATTGTGATGACAGGTTCAGCCCTGTGGTCAAACCCGGCACCATCCATGCGGTGCTTGATGTCGCCACTGCAAAGAACTGGCCTCTTCGCCAACTCGACGTAAAAAACACATTTCTCCATGGCGACCTCAAAGAAACGGTGTACATGCATCAACTTCCAGGATTTAAAGATCCCACAAAACCTGATCACGTGTGCCTTCTCCACAAATCTCTCTACGGGTTAAAACAAGCTCCTCGCGCCTGATACAATCGTTTCTCCACTTACGCTCGTCGTGTCGGCTTTGTTCAAAGTATTTCAGATCCTTCTCTGTTTGTCATGACCCGTGACAAGGATATTGCATATTTACTTCTCTACGTCGACGACATTGGCCTCATGGCTTCCTCTTCTTCTCTGCTTCAGTCTATCATCACTTCTCTCCACTCCGAGTTCGAGATGACTGACCTTGGACCGTTACATTACTTTCTCGGCATATCAGTTCAACAAAACCATGAAGGCCTCTTTCTTCATCAACAAAATTATGCAGCTGATATTCGTCATCGCGCCAACATGACGAACTGCAATCCCTGTCACACTCCGGTTGACACAAAACCTAAACTTGCTGCCTCTGACAGTCCTCCAGTCGCAGACCCGATGCTTTACCGAAGTCTTGCTAGTGCGCTTCAATATCTAACATTCACTAGGCCTGACATCTCCTACGCAGTCCAACAGGTGTGTCTCTTCATGCATGATCCCCGAGAAGCTTATTTCACCGCTCTCAAACGTATCCTTCGATACATCAAAGGCACCATTTCTCATGGTCTCCAGATCTATCGCAACTCCACACCAAATCTTGTGGCGTACACCGACGCTGATTGGACTGGCTGTCCCGACACTCGTCGTTCCACATCCGGTTTTTGTGTCTTCAACGGGAATAATCTCATCTCTTGGTCGTCAAAACGACAACACACCGTCTCTCGCTCTAGTGCCGAAGCTGAATATAGAGGTGTCGCCAATGCCGTCGCTGAACTCTCTTGGCTCCGTAACATGTACGCAGAAATGCATATTCCTCTCCAAAATCTTCTGTGGTTTTCTGTGATAACGTAAGCACTGTGTACCTCTCCTCTAATCCAGTTCAACATCAACGAACCAAACACGTTGAGATCGACATCCACTTTTTTCGTGAACGTGTAGCTCTTGGTCATACAGGGTTCTCCATATCCCATCTCCTCAACACTACGCTGACATATTCACCAAAGGGCTTCCAACATCTCTGTTTTTAGATTTTCGTTACAGTTTGAGCATTCGGTAGCCTCCTGCTCCAACTTGATCAATGAGAACCCCTCAATCAGAGGAGATTAACCAAATAACAGTTTCGAACTTGGGTTGAGGGTGGTCACAAATTTACCAACTAAGCTGTTAGTTCTTTTAGAAATTTAGGTACAATAAAACATATTTATTTGTTTCACCTGGGTCAGCTGACTCACCTGTCAACACACTAGCTCTGCCACTGGGTATATAGGTAGATAGAAATACATAAATCAATCGGATATAATCTCTTTCGAGTGATCATCTGTTTCAATTTACTTTTGCGTTTTGTATTTTATAATCTATGCAGAAATCTCAAGGTGGTAAGATAGGAACAACCTTAATCGGAAGATGGTTCGTCCCATTAAACGAAACTAGTGATCAGGACAAGGCTGCTGCAAAACGGGCATTCGATTTCATTGTCGGATGGTATATATGTTCAATTAATTGATTCTCACATTCATTTTTTTAATAAGGTTGGTCATAAAAAAGTGTAACAAACATACTTTCAGTATTAATTTAGTTTATGAATATGCTCATATATGAATGTTCTTGGATCCATTGGTTTATGGAGACTATCCAGAGATAATGAAAAAGATGGTTGGAGATAGATTGCCAACATTCGGATCTACAGAATCAGCTTTAGTTAAGGGATCACTTGATTTTCTAGGGTTGAATTATTACGTTACACATTACACGGCTGACGCTTCTATTTCTATTCCTCCAATACCTAGTGTCGCAACCGATCCACGAATTACTTTTAGTTGTATGTTAAACTTCTTTCTTGATTAATATTTTTTTCTTTATAATATAATAAATTTATTAATTATCTAATCTCATTTTTCTATAATTGGTTTCAGATAACCGCAATGGAGTATCTATTGGAGTTGTGGTTAGCATCGACTTCAATTTGAAATATTTTTTTATTTATTAGAAGATGACAACATTGGTTTTGTCTATCGTCTTCTTCTTCTACAGACTCCTAGCTTCACGTACTATCCTCCTGAATTCCGTATGATTTTAAATCACATCAAAGTGAACTACGGAAATCCACTAACCTACATTACCAAAAACGGTATGTATATATTACTTTGTATTGCATTAAAAATGTTTATTCAATGAAAAAAACCCGAAATATATGTATTAAAAAAAAAAAAAAAAAAAAAAAAAAAAAAAAAAACCAAAATATGTGCTTATTATCAAATCTTGTGTGTTTCAGGAGTTGCTGATCCTGGAAACGGAAACTTACCGATTGGAGAAGCTCTTGCCGACACAAAAAGAATTCAAAATCATTGCAGCCATCTTTCTTGTCTCAAATGCGCATCGAGTGAGTTATAAAACTCGTGTATTGTTTTATATACTTCCTTTTTTGTTAGAATTATAAATGTTAACGTACATCAACATTTTCTAATAGGGACGGATCCAAAGTAGCAGGATATTTTGCATGGTCCTTAATTGACAATTACGAATTCGGAAATGGTTACACTCTCCGGTTTGGTATGAATTGGGTCAACTTTACTAATCCTATTGACCGAAGACAAAAGGATTCTGGCAAATGGTACTCTACATTCATCACAAAATAAGGGGCAGCGATATAGATATAGATATATATCAGTTCCATGTATCCAACCTGATATCTAATAACTATTGTACTATATGTATTGATTATTATCAAAGCTTGTGTCATGTACGTTGTTAATAAACGTTGTAATAATTTGACCTTAAATCTCGGTCAATCATAAATAAATCATAATTATATGAAGTTTTTTTTGTGATTGTTCTTGGTTTTGTTCTATACTCATCTTGCTAAGTTTAACTTCTCTAAAATCTGTAACGTGCTCTAATTGTGTATCATTACCACGTTCGCTTAACAAAATATTCAACCAAGGATGTAATATGATATTCAAGAGCAAAGGCAAATGCTGATTTCTTCTTTTGGGAATTGTTCTGTGCAATGATAATAGAGCAAAACATCTTGTTTTAAGCTGATTAAGATTGTTAATTTTTTTTGTTGGTAAAGCATCGGGAGCAAGCTCCCATAATTTATTCAAAACATAGACTTATTACACACGGACTCGCCGTGCTTGCGAGACTCCACACTCGTCCTCTCGAAGCACCGACAAAACGTCCGAAGCTACAAAATCAAAGAAATGCAAACCTAAAGGTAAAGAAAAAACATAGTTTGCTAACCCATCCGCTTGGTGGTTAGCCTCCCTATACACATGCGTAACTCGGACCTCCCAGTCTTTCAATAGAAAGCTTTTGGCACAAGTGTACCAGGAATGACAATGGATGTGTATCACATATCCCTGTCTGAACAAAATCCACCACCATTGCAGAATCTACTTCCGCCACCAGTCGTCGAATTCCTTTGTCCCAGGCGAAACAGAGGCCATAGTAGAGTCCAAGCTGATTAAGATTGTTAATGTGCTATGTTTTTCTATGTATGTAGAAGTGTTTCACTGTTAAATCAGAAGTAATTTAATAAATAAATAAAACATATCTTGCCCTAAAATCAACAAAAAGTAGCTGTGATAAAGTCTCTTGAGGTAGAAATTTTTTAAAAGATCCAAAATTGCATCTTTCTTAGTTTCATACCTGTGAAGAAAGAACTTGAAACCCATTGATACAGACCAAATCTTTTGGAGTTTCCTCAAGCAAAGTACTAGACACTGCACCATCTTCATTCCGCTTTAACGTTTTCAGAGGATCCGTTGCTTCCTCTGGTACATCTAATTTACCAATAACTTCAAGAACCTCTATTTCCGCAACAATCTTGACTTCTCCGTTCACCAGAAACCCACCTTTTTTGGCCTTAAGTTTTCCAAGGGGAAACATCCACTTAAAACCCCAGTCCGGTGCCTTCTGGTCAAACCAGTGTTGTGTTTCTGAAAAACCACAAGACATATTTCCTTTCATACTTCATAACCGTAAGCATTTCTTGAATAAAGCATGTCATGATCTTAACTCGAGTGACCTAAGCATCTTGAATAGAAATAATCACCTCGCAGGACAGAGAGTTCATGCGGAATTTGATTAACTATAGTAAAGGAAAGTTTTGCGTGTCTTCTCCACCCACAAGGCAAAGATTTAGAGTCAGCCTAAGTGTAATTTTCTCCTCTGTTTAGACACCTAAAGATAATTACTTTTAAATCAAGAAACATAGAATGCAGTCAAAAATAGCCTAAAGAGTTCTCAACCACAAAATATTGATAAAAAATCTGGAAATAAATATCAAATATCTGACTAACAAAAACAAGTCTCTTTATTTTAATAGGAGAAAAAAAAAACTCAAGTCTCTTCTCTCTTTAGCTTCGCAAGTTAAAGCAGAAGACTACTCTTTATTTCGAAACCAAGACGCAATCGATCCACCACAACCAAACAGAAGTCCCTAAGAACTCAAGTCATCAACCATCACACTTGTCTTCCGAAATCTCTTCTTTCGCCTTAATCACCAGAGTTTTCAGGTCGTTGCACTTCTTCTCCAAGTCATTCAGCTGTTGTCGCATTTCACACGAACGGTCACCTTCCTTCCTTTTTCCTTTTACTTTATCAAACTTCTTCTCCAGCCAATCCACCTTAAACCCTACGCTTTTCAGGTATGCGAGAGAAGCTTCTGCATAAGACAGATCATCCTCGGAGTGTTCCGGAGGCCATTTTTCGAGCAACCTGATAAGGCCGAGGAGGACATTCATGTAAAATGTTCTCATCTCTTGGTTATTCGTACGGCATTCTAATGCAATCTCTGGGTGTGCTTCTAAGACACGCCTTGCCAAATCCGCCTGCGAGTGCAAAAAAAAGATAAATAAAGTGAAAACATATTAATACGTAGCCAGAAACTGAAACATTGCACCATCATCATTGATCTGTAGGTTTCTCAGAGTTTGGGTTACCTCCTCGGATTCCTTTGGTAGATCTAATGATGTCCCAACAGCATCAGTAAACTCAACCACCGCAACAACCATGACTTCTCCGTTCATCAGAAACCCTTCTCTTATGGCCTCAAGTCTGCTAAGGGGAAGCATGTACTTACAACCAAAGTCTGGTTCCATGTGGTCAAAACAGTTATCTGTTGCTGTAAAGCCACGAAAGATAGAACAATAGTCAAAACAAGCATTTCACAAGACACATAGATAGAAGAATCTCGCAATAGCCCAAGTCCCACACCAATAGAAAAAGAAAACAAAAAAAAATTCTTTACTCCATCTTATATAATAACTAGGGGACGTATAAAAATACTCACCTCTGTATACTGAGTTTCTGTGCGCAAAATGATTTTCTACAGCTAAAGAAAATGATGCGAATATTATCCATCCAGAAGGCAAGGATTCAAAATCAGCAACTTCCAGGTAGAGAGACAGACAGTAGGCTTCATTTGCATGGGGAATGGCCTTAAGACGCCTGCAAGGAAAAAGTACCATACAAAACAATTATTGTGTTTGTGTCACATTCATTAAAACCTAAATTCAATATATAGAGAAGACAAAGTTGTCTTGTTACCATTTGCAGCCATCTATCACGAACTCATCAGAATAGATTTCTCAGATATTTCCAGACAGGGGAAGTCCTTAATCACCCAAGTGAACGTCTTATCAACTACTACTAGATTCCTCATCGAAGACTGACGAGAGCCGAAACCCTAGAAAACCCGAGTAAATTGAAACAATGAAATAAACAACAAAATCTCGTGCAATGAAAGAAAATGTTTGGGTAAGATTTGGAATTTGGGTTAGTAACAAGAACAACATAACAAAGAGAGAGATCTAGAGATAAAAAAAAACAAAAAATGGCTGGTAGAAAGACTAACATCGCAAGGCAATCAACTTTCACCAACTGCCTACCTGGTGTGATCGAAAGTGCTGATGCACTTGCGGGACAAGAAAATGTTGAATTGGCTCTCTGGTTGGAAAACCGTACGTGTACAAAAGTCCGGGCTTCAATGCCATAATCTACTTCGATAACGCCTAGACACGGTGTTGAAGCCGGGCTTTTGTACACGTCCGATTGTCCAGCTGGAGATTCGAACCAGAGAGGCAATTCAACATTTTCTTGTCCCGCAAGTGCACACTTTCGATCACACCAGGTAGGCAGTTGATGAAAGTTGCTTGCCTTGCGTTGCGATGTTAGTCTTTCTAGCAGCCAGTTTTTTTTTTAATCTCTAAATCTCGCTCTTTGTTATGTTGTTCTTGTTACTAGTACTCTAGAACATAAATACAAAAAGGAGTCACATAGATTAAAAAACAAATACACTACAGCTGCATGTCAACCATCGTTAAACAAATCAGATAATTTTTTTATTAATAATAAACAACAAACCAGACAAACGGTTTTTCAAAAAAAAAAAAAAAAACAAACAACAAACCAGACAAACAAAATCTCACCTAACGCATTAACACTCTTAACATCATTTTTCTCAAAGTTACAATAGGCTCCAGAAAACAAAAATCAAAGACTAGAAAGATCAATGAATCAGGGAGTTACCTGACTGATTCCGAGTACGTATCAGGTATCACGAGAAATGCGAATCGCTAAGGGATTAAAAATCACATAGATTAAAAAACAAATACACTACAGCTGCATGTCAACCATCGGTAAACAAATCACATAATTTTTTTATTAATAATAAACAACAAACCAGACAAACAAAATCTCACCTTGTAAAACTAACGCATTAACACTCTTAACATCATTTTTCTCAAAGTTACAATAGGCTCCAGAAAACAAAAATCAAAGACTAGAAAGATCAATGAATCAGGGAGTTACCTGACTGATTCCGAGTACGTATCAGGTATCACGAGAAATGCGAATCGCTAAGGGATTAAAAAACAAATACACTACAGCTGCATGTCAACCATCGTTAAACAAATCACAGAATTTTTTATTAATAATAAACAACAAACCAGACAAACAAAATCTCACCTAACGCATTAACACTCTTAACATCATTTTTCTCAAAGTTACAATAGGCTCCAGAAAACAAAAATCAAAGACTAGAAAGATCAATGAATCAGGGAGTTACCTGACTGATTCCGAGTACGTATCAGGTATCAGGAGGTATCACGAGAAACGCGAATCGCTAAGGGATGCTTGATAGATATGGTTTTTAGTGGGGTTAGGTGGGAGAGTATGGAACACCCATTTTTGCGGCGCTCCTTCAAAGGAGACATGTTTTCATCGTATTTAAAGGGATGGTTCTAGTAACCGGCTAAATCCACCTGCTAATTGTTTTGGTTTATCATTTAACCTAGTTTGACAGTTCATTGCTAAACCGAAGTTTATTTAACCAATCCGGTTACATAACTTGGATAATGTAAGGGGAAGCAATGCTGAGTAACCCAATGCGTGATATTTTTTATTATTATTTTTAGGTCAAAAAGTTGGTGAGTTTCATTCAAATCAAACAACGTCATCAAAACCAAGTCGAGCACTGTTATGTTCTCTTCGTTCTTAAGTTCGGCTTCAAGCGCAAGCAACACTTTTATCTGTTCCACGATAATTCTGTCGAGTTCTCTCACGGGGCTCACGTGCGAGAGAATGCAGTCAAAATCAGGAAACAGAATGCAGTCAAAATTAGCCTAAAGAGTTCTCAACCACACAATACTTTATTGATAAAAATCTGGAATAATCTGACTAACAAAAGTTTCAAGCTTGGTAACAAAAAACAAAAGTCTCAAGCAGAAGATGCTCTCTTTCAAAACCAAAACGCAATCGATCCAACGGAACCAAACTATAACAACTCAAAGTCATCAAACAACATCACTGAAAGAGAGATCAGGGGCTGTGGCTTCCAAAACCCCTGCTTTCTCCTTTTTCAGCTGAGATTTTAATTTAGGTCTTCACACTTCTTCTCCAAGTCATGCAGCTGCTGCTCCATTTCACACACACGGGCACAATTGATGGTCCATCCAATTCTCCAATTACCAAATTCTCTCTAAGATACCACAGAGGCCTTGTTGAAGATGATCCTGTGGAGGATGTGATACTCAAAGCGCTGAGACGTGGAGCAACAGATGTAACCTTAACATTGCTCTCCCCTTCACGTGGATACTCACACTCACTGCCTCCTAGTATCACTAGTCGAGCATTTCCTGAAGAAGTTTCCTCAGCTTGAAGAAGTGACCATCGTAGTAGACCTTGAATCCTCCTTAGAGAAGGATTTGGATCTTTCTCAAGTCTCCAGGCACTTGAGATGGCCCCAAGAGCTTCACCAAACTGCAAGTTGATAGTCGTTAATTATTAATTAGTTCTTTTAAGTCTACATATTGTTGTATCTTATTAAGTTTGATGTATCTTAGTTGATGAACTAAACTTCACTTTTGCATTTAAAAAAAAAAAAAAAAAAAAAACGGAGACAAAGAGAGAAGCCATACTTACAGAGCAGGCAAGGAAGTTCTCTACTTCTCTTTGTTGTTTTTGCAAGAGAGAGAGAGAGAGAGAGAGAGTTTATATGAAGAAAATGCATGAACATGTGAATTGATGAATGCGAAAAGCCTTAGATCTTCCTGACTGATACGTTTCAGTAATTACGAGTTAATGAATGATAAATCCTAAGGAATAAGATTTGCATTAAATTCGTTTGGCTTCAACACTTATCAAAACACCAATAAAAAAAACTCTTCGTTTGCCATAGGCAATACTTTTTCATCAAGAAACCCAATGTGACTATTAATGAATGAAACGTAGCGTTTCATTGTCTTTTCGCAGATTTCAAACTTTTTACACTAAACTGAAAATTTTAATGATCTCAGTTAGCTCTATTAAACGAAGCACATTAGGCATATCGGAATGTAAACGAAATTTCCAGCAAAGGATATCGGTTGTTTAGTTGTTCCAATTAACAAAGTTTTCCTTTCTTCTTATTTTGTTCGAGGACAACTCTGTTATAACACCAAGACATTACTTTTCCACAAGGTTTAAGAGGACTCTCACTTTAAAACCTAAACAAAAACGAACAGATCAAAACACCAAACAGAACAAACAGTCCAAGCCAACCTAAGAATTCAAGTGATCAAATGAGAGAGGAGCTCTTGCTTCCAAAATCTCTTCCTTCTTCTTATCCATCTGAGCTTCAAGGTCTAAGCACTTCTTCTTCAATGGCTTTAGCTCTTCCTCCATTTCTTGCAGCTGGGCCATGCAAGCCTCTTCTTTCTTCTTCTTTTCCTTTACTTCACCAAGTTTCTTCTCCAACCAATCCAACTTGAACCCTCCATCTGCCATGTATGCCAGTGCAGCAACTACATCAGACATGTCATTATCTGATAGTTCTTGAGGCGGTTTGCATAGCTTCTGGATTAAGCTGAGCAGGACATTAATGTACGCAGTCCTCAAAATCGGGTCCTTCGAACGAAACCCTAATGCAACGTCTGGATGTTTTTCAAACATAAGTCTCATAAGTTCCATCTGCAAGTGAAAAGAATATGAATAACAAGTTTCCAATAACTTAGTGAGTAACTTTAAGTGAATGTAACAAGAGTCTCTTGATCGGTTGAAATTTCTTACCTCGTTTAAATTCAGTTGTAGAGTCTTGTTATTCAGTAAATCAGCACCATCATCTTCTTGCTTTATCTTTTTCAGAGGTTTGGTTTCTTCTTCAGGTACAACTACACGAACATCAATCTCTGCAACAATCTTGACTTGTCCGTTCCTCAGAAATCCACCATTGTCTGCATGAAGCATGGTAAGGGGGATCATGGATGTAAAGGCCCAGTTGGGAGTCTTCTGGTCAAACCTGTGCTGTCCTACTGTAATGTCACGAAACATAGAACTCATCTATGTCAGAACAAGCATTGCACTAAACTAAGCAAACACAAGAGTGAAGAAACTAAGCAAACACAAGAGTGAAGAAACTATCACCTTGCCGTCGGGAGTGTTTATCCGATTTTTGGTTTACTAAAGATATGCGGAAGAGTGCGTGTCTACTCCATCCAGAAGGCAACGATTCATGATCGGCGACTATCAGAAACAGAGACAAGCAATCAACCTTGTTTCCCTTGGGATAGGCAAGAAGATTCCTGGAGGAAACACAAAAAGCACCAAAACTAATAAGAAGAAACTCTTATTGATTGGACGAAAACATATTAGACATTCACGTTCTCTTCTTACCATTTACAGCCGCCGATGACGAACGATCCGAGTAGATTTTCTCGGATGGCAAAGAGGAGAAATTCTTGATCACCCAAGTGAATTTGTTATCAGTTTTATTCACCATTGAAGACTCCTAGCAAATCAAAACCTACCAAAACATGAAAGAGAATTAAAACCCTAGATTTTTTTTTTAGCAAATCATACAATCCAACAACGTATCTACAGCAACATTACCAAAAAAGAGTTTTTTACAAGTCCGCTATGGAATCGTAGCGCACACTCTTAACATCAATTTTATAAAGCTACCACACACTCGACATAACGAACAAGGTCTGGTAATAATGTTGTTGTTGGTTGCAGCATTACATGAGCTTGACCCATTGTATAAAGAATTCACATATTCTTCCAAGATTTCAAGTTTGATACTATCCTTAGGTTATAGGAGACCTGTCATCATGCAGTCCATGTACATTTTCAAGGTACTTATGAACAACATTAGTATTAGTGTTTGTAGTTATGTTTAAACTTTCAAAACCTATAACATGGTGTTGTTACTTTTTATATAGCAACCTGGAATCGGAGGAGAAGTTGTGCCACACCAAGATAATTCTTTTGTGTACACGGATCCAACGAGCTGTACAGGTCTCTGGATGGCTTTAGAAGATTCTACAACTGTTAATGGTTGTCTTTGGGCTATTCCTGGATCTCACAAGAGTAAGTGTTCTTTGTGATCATCATAGTTTCACTTAACTAAACATTATTTTTCTTCTTCTTCTTGTTCTTCTTGACTCTGCTTTTTGTGTTCAGATGGTCTGGTTAGAAGGTTTATCCGAGGTGAAAAGGGTGTAACCTTTGATCGTCCATCACCATCTTACCAACAGAAAGATTTTGTGCCTATTGAGATGAAAGCTGGCTCCATCATTGCCATTCATGGTGATCTTATACATCAAAGGTAATCATAATATATCTTGTATTGCTTGTATTAGCTTAAGATTTGGCTGAGCTCTGAAGAAAACTGATCACAATGTGGATATTGTGGGATGCAGTTTTGAGAATCTGTCCTCCAAGTCGAGTCATGCCTATAGCTTACATGTAGTACAAACTGATGGATGTAAATGGGCACAAGACAATTGGTAAGTCCTTTTACTCTTTTTGAGTGTCTGTTCTTCGTTCTTTAGCCATGGAATGTTTACAATTCAAATTAATATGATACAGGATACAAAGAGAGAAAATGCCGGAGCCTCACTTTGTTCTTCCCTAATTTCTCAAGCCTGTCGCGGGAAAAGAAAAAAAAACCACGAGTTGCTGTTTTTCAAATTTCTTCTACACACGAACAGTAATAAGAACTGGCTAAAATTGTCTTTTCTTGTGTCATTTTCTTGTTGAAATACGATTTCTTTCTGCTTGGTCAATGTAGTTCTTTCTTTATTTAACTAAACTCAGTGGTCAATAAAGTGTAGCAGTGATTATTACTTGATTGTTTATGTGATTATGGTTTTGAATTCACGGTAATTAGACAATGAAGAAAGTGTTAAGAGAAAGTTATGATCCCATAAACAGTTAAAAGGTAGAAGAAAGTTTGAGAAATAAGTGACCATTGAGCACAGCTTTTTTTTTCTTTAATTGTTAAGCTGTTTGAAATGTTTAATGTGATCGGAGGAATAGGACAAAACTATCTCTGTCCTATTGTAATAAAAACAATATAGTCAATTAATTATGGTCGTATTGTGTTGTTCAAAGGCAAATACCATTATACATTCATGTTCTAAACAGGACAAAAGATGGGTTAATGATGTGTTTTTGGCAGTAGAATCCTCAGCAAAATATAGACATAATTAACACGTTTTGGAGTCATGTAATCTATAATTAATTGAGTAGATTTGTCACTCCTTTGTTTCTATTCAACGAGTGCGTTGCAGAGAGAACATGGCAAGTGACACAAGAGTTTGTGAAGAGTCTACGCACAAACCAAAGATATATGTGAGCTTAGAAACTGAGTCAAACCATTTGCTAAGCAGTATGAGATACCTGCTTCTCAGATTTGAATTGAGTTTCTATCTTGTAAATTAGAGTAAATATATATTTGCAAAAATAGCAGAAGTAATCACAAGTTATTTTGAGAAAATGTTTACCTCCCAGGGCGGGAATTAGAGCTGAGACAGTAAGTCAGAGCATCACCCCTAGTATCTCAGCAGAAACCAATAGGCGCCTAGCTCAGATACCAAGCCCACAGGAGACAATGCAGCGATCATCTCTACCCATCCAGATAAGGCACCGGGACCTGATGGATTCTCAGCTAGTTTCTTCCACTCTAACTGGGAAACCATAGGAGAAAGAATCACTCTAGAAATCCAGGAGGTCTTCAGAACTCGGAAGTTCCCTCAAAACATAAACGCCACGCATATTTGCCTCATACCAAAGAAAACAAATCCCAAATCAGTGGCGGATTGGATTATAGGCCAATAGCGTAATGCAACATGTATTACAAGATCTTCGCAAAGATCCTTACTGCTCGTCTACACCCAATCCTCGATGGCATAGTCTCTGAGAATCAGTCGGCTTTTGTACCCGGAAGAGCGATCTTTGATAACGTTATGATCACTCACTAGATCCTGCACTTCCTGAAGATATCAAAGGCAAACAAGAGAGGATTAATGGCAATTAAAACGGACATGACAAAAGCGTATGATCCAGTTGAATAGGAATTTGTCAGACTTTTATTGGAAAAATGGGTATTCACAATAAGCTAATTTGGTGGATTATGCAATGTGTGACCTCAATTACCTTTAAATTCCTGCTTAATGGAACCGCGATAGGAAACGTCAAACCAACAAGGGGCATACGTCAAGGAGATCATCTCTATCCCTATCTCTTCATTCTTTGCAGTGAGGTTTTATCTAGCCTATGCAACAAAGCACAAGAAACCGGTCACCTATCAGGCATAAGAGTTGCCAATGGAAGCCGGAAAGTGAATAACTTAAGACATTGAAGGAGATCTTGAGAAAATATGAAAAGGCATCAAGACAAATGATCAACTGTCAAAAGTCGGCAATTACTTTCTCAAAAAAGACATCGCATGATATCAAAAGGAAAGCAATGAGCAATTTAGGAATCCATCAAGAAGGAGGTAAAGGAAAATACTTGGGATTGCCTGAAGCATTTGGGAGGAAGAAGAAGGGTTTATTCAGCTTGGTGGTAGAGAGGATCAGACAGCGGGCTATATCATGGTCATCAAAATTACTCTCCAGTGCGGGAAAGCTAGTTCTCCTCAAATCAGTGCTATCTTCCATGCCTACATACTCAATGTCCTGTTTTTGCTTCAATTTCTAAAAGTGCAAATGTGTTGGCAGATTCTATGGCGAAACGACCTCTCCAAAACGTTCTCTCGGAAGCGTAAGCGTTTTATTTTAAATGAAAGATGGTTTGAATAAAACAAAAAAAATGGATATATATATATATATATATTTATTTATATTGGGATCGATTTTGCTGTATTCTCTTCATTGTAATTCTGTACACGTTTTGAATAGGTGAGGTCAATCTAAAGACATGCTTCTAAACAGTTGCTACTCTCTTGGTTAAAAAGGTTTCTTATATACAGCTTGATTTTATTGAAACTTTATTATTTATGTGTGAACTTAGTAAGAGCATCTCCAATAGTGTTAGAACATGAACTTTAGAAGAGTTTGTCAAAAAATAAATATAAATATTTTAATATAATATAGTTATGTAAATATTTAAAGCAAAATAACCAAGAGCCAAGTGTCTCATGGTTTTCATTCTCTTGTACATCAAACTCCAATTTTTTATATCAAAAACTAGCTAGTTGTGGATTGGAGTTTATGTTAACCTTCGCCGGTTCTTATTTTCCACTGTGCTGGTTGGTCTTTGAAGTGGCTCCTTTTGCATGAATCTTCTCTCTTATTCTCCGTTTGAAGAGTACCTTATCCATTACGTGATCAATATTTGTAACTTCTTAATCAAAATTTTGAAACTTAGCAATGAGACAAGTGATGGTTTGCTTATAGAACGGAGGTTGCTGCTGGCTAGCTAGAATGTAAGTTAGAGGAGAAGGGCACACACACACGGAACATAAACCTCCAGGCTCCAACCAATTTCATGCATTCACAAAGATTAAAAAGGAATAAAAAACATGAATGGTACGTAAAAAATGTTATCGTTTGGTTGAATTAAAAAATTGCACAGAAACTATAATTAAGGAACATATATTCTCACGCAGACATGTTACATATCGTGTAAAGCTATATACGTATTCTACATATATAAGAGAAATAAATGATGCCGTAAATTAACATGAAGTTTCTATAAAAATAATAAAAAAAAAAAACATAAGGGAAAGTTTTGATGAAATGTAATTTTTTTTAATCAGAAAACAAGACAGCGAGGTGGAGAACATGATGATTAAATTGAATGCAAATATACGTAAGGAGTTTACTTCATTAATCTCCATGCAAGTCCCATGCACTCAAACCCTTCTATATAAACCCCTCCAAGTTCATCATTTAATCATCATCAAATCAACATCGGTCTATAAGCCCATCAAAGAAACCATAGATCTCTCATCCATGGCATTCCAAAAGCTCTCTACTCTTTAGCCATCCTTGTCCTTCTCTTTGTGGTTTCGAGTAGTCAAACTGTCTGCAATCCAGAATGCAAGGCAAAAGAACCCTTCAACTGTGACGATGTTCTTACATTCAACCGATCTGGATTTGCAAAGAATTTCACTTTTGGTGCAGCTACTTCTGCATACCAGGTACATACATATATCTCTGTGGCCTTTGGATATCGATTCGTAAGCAATATTTGTCAAGTTCATAATTATTTACAAAATAGAATGATTGATTCTATTTAATTTGTTCTCCCAGATTGAAGGTGCTGCATATAGAGCATTCAATGGATGGGACTACTACACTCATAGATATCCAGGTCATAACATCATTTACGTAGTACTGTATTATTATATATATATGCACCTCGAATCGATCATGTATGGATTATTAGAAAGAACTAGTCATGCTCATATATTGGTTTGTTACATACAGAAAAAGTTCCAGATAGGAGTTCAGCAGACCTTGCTTGTGATTCGTATCATCTTTACAAGGTGAGAGGCCGGAATATATGAATAATAATGATGAATATATGTGTATATATGTTCCATTTAAATTTGGAACGTAATTTAACTTTCATAATAATCTGAACAGGAGGATGTCGCACTACTAGTAAAACTCAAGGCTCAAGCATACCGATTCTCAATAGCATGGTCAAGGGTCTTACCAAGTAAGTACATATATAGACCTATATACTTCTGTCTTTTCTTCATGTCTTCATCTAATTAATTAACAAAAGAATATTAATTATATTTATATACACAGTTGACCTACATAACTAAATTGTGATTACTTTTAACAAAAAAAAAACACTAATTTGTGATTATATACTAATCTTAGAGGGAAGACTGAGTGGAGGAATCGACGAGAATGGTATTTCATACTACAACAATCTCATCAACGAGTTAGTAAAGAATGGTAAATTCCGAATTCTTAATAATACTTAGTCATACGGTTTTAATCATAATTAATTAACTTGCATGAATACGATTCACAGGCATTGAACCATATGTCACTATATTTCATTGGGATATGCCTCAAACTTTAGAAGACGAATACAAAGGCTTCCTAGACAAACGTATAGTGTAAGTCCATCAGCTAATACTTGTTTAAATTCTTTAGTTTGGTTATGTACAGATCTATCCATATTTAATATATATGATATGAAACATGAACAGGGAGGATTTCACAAACTACGCGGAGCTTCTATTCCAAAGATTTGGAGACAGAGTCAAATTTTGGATCACTCTGAACCAGCCTTACTCTCTCGCAACCAAAGGTTATGGTGATGGATCGTATCCACCGGGACGGTGCACCGGCTGTGAATTTGGAGGAAACTCTGCAACCGAACCTTATATAGTTGCACATAACCAACTTCTTGCTCATGCAACTACTGTAGCTTTGTACCGAGAAAAATATAAGGTATATAAATCAATCGATACAATCTCTTTCAAGATGATCATCTGTTTTAATTTACTTTGTGTTATGTATTTTATAATCTTTACTTTATGCAGAAATCTCAAGGTGGTAAGATAGGAACAACCTTAATCGGAAGATGGTTCGTCCCATTAAACGAAACTAGTGATGAGGACAAGGCTGCTGCAAAACGGGCATTCGATTTCATTGTCGGATGGTATATATGTTCAATTAATTGATTCTCACATCACCTATATATTAATAATACAATGTTCACAAAATGTAACAAACATACCTTCAGTATTAATCTAGTTTATGAATATGCTCATACATTATGAAGGTTCTTGGATCCATTGGTGTACGGAGACTATCCAGAGATAATGAAAAAGATGCTTGGAGATAGATTGCCAACATTCGGACCTAAAGAATCAGCTTTAGTTAAAGGATCACTTGATTTTCTAGGGTTGAACTATTACGTTACACATTATACGGCCGACGCATCTATTTCTATTCCTCCAATACCTAGTGTCGCAACCGATCCACGAATTACACTTACATGTATGTTAAACTTTTTTGTTGATTTTTCTTTTTTATAGAATATATTAGATTAATATCTAGCTAATCTCTTTTTTTTTCCCTATAATTGGTCTCAGATTATCGCGATACAGTTCCTATTGGCGTTGTGGTTAGAATCGACTTCAATTTGGAATATTTTTTTTTTATTAGAAGATTACAACATTGGTTTTATTCTTGTCTTCTTCTTCTTCTACAGGCTCCTAGCTTCGTGTACTATCCTCCAGGATTCCGTATGATTCTAAATCACATCAAAGTCAACTACGGAAACCCACTTACCTACATTACTGAAAACGGTATGTACATATATTTTGTTTTTATCCAATAAAAAAAACCAAAAATATATGTTTATTATCAAATCTTGTGTGTTTCAGGAGTTGCTGATCCTGGAAACGGAAACTTACCGATTGGAGAAGCTCTTGCCGACACAAAAAGAATTCAAAATCATTGCAGCCATCTTTCATGTCTCAAATGCGCCATCGGGTGAGTTATAAAACTCGTGTACTGTTTTATATACTTTTTTTTTCAGAACTATAAATGTTAACGTACATCAACATTTTCTTATAGGGACGGATCCAACGTAGCAGGATATTTCGCATGGTCCTTAATGGACAATTACGAATTCGGAAATGGTTACACTCTCCGGTTTGGTATGAATTGGGTCAACTTTACTAATCCTATTGACCGAAGGCAAAAGGATTCTGGCAAATGGTACTCTACATTCATCACAAAATAAGGAGTAGCGATATAGATATATATCAGTTCCATGTATCCAACCTCGATATCTAATAACTATTGTACTATATGTATTGTTTATTATTAAAGCTTTTGTCATGTACGTTGTTAATAAACGTTGTAATAATTTGACCTTAAATCTCGGTCAATCATAATTATATGAAGTTTGTTTTGTGATTGTTGGCTTGTTCTATACTCATCTTGCTAAGTTTAACTTCTCTAAAATCTGTAACATGCTCTAATTGGATATTACCACGTTCGCGTAACAAAATATTCAACCAAGGATGTAATATGATATTCAAGAACAAAGGCAAATGCTGATTTCTTCTTTTGGGAATTGTTCTGTGCAATTATAATAGAGCAAAACATCTTGTTTTAAGCTGGTTAAGATTGTTAATGTGCTATGTTTTTATCGTCTTTTTCATTATTTTTATTAAACGGTTTAGTTTTTTACCGAGCCAAGCCTGTTTTCAGAATCTTTAGGCTTTCTATCTACTGTTTATAGATTTTAGGTCGTTTTAGGGAAAAAACAAACAAAAGAGAGCCATTTTGTATTGCAAAAAAATACGTGCATACAATTATGGAAACTGGAATTCATTGGAAACCTTAAGATCAGAATGAAATTTGGATACAGTTAAGCCACTTGATTCATCTCTCATTTAATTTGGTGGTGGTGTGAGGTACGTATTTCCGACAGACGTTTCGAAAGTTATGCCACTTTTCTTGACTACTCGTTTGGTTGTCAAGCAATAGAAGAATCTGCATGAATTGACTCCGACGATGATAGACAGATCGTTCCAGATTCCAAACCAGTCAGTCAAGTTCTAGATGCAGAATCGGGGCCAAGCTCAATCGGTTACACTCTAAATTTGACCACTTCGGTTTTCATCGTTTTCATACCCTAAACTAATAAATTTTCAGACTTGTCTTTCATTTTTTAACCCAAGAAAAAACATGTTTGAACTTTTATATATGGCATCAATCATTTACGAAGTATCTTTTTTTCTGGTACATATTTGTTTCTCTCTTCAAAGACATCAAGCTAGCAAATCAACATTCACTTTTCCGCCAATATATGTATAGTTCATTATTTTTTATCGAAATAGTTTAGCACTTTAGCTTAATAAATTTTTATTCATGATATTTTACCTTCCCACTAATTTTCATAGACAATATTTCATTATTTTCGTGTTTACAGAGGTTTTTAATTCCAAATAAAAATAAATTATACCTCATATTATAGTTGGGATTAGTTTTATTAAAATATGTGTATGATATCCAAAGAGTATATAATACTAGCAATTTCTCTAATCATTTTTTTTTGTAAAAACCATTAAAATGATAATGAAAAAGAACCACCCAAAAGTAACATAGGAGCGATTAGATAGTAGACCACAAGGTTACAAACATGATCAAGCTTTGTCGATTTGATGAAGATGATCATTGATCAACCACCATCGGCACCACCATTGTCCCAGGAAGTTCCTACATCACCGCCATGTGCTTCTAGTTTCTCCGCATCTTAAAGGGAAGGCATCGGATGAGAATATGCACCAAGAGAATGAACAGCCGTATAAACACCACACGATCCATAGAACCCAACAAGCGAACAACCTTTGCTCTCGAGCACGAAATCAACATGATTGTCCCCATACACATTTCCCAATGTCGGAGAGGTCCTCCCTTTTGATGTTTTGAAAGTCAAGGATGTAATCGCCGTTTCACCACTAGCCCACTTTGTGAATTTACCCTTTATGGACGTGACATATTCATCTGGATGGTCTAGTACAAACTGTGAAAAACAACAGTTTTACCTACGTGTAAGTAATAAGAAGTCACATATAGAGATATATACGTGTATTATATATATGACCAGAAAAATATTTAGAGCTGTAGAAATTGTGACCTCTGCGTCTTGTCCAATGAGTGCAACCTTCGACCCGTGCTCACGTGCTTCCACTTGGCCTTTGTTATCGTACTCGAAACCAATACACCTTATATAAGCATCATAATGAACGGACACCTTCCTTATTCCTTGGTAACTACCATCATCCCAATGTTTTCCACTATGTTTACCTTTGTGCTCCAGTTTTGTAAGTGGAAGCGTTGTGAAATAAGCTCCCAGCGAGTTTAGGTTATCCTTAGCATATCCATGAAACCCTATGATCATCATACGGTTGCACCCAAGTGAAAACTTAGTACCCTTTTCCTCATATCCCATCACTTCCGAAGTTTTCATGTTTGTTTTGAATTGAAGTGTTTGAATCACACCGGAAGTCTCGTCGTAGTAACCATCCACAGATAAGAGGTATTCCTTGTCGAGATGGTTAATCGCAAACTACAAAAACAAAAATGTGAAGAAAAACCAATACATAAAACATCCAATAATATATTTGTGGAATCATATTTAATAGGATTTGTTTTCTCTCCCTAAGCATCTCACCCCACACACAAACATCAGCAACTATAACCTTGTGATGTAGGAAGTCGATGTTCCTTCCTACATCACAAGGTTATAAACCACAATGTTATCTTAGAAATAACTTGGAGAGCAAGAATATTATTAAATAGTTATTAAAAAAAAGTTATCAAATAAAAATTATCTCGGTCATACATACCGGCTCATACCGGCTCTAAGTCGAAACCTTGATGCGAGGTAGAACCATGGTCTGGCCCTTCTTGCATACGTACATGCTTGTTAACATAATCGAATATGATGTTTTGTATGCCTTCGAAACAATATCGTACATGAATCTTTTTTACACTGGTCAGCTCCATCATCCCACTCATCGCCTCCTTTGCCCCCTTCCGATTTCAATCTCGTAGGAAGAATTTCTGTGAAATATGCTCCAAGAGCGTGGAGGTTAAACTCAGCATATCCGTGAAACCCAATGATTTTTTTTCCATCCACTGCAGTGTAAACTTTTCACCATCTTCATATCCCATCATCTCAGAGATCCTCAAGTTGGTTTTGAACCGAAGTGCTTGAATTCCATGGGAATAGTCTTTGTAATAACTCTTGTTAGAGCAGAAATTAGCACAATTTCCCTGAGCCCGTCACAATTAATAATACTATGTAAGCCCGGCCCGCTTCCACTTCCACCTCCTCAAAGAAAAGGAAGTACTTGGAGAAAAAGACTACATCCAAGAAAAATAGAAGGAGATCAACGCCAAAGAAGAATATTTCCAAAAGAAATATGGAAGAATATCTTGAGGAAGCCAACCTCCTCTCCATATAAATAGAAGACCCCCTATTCCTTGAAGACCATTCAGAATCATTCAAATTCTCCACAATCACTGAGAGCAAAGAGGCAAAACCCTAGTTATAATTCGTCCTTTGTTCTTAGCTTCTCTATTCTTTTCGTATTCGTCTCGTCACGCTTTCGTCGAGACGAATCACCCCTTGTACCATCTTTGTCTTTGGTTGATCTAATAAAGAGTCTCTCCTAAACCTCACATCTCTTATCTTACTATTACTGTGTGATTTTGAGATCTAACAATTGGCGCCCACCGTGGGGCTGGAGAAAAAACTCTGAAAAAAGTCAATCAAGGTTCAAAGATGGCACCTCCAGCTGATGATCCCAGCATCAGAACAGGCGGACTGCAAAGTCAACTCGGCGCAGATGGAAACCCCATCGTCCATCCCGTCGAAGTCGACGCGACCAACGGTCACGTCAACCCTCCGCCGCCACCGGTTCCTGACGTAGAAGCTCCCGTCACGACCGCCGCGTTAACCGCCGCCATGCAAGGCTTTGCTGCTCAAATTGCTTCTCAATTCGCCGAGATGCAAGCTCAGCAGCAAAAGTACAACGACAAGATCGACTCCCTCCACGTCACCAGCGACGGACGAGTCATCCCGACGGGACGAACTCTCTTCCAGACGCCGACAAGAAGCACCGCCGCGACTGGCTCCAATGCCGCGACGAATGGTGAGAAAGACACCGACCCGGAAGTGGCCAAGCTGCGCCGCGACCTCGACGCAATCAGCTCCAAAGTGCACGACGCTATCAGCTCGTCACCCGAGATTGCCAAAATCCTCGCCGAGACGAAAAGGAGTCCTTTCACTCGTCGCATCGCCGCGATACCTCTAAAGGATCAAACGGCCCTCCGTCTTCAGTTCTACAACAATGGTGACGATCCTCGAAACTGGCTAAGAAACTTCGAGATGGCCATGAGAAGGCAAAATATGCCTCCCCCGAAGAACAAGACGCAAATTACTGTCAAGTGTTCATCGAGCACATGAACAAAGACGCGACGAGCTGGTTTTCGAACCTTCCTGCCGAGACCATCGACAACTTTGATGATCTCAGCACGGCATTCATGAAACACTTTGGCATGTTTATGTCAAAAGGCAGCACCAATCTTTTCACTATGGCACAGGGAAAAGATGAGTCTCTTCGCAAGTTCGTCGAGAGATTCAAAACAGCAGCAGCTGAGCACTCAGACATCCCCAATGAGATGGGAATCAAGGCTTTCGAAAACGGGCTTTGGTTCGAATCAAAGTTGAAAGAGAGTCTGATGCTCGACGAACCCGCAACCCTCCAGGACGCTTTGCACAGGTCCCAAAAATACGTCTGCGTTGAAGAAAGCAAGGCGCACCACTCAAAGATTCATGGAATGACGAAGGAGTCATCTCGGCATGCATCATCTCGTCAAGATTCATCTCATCAAGAGTCATCTCGTCAAGAAAAAAGGAGGCCTCTAAGGAGTCTTTACACAGGGCAGCGAAGAGTCCAAATGGTGCAAATTCCATGGACGAACCGATCATACTACAGAAGAATGTAGGCGCATCAACAGCATGATACTAGAGTACGGCAATACTCCGCAAAGCCAAATGATGCTGAACGCCGCGACGAAAATCGACGAGCTGCAAACCAGCGCCAAAGTAGAAATACGCGCGCCAAGATCGAGACGACGACGCCGAGAAGAACGCGCCTGCATCACTCCCTCACCAAGATGATCTGCCTCCGCCGCCGAAACGGCAAGTCCGATAAACATCTCGGCATCAAACCGGTCTCAAGCACGAGACCGAGAAAACGAACTACGAATGGCTTGATCCCGGCATGGGTACGTAGGCAGCCTTTCCAAAGGTTCAGCTATACCCCAATAAAATTCTATAATCCGTCTGACGAGATGAGCATTGTAAAATTTTATTCACCTCCAAAGGTACACGTCGACGTTCTGGCCAAACCTCTCGACAACACCGATCTCGTCATCACACGAGATCGAGCGGTCTCGTCATCACACGAGCCCGAGAAAACACCGATCTTGTCATCAGATCGAGCGGTCTCGTCATCACACCCCAACCGGTCTCGCCAAAGCACGATCCGAGAAAAACAAGACTGATCATCCAAGCGTAACCCCAACCGTTTCGTCGAACACGATCCCGAGAAAACTGTTGCCGAAGCGCGACCCCAACCGGTTTCGTCATCTATACGAAATCGAGCGGTCTCGTCATCACACGAGCCCGATAAGACACCGATCTCGTCATCATATACGAAATCGAGCGGTCTCGTCATCACACGAGCCCGATAAGACACCGATCTCGTCATCATATACGAAATCGAGCGGTCTCGTCATCACACGAGCCCGACAAGACACCGATCTCGTCATCATATACGAAATCGAGCGGTCTCGTCATCACACGAGCCCGAGAAGACACCGATCTCGTCATCATATACGAGATCGAGCGGTCTCGTCATCACACGAGCCCGATAAAACCAATCTCGTCGAAGCTCGAATCCGAGAAAAATCGTCACAGCAATCTATTCTCCTTGACGAGACAAAAGAGTCATCTCGTCAAGTCCGAGAGAAATTATCAAAAGCACATTCTATTTGCGGACAAGATTACGTCACTGTACTCTTTTCCCTTCTTATGGTTTTTATCCCATAGGGTTTTTCCATATCAAGGTTTTAACGAGGCAGTACGGATCTAAAGTCAATAACGCAACGCAGCATCACGTCAGCGCAGCATCGCGACAGCATCGGCATCGCGTCGGCATCACATAGTTATTATTAATTGCTCTTGAGCTCCTCTTTTATACATGAAGTTCGCCGAGATTAAATTGCATTTATCTCGCCAAACTGGGGGGACTTATTGTTAGAGCAGAAATTAGCACAATTTCCCTGAGCCCGTCACAATTAATAATACTATGTAAGCCCGGCCCGCTTCCACTTCCACCTCCTCAAAGAAAAGGAAGTACTTGGAGAAAAAGACTACATCCAAGAAAAATAGAAGGAGATCAACGCCAAAGAAGAATATTTCCAAAAGAAATATGGAAGAATATCTTGAGAAGCCAACCTCCTCTCCATATAAATAGAAGACCCCCTATTCCTTGAAGACCATTCAGAATCATCAGAAATTCTCCACAATCACTGAGAGCAAAGAGGCAAAACCCTAGTTATAATTCGTCCTTTGTTCTTAGTTTCTCTATTCTTTTCGTATTCGTCTCGTCACGCTTTTCGTCGAGACGAATCACCCCTTGTATCATCTTTGTCTTTGGTTGATTTAATAAAGAGTCTCTCCTAAACCTCACATCTCTTATCTTACTATTATTGTGTGATTTTGAGATCTAACAACCCTCAACAGATTCAGGATATTCATTTTTTAGATGGTCAATCTCAAACTATACGAAAAAAAGAAAACTATAAGAACATGAATAAAGCTAAGGGAGTTGAATTAGCATATTTGCAAGTCATACATACCATCTGCGTGAAACCTGCCTTGGAGTAACCATGAAATGATCTTTCCGGTTGTCCACTCTTGACATAGTCAAACGTGATGAATTGTATGCCATAAAGACCACCTCGCACAAATATCTTTGTCACATCATCATGGTCGGATCCATCATCCCACTTAAATTTCTTGTCTGCACTCTTTACCCCTACCGCTTCCAACCTTTTGAATCATTTCTAATGGATTTGAATCATGAGAGAAGGAGTGATATTGTGTTTATTAGTCAATATTCTGCATCAATTAGCACATGTATTTCCTTAAGTTTTAAAATGAAGAAAAAAAGAACAATTTCAAGCAAAAGATCATACATGATCTAGACTGAAGAAAAAAAAAACATTTGCAGAAGGAGAGGAAGAGAGCGAGCTGACCTCTGATGCTGGAAATCTAAATTATGATTCTTACAATAAAAATCAAAAAAAAAAATGACTTGGACTTCGGGATTCGATCATTTAATTTTTTAGGTTGACAAAAATAAAATTCTGTACATAATATGACAAAATATCATATGCACATCGTTATATAAGAATATGAGATAGTGGAGCTCTACTTGCCTTGTAATTATTTTAGTCAACGCATCGTATTTGATTCGTTCTTTTAGCACTTGTATATATATTTAATTTAATTCTTAGACAGTTTGTTGTGAAGAAATTGCACCACATGGAAAATAAAAAAGGGTTTAATTACAAAGTGGCAAGAGGGTTTTAGACCGAACCAAAACAGAATTGGTGCAAAGACAAAAACAGAATTAAGAAGAAATGTTCTCATGATCTTGAGAAACACTTTTTTGTATAGTCTTTATCATATACTAGGAGAGAACCCGCGCAATGCGCGGGTTTATTAAACCAAATATTTTTAATTTAATTATTCAGAACATTAGATTCGAATATATCATTTGTTTTTTACTCGAATATATTAGATTCTGTAAGTTTTGCATTTTGTTTTTTTTCATATAGTTTTAAAATTTAGTTGTTATTTACGTGAAATCTTATATAGACTCATAGTGAATAGTTTCATATGTTTTTTGTTCTTTTATACAATAATTTATCGACTGGAGTTGAGTTCTTCTAATTTTCCTTATACTAACAATCATTATAGATTGATTATTATCCTACAGACTCATAGATAATAATAATTGCAATCCTTTTTAAAAGGAAATGAAATGAGCTAATTAGCCAGTAAGCCCATTTAAAGCTACCATGGAAACGAAGAGGTCCGATAAATAATCAAGCCCATCAAAACGAACAGCATTACACATAATTTTGATTTAGATTTTTTTTTTTTTTTAAATACGAAAACGACGTCGTTTTGGTGTAAGACGAAAAAAAAAAAGATAAAGCGCAAAACGACGTCGTTTTGGTGTAAGACGAAAAAAAAATAAAAAAATAAAAATAAAGCCCAAAACGACGTCGTTTTGGTGTTAGGCGAAAAAAAAAAAAAAAGAGAGTGCCACGTGTCAAAGGCTGGAGATTGTCCAAGCCTTATTAGTTACGTAGATTTTTATTTCATTATCAGTAAGATAATTTTAGAACATGTTGACTGGATCAGCCTAAAGGAAATAAAAAATGACTTTGTAATATATGTTTTGTAATATATGTTGACCAGTGAAACTGTAGTCATTTTAAAAATTTGTAAAAAGCCTAACCTTCCAATAAATCTCTATTTCAGGCAATCTGCCTTGAAATGGAAATAAGTTATTAGTTTTACGAGAGCCGATTCAAATCTGATTCCGTAAATAGTTAAGAATTGGCGGTAATTGAGAGAAAAAAAAAAAAGGAGAACTGGATTTAAGAAGAAAAAAAAACATTGTCTTGTTACATGAAACTGGGAAATACACAACATAAAACATAGGAAACATTACGTTTAAGAGTACAAGATAGGAGATCATTAAAGAAGATGATCAAACTTGCTCGACAATATTTGGTTCAGAGTTATATATATATATATATATATATATATATACATACGATCATTCTATAATGGGCAGGACGTGAACCCCAATTTGAGTAAGCATGTTACTTAATTACTTTTCCATGAAAACCGACAATCTTGTGACATTCCTTCTCGAGTGTGAAGTTTGATGTTGTCTCGACCGTCCGTGGAACCCAACAAGAGCACAACCTTTGCTCTCAAGGACGAATTTACTTTTACCTTCCCTTCCAAAGGTTAGAGAGGTTCTCCCTTTTGATGTTTTGAAAGTCAACGAAGAAACACACGTACTTGATCCGTCCATGGTCAAAGTCCCCTCCACAGAAGTTATAAATTCATTCGGATAGTCTACCACAAACTGCAATAGAAACAAACAAAAAAGGCTTCAAGTTTTTGTATAGGTCAACCAATATTAAATTTGTAGCTACGTTCTACTCCCTCCGTTTTATATTAGTTTTCATTCTAGATATCTATTTTAACTAGAAACACATTCATATATATACATTTCTAAAACGACAACTAATATGAAACGGAGGGAGTAATAAATATTACATCATTTGTCGATCCAAATTTAGACCCGTGCTCCAGCCTTTCCACTTTGCCTCCGTTAACATAGTCGAACCTTACATGCCATACAAAAGTGACATCACAATAAACTGTCACCTTTTTTACGCCATCATAGGCACCATCATCCCAGAGGACAGCCTCAATAGTCTCACCGATGTATTCCAATTTAGTTAAAGGAGAGGTCGTGAAATATGCTCCAAGAGAGTTAAGATTCTTTTCAGTACTATATCCATGAAATCCAATAATCTTCTTTCCATTGACTGCTAGTCTAAACTTGTTACCCTTGGCGTATCCTATTAGGCCTGAAGTCTTGATGTTAGCTTCAAATTCAAGCCCATGAATGACCCCCGGTTTGTCGTCATCATAGTAACCCTCAACAGACACCAAATATTCCTTGTTGAGATGGTTGATCTCAAACTGCAAAAAAAAAATCATAATGTTGACTACATTAGGACTTAGTGTATTGAATTTGGTGTTAAAAGTGATTCTAGGTGATTTGTATTAAAACAACAAATTCCATATTATTCAAATGTAAATTTTAAAACTCTTTTAAAATCCAGTATTATTGAACTTGTGATTTTAAAATGTACATTCAAATTCTATATTATTGGAAATATTTTAACAGATGTGTTTAAGTGATTTCAAGTGATTTTAGAGTTTTAATAATCCAAATCTCATGGTTTTAGGTGGGATTCTCGAGTGATTTCACTAAAATCATAACAACTGCTCTAAAATCACCCTAAATCATATAAAAATGAAATTACCCGAAGTCACTTTAAATCTCATGTTTAATCACTTTATGCTCGTGAAACTAAAATTATATTTTAAATATTTTCCAAGTCATATATACATACCGTCTGCGTGTAACCATCTCTACCTGGGGCACCATGGGCAGACCCAAATATTTGCTGTCCATCCTTGAGATAATCAAACTTGACGTATTGTATAATATCACAACCACCTCGTACATAGATTTTTGTAACACCTTCATGGTCGGATCCATCGTTCCACTCCTCGCCTCCTTTCCCACCTTGTGCTTCCAATCTAGTAGGAGCGATCCATGTGAAGTATGCTCCAAGAGAGTTGAGATTCGTCTTAGGAGATCCGTGAAACCCAATGATCTTCTTTCCGTCCACAGATAGTGAAAATTTGGTACCATTTTTTTCTAATCCAATGAGAAATCCTCAGGTTTGTGTTGAATTGAATTCCTTGAATCACAGCTGACTTGGGTTCGTAGTAACCCTCAACTGATTCAAGTTGTTCACCTTTTAGATGGTTGATCTCAAACTGCATGATATGGTGAAAACAAATTCAAATCACCACGTTAACACTTAATAATGAGAGTTTATTTTTTGTCCTTTCCAAGGTATACCGTTTGAGTGAAACCTTGTTCCGTTAAACCATGGACTGATCCACATTTCGGTTGTCCATTCTTGATGTAGTTGAACTGAATGTATTGTATGCCTAGAGAGCAACCTCGTACAAATATCTTTGTTACATCATCATAGTCGGATCCGTCATCCCACTCAAATCGGCTTCCTGAATTCTTCTTCCCTTGCGCTTCCAACCGTTGGGTCATTCTGTAGGACCTGATCGAACAGATTTGAATTTTCAAATATGAATGGGATTATGTTTCTTTAATTTGTAATATCATCAAAACATATTAATATTTCATAAGGTTCGAAAATAAGAGAAAAATATATATATTTGAAAACCCTTTCAACTCGAGGATCATAAAGAATTTCAAAATGAAGGAATTGGACCATTTGCAGACAAAATAGAAGAAGATCCGAGTTTTCTTGGGTGTAAAGCAAGCAGTTCCAACGAACATCTACCAAGTAACAGCATTTACAGATATCAATGCTCTCTACGTGATTGATTTTTTTGGGTCTATCATACTTTACCTTTTGTCCTGTATTATAGGCAAGGATACATGTACATATAGAACTTGTATGTATTGTATCGTATTTGCTATTTTGCTTGAATATAAGAAAGGAGTAAACATGAGGCATAATATGGCGCGGAAACTTATATAATACACCAAAGTTTATAAGTTAACAAATGTAGTAGACTAAAAGTGGATTTAACGTTTTAGTAAGTTGCATCTCTTATGATTATGTGTACTCATAGCCCTAGTCAACGATTTCAGACAATTTTAGCAACTTCCACAACTGAGACCAGAAGAAGCGCATGGGCTTTAAAATTTACTCGTTGTCAGCCCATATCTACACATGTTCGAAAAACCTGAAAAATGATAGCAACACTAGCCAAATATGAAAATTTGAAAAACTGGGTTTCCAGGAAATTCAACAAAATCACAATAAATTATGAAATTTATAATTTGGTAGAAAAATACGAAAAGTAAAATTTAAAATATGGACATGGGGTGGTTGAATAATCACTATAGCTCCTTAAATCTCTCCATTTATGGCTCCCACTGTGCAAAACATTCATTCCACATTCAACAACCTCTCTATGAGGATATTCCTTTTCAACCAAAATGGACCCAAAATATAGTTAATTTATTTTATAAAATTAAACGTTGATGTAAAACAGAAACATGCCAGAAAAAATATACCCCCGACGTTTTAAATTACTTGTCGTTTTAGGAAAATATATGTGCAATTATCTGGATGTATTTAACTCAAAACACATCCAGATACATCCAAATAATTGCATATACATTTTTCCAAAACGACAACTAATTTGAAACGGAAGAGTAACATTTTATGTGTTTTTTATTTCGATATGGTGTATTATTTATTCTAAGAACAAAACAGACACTCATGATTTATGTTTTGGTAGCTATTCATTCTCTTTGCCTCAGCCATTCGTGATTTAATTCCGTTGGTTTTGGAAAATTCTGTATTTAAGTCTACCTTAACAAAATAGAAATATTAATCCGTGAGTGAATTAGTAGTAACACTAGTATATGAGCATTAAATATGTTTGGACGTATATAAATATAAATTTTCTCAAAAAGTGAGAAAAATTATAGAGAGGTCACTGGGGGACAGGCATCCCCATCGAGAGAACCGTATGCATTAAGTTCAACACATACAAAAATGAAATAAAAATCATTAAAGTGAAACAATCAATGGACAATGGTCTACAGTCATAAATTAATATATATAAATTATTTTATTTTTTTGGAAAGATAGGCTTAGCCGATTTTCGCTATGTTTATTACTCTTTTGTTAATCTTACTTATCTACAATGTGTACTAGTTTCAAATTAAACTTCATTATAAGTTTTCAAATCAAAATACATGGTTTGACAAAATCACTGAATTTTGATCGCACTAATTGCAAACTATACTTTCTCTAATATTTTTTTTAGTTCTTGTTTTGCATTGACTTGACGTAAGTCCAATGATGGACAATGAAAGCGACGAAACTGCTTTCTTAAAAAAAAAACTTAGAAAAACGTAGTTTTAGGTATATTCTATTTAACTTATTAGGTATGTAAACCAAAATTTGAGCTGACTTTATCAGAGTTTAAATCCGGTTTTTTAACACAGGTAAATTTACCAAATTAAGTTAATTTCTTTTTAGACATATACATCATACTTGCAGTTAACAGGATTGAAAGAATTAATATCTAAATCGGTTTTGAGCTAGTCCGATTTGGATACAAATTCCATCAATATTCATGTCATGTAGATATAATCTTTCGTCGGCTATTATGGTATTAGGGCCATGGCTGTTAAAGAAAGACTGTACTTTACATCCACACATGACATATCTAATCGAAAACTTAATGCACCACCTAAAAGTCTAAAACAAAATGTACCCCTACAATATTTTCACTTTGAATATAGGACAAATCAAAATCAATGGCATGATTATAATTAGATACTTATCACTTATTATTGTGTGCATGAGTTTCACCAAAATTCAAGTCTTTGGTTCTTTTTTTTCCAGAAGCGCCAGTCAACAGCTTCCATGTTCACATATTCAATACTACTGTTAATCTACATAACTAATAAGGCTTGGACAATCTCCAGCCTTTGACACGTGGCACTCTCTTTTTTTTTTTTTTTTTCGCCTAACACCAAAACGACGTCGTTTTGCGCTTTTTTTTTTTTCGTCTTACACCAAAACGACGTCGTTTTGCGCTTTATCTTTTTTTTTTCGTCTTACACCAAAACGACGTCGTTTTCGTAAAAAAAAAAAAAAAATCTAAATCAAAATTATGTGTAATGCTGTTCGTTTTGATGGGCTTGATTATTTATCGGACCTCTTCGTTTCCATGGTAGCTTTAAATGGGCTTACTGGCTAATTAGCTCATTTCATTTCCTTTTAAAAAGGATTGCAATTATTATTATCTATGAGTCTGTAGGATAATAATCAATCTATAATGATTGTTAGTATAAGGAAAATTAGAAGAACTCAACTCCAGTCGATAAATTATTGTATAAAAGAACAAAAAACATATGAAACTATTCACTATGAGTCTATATAAGATTTCACGTAAATAACAACTAAATTTTAAAACTATATGAAAAAAAACAAAATGCAAAACTTACAGAATCTAATATATTCGAGTAAAAAACAAATGATATATTCGAATCTAATGTTCTGAATAATTAAATTAAAAATATTTGGTTTAATAAACCCGCGCATTGCGCGGGTTCTCTCCTAGTCATTTAATAATAATACAAAGACATCGATTTTACTATATTACGAGATTGGAGTCTTTTGGACCCATTCAATATCGAGTTTAAAAATACAAATTCACGTATCACACACATAGCATTAATTTAATCACTTAGCACAAAATGACAACCTTCTTTTTCTGCACAGAACATGATCCTTCGAAGAAATCCATGCATTCGAATCTTCAACCAATTTTTTTCTTCCTTTGAATATTAAAGACTAAACTATAATACTGATTTAGTTAAGTAAATACAAAACTATGACCAATAATTCATGCATTTCAGGTCGTTGGTCGCCATTGAAACAAAAGAAGTTACAACAAAAAGAGAAACAAGATCATTAACTCTTAGCCCTAAAGAAACGTGAGGTTAAGGATAATGATCCATATCTCATAGTGACAAAAACAGAAACAAAAAGACATAAAAATCTACGAGAGTAGAGAGATCCGAAGCAGAGATTGAACGCAATTCCTGAGAGACCAGACACGTGTTACTAATTTAGTTATCAGTTGTGAAGAGGATTTGGACCTGTGTGAACTAATCTCTTGTCGTCTTTATAAACATCATCTCTGTTTTCTTCTTCTCGACCCGTGAACGACACTGAGGCTTTGGGGGATTGAAACGGCACAGTTTCATGGAAAGGACCAGCCTTTCTCGGCGAAGAGTAGGACTGATGATAATAATATTGATCAGGAGAAAGAGCTGATGAAGAAGACAAACCAAACTTAGCAAGTATCAAGATTCCCCACAAAAACACGGTGGAGGCGGTGTTGGTGGCTGCTCGTCTTCTTCTTCTTCTTCTTCTTCTCGTTCGTTCTTTGTATTCTTGCTCGTTTCCCAAAACAGCTTCCATGGCGGTTTGATTTTGATGAAAAGAGAGACTTTTATGGGTTTTTTGAGAAGCCCATGAGTTAGTGAAAAATAGAGTATTTGGACTTTGTATATCTCTCTCTCTCTCTCTGTTTTCTTTTGAAAGAAATTGATTTCCTTTTTGTCGGTGTTTGGTAGTGCAGGGCAGGTTTGGATTCAAGAAACAGATGAGAAAAATGGGGTTTGAGTAGTTATAATAATATTCTTTTGAAAGAAAGATGCCATAACGACTTTGAGTAGCAGAGGATAAACCCAAAAGAGAAAACTCTTTTCTTTGTTTGAAGTGAAGTCTAAGTAACAAAAAGGTTTGTCCTTGGATAATGAGAAAGAAGAAGAAGAAGTAGAGGATGGAGAAAGATGAAAAATATTTAATTCTAGTTTTCTTTCTTATCTTATGGGTCTTATCAAATGATCTTGACCCTTGATTCCTGGGAGAACCTTCTCATATCTGTACTACTCAGATCTTTAAACTTTGAAAACTAGTATTTTTTATCTCACATCCATTGCTTTAAAGAATTACAATTATATATATTTTTTTAATTTCTGCCATTTTGCTTGGAGATGGTGCAGTGGACAGTTCAGTATTAATAGCCGTTGTCCCCGGGAAGAAAAAAAAATCGAATTTATGTTTTCTGAGAGAGAGAGAGAAAAGGTACTGCGTGTAAAAACCAAATTATGTAATGTACAGAGTGTTTTTACTAATTAAAGAAAGTAGCTTTTTATGGAGGGTTACCTTAGTTTTGCTAAATTGAAAGAAAACAAATTATTGCAAAGATTATTGCTTTCAAATGTCTTGACGACGAGTGATAAACCTCTGTTCTCTGTTTTGTCACCGTCTCTCTGTTTCATTCATGTCTTCTTGTTCTGTCTTTCACAAAAGCTTTTTTCTTTTTCTTGCTTCTTCCATGTCCCTGCTTTTCAACTCTCAGAGAAACCCATAAACAGAGGCAAACTCAGTTTTTTTATCAGTGTCAATAGCATCTAATGACTGACATACATAAACATTGAATTCCAGTTTCACAAATTTGACCATTCTTTAATTCTCTGCAAAAAAGGTATTAAAGTAGTTCAAACTCTATTTTTGATTCACCAGAGATACAACAACACGAGCTGTAAAGTAAAAAGCCATCCACATTTCTAAAGAAAGATACAAAACCCATTAAATGGCAAAAACGTGAGACATGCAAAGTTTCTACATAATTAATGATCAACTAAAGACCCCTTAATAGGCAAAAAAGTGAGGAAGGCAAAGATTTACATAATTAATGATCAATTATAGATCAGGTAAGTGTATGATGTACAAATTGACGTACCTTGTGTCTCTACCTTACTTAGTAGATTCTCATCTGATCTGACTTCTGCAGTAGATGAAACAAAGCTTCACGATTTGTTGCCATATGCAAGTTTTGTGGATCAAGAACTTGGTTTTTGCATCAACTATTTCATTGAATGAATCTATGCTTCAGAAACATTCAAGACTCTGTGGATGCATTTCTCTCTCAACAAAGACATTAACAAGTGAAGTTCACCAGAACTCTCTGCACGAGCAAACACCATTCCTGAAGTGGTGAAACCTGTTCTTGTCTCTCATGATGATGTCTCTTGAAGTAAGCCTGGAAACAAACTTGGCGAAAATATGGCAATCATCGCAGGTTCTCAAGTTCTTCATAACCCTTATAGGCTGCTCCGCTCTCCCGTTAACGAGTCCAAACGCAATCGCAAGCTTCTCACTGTGATGACTGAGAGAAGACTCTTTCTCTTCCACTTCCACATCATGAAACACCGAACACGTCTCAGGAACATACCCCATATCCCTTATCTTCTTCAAGATCTCCTCCAACTTTTCATACACAGCCTTTGACTCTGGATGTGATCTGTCTCCTCTATTGAAAAAATGGATCTTTCCGTCAAACTCAACGGAACTATAAGCAGCAACCTTTCTAGTACCAAGCTTCCTCATTTCACTCCTCACTTTGTCAACACAATCCCATTTACCAGCAGCTGCATATATATTAGACAGTAGTACTTGGTACGCACCAATGTCAGGAGCTGTTTCCACTAGCAAGTCTGCTACTTTCTTCCCCAATTCCACACCACGATGAACCGCGCAAGCACCTAACAAGGCTCCCCATATCCCAGCATCTGGCTCCAGTGGCATCTCTTTGATAAATTCATAAGCCTCCTCAAGAAGACCAGAGCGTCCTAACAGATCAACCATACACGCATAATGCTCTTTCCTCGGCTGAAGACTCTTATCATTCGACCGAGCCATGAGATCAAAACACCTTTTCCCTTCCTTCACCAGTCCAGCATGGCTACAAGCAGATAAAACCCCGAGAAAAGTGACATAGTTCGGTCTTACTCCCTCGTTCTGCATCGTAGCGAACAACACCAAGGCTTCTTCGCTATCTCCATTCATTGCATATCCTACAATCATCGTGCTCCAAGAAACTACATTTCTTTCTCTCATCTCTTCAAACAACACCCTCGCAGCTTCCGTGCTACCACACTTCAAGTACATATCAAGCCTTGCGTTTTCGACGATCACGTTACAGTCAATACCTTCCCTCCTCGCACGGTCATAAATCTCTTTCCCAATCTCCAAACAGCCTAGCTGACCACAAGCGGAAAGCATACTCACGACTGTAAAAGAATCAAACCTAACATCATCATCATCATCCGCACACATTTTCCGGTAATAGTCAAGAGCTAAACCGGAGTTTCCCGTTTGAACGCAAGCAGCAATAAACGCATTCCAAGCCACTAAATCTTTCCCCTGCATAGACTCAAACAAGACCTCAGCCGAGCTCAATTCACCAAACTTCATGTACATCATCACCAGCTCAGTTGCAACGATGCCAAGACAATCAAAACCATTCTTCACCACATTGGCATGAAGGGAAGATCCACAGGACAAATCCCCAAGCTGGGAGATTGCCTTCACCACATACGGGTAAGTGAATTCATCAGGACGGACATCAAGATCACGCATTTTCTTATAAAGCGTGAAACTTTCGAAGGGGAGCTGGTTTTTAACGTAGCCTTTGAAAAGAGTGTTCCAGAGGAAAATCCTCGGCTTGTGCATTTCGTCGAACACCTTGCGTGCGTAACACATGTCGCTTGCGAGTATGAGATTCTCTATTAGCTGTGTTAAGAGACTGTTTTTGACGGATAGACCAGACGTTAGTACGAGCGCATGGATCTTCTTGAGCTGCTTCGGCTTTGAGGAGCTTGTTCGTAGTAATAGCTTGGAGAGCATTTGTTTTGTTAATGGCGTTTGTCTCGCAAGCATCTCTTCGTTTTTTTTCGACTGTTTTCGTAATTTCAACGATCTTTAACAGTAACATGGTCTATGAATCTTGCAAAGCCCAAAGTTTACAAGAACAGGCCCATATTCGTAAAACTGAAAGTAATTTCAGTAAGTATGGCTCGAAAGGCTAGTGGGCCTAGCAAAATACTTGTTGGAGAGACCTAAAAGTCAACACCAAGAAATAATCGAGATTTTAAGTTTTTAACGTATCAATAGGCATAGTACTTCGGGTTTCGGTTGAAGTTCGGGTCGGATTTTTCAAGTTTCTGGTTTTCAAATTTAAAGATATAGAAATCGTTTGAGTTTTTTTTTTTTTTTTAATTTCAGTTCAGGTTTTTTCGAAGTTTTTAATTTTTTTTTTGGGTTTATAGATATAAAAACCATTTGAACTTTTTTATTTTCAGTTCGGATTTGGTTCAGGTTTTCTGGATTAAGTTTGAGTTTGGATTTGAGTTTCGGGTAAAAGTCTCAACGATAACAACGCAACTTAAGCAGGGTTACACATGTGCCTATTCGATTTTTTTTTTCTTTTTTTTTTAACTATTGATAGACTACAAGTTTTGATTAATTCACGTTCTTATGGAAATTAGAATTTGATTTGCGTAAACTTTGATGATCCAATCTTCTACAACAATAAGATTTTTTTTTTTCTTTTGAACATCTAGAAACCTCATTTAGTGATTAATATATCAACTATTGTTACAAAACGAGATAGTAATGTCAACTTAACAGTGCGAGATAGTGCAAATTTAGCCAGTTTAGTAATTAATATATAGACATATGTATTAAGGTCATGAGTGTCATTAACTAGTAATTAGGTATTTCCCTGTATTAGTATAAATATTGTACATCTACATTCTAATAAAGTATCAAGCTTCTAAACCTATATGGTATTAGCCGCCCTACGATCCTAACCTCAAATTTTTCCGCCTTTCTCCACTTTCAAAAATGTCCACCGCCACCACTGGATCCCCTGCATCTGGCAACGAAGCCATTGTTATCAACAACCAAACACTTCTCAACGTCAACATGACAAATGTCACCAAACTCACTACCACCAACTACCTCATGTGGAGCCGCCAAGTTCATGCCCTCCTTGATGGCTATGATCTTGCCTCCTACATCAACGGATCTACCACTGCTCCGTCCGCCACTGTCACCAACGGTGACATCACCTCTGCTAATCCAGAGTACACGCACTGGATCCGACAAGACAAACTTGTCTACAGTGGCCTTCTCGGTGTGATCTCACCGACCATTCAACCACTCCTCTCTCGTGCCTCAACCGCTGCCGAGATCTGGGAGACCCTTGCCGCGACATATGCCAAACCAAGTCGTGGGCACATCAAGCAACTCAAACACCAACTCAAGTCATCGACCAAAGGATCCAAGTCCATCGACGAGTATGTCCAAGGTCTCACCACCATCTTTGACAAACTTGCCATCCTTGGCAAAGTCATTGAACATGAAGATCAGGTTGAGTCTATACTTGAAGGTCTTCCTGAAGAGTATAAGACGGTTGTTGACCAAATCGAAGGCCGTGACGAACCTCCGAGCATTGCTGATGTTCATGAACGCCTTTTGAACCATGAGGCTAAGATACTCTCTGTGGCTTCCTCTCCCAGCTTCCCTGCCTCTGCCAATGTTGTCTCCCAACGCAACAACAACAACACCAACAACAACCGCCACCACCACAAGCCCTCCCCTCATCACCAACCATCCAACAATCAGTGGCACAACAACAACAACTCACACAGATCTGACAAAACACCAAGACCCTACCTCGGTCGCTGTCAGCTGTGTGGAGTCCAAGGTCACTCTGCGCGTCGCTGCACTCTCCGCATCCAGTACCAGACTCCCACCCCACCTCCACCACCACCATCCTCTCGCCCATGGCAACCTCAGGCTCATCTCGCCAACGCTGCCAATCCACCAGAAACCCAGTGGCTCCTCGACAGTGGTGCCACACACCACATTACATCCGATCTCAACAACCTCTCCTTCCACCAGCCCTACAATGGTGGAGATGAAGTTGTCATAGGTGATGGTTCTGGACTTGGTATCTCGCATACTGGTTCCACACTCTTTCCCTTACCTTCTAAAACTCTCGCTCTCAATAAAGTTCTCTATGTCCCAAACATACACAAAAACCTTATTTCTGTTTACCGCCTTTGTAACTCTAACCAAGTGTCTGTCGAATTCTTTCCTGCATCGTTTCAGGTGAAGGATCTGAACACGGGGGCCCAATTGCTCCAAGGACGAACCAGGAATGAGTTGTATGAGTGGCCGGTCTCACCAACTGTTGCCACAAGTCTCTTTGCTTCACCAACTCCAAAAACTTCTCTGTCCTTTTGGCATTCACGCCTGGGACATCCGTCGTCTTCTATATTAAACTCTGTTGTCTCGCAATTTGCTTTACCAGTTTTAAATCCTTCCAATAAACAATCCCCTTGTTCTCACTGTCTCATAAACAAAAGTCACAAACTACCTTTCGCCAACTCCTCAATTCTCTCAAACAGACCCCTCCAATACGTTTTTACAGACCTATGGTCATCCCCAATCACTTCCATTGACAACTACAAATATTACCTTGTCCTCATTGACCACTACACACGCTACAGCTGGCTATTTCCTCTCAAAAAGAAATCTGATGTCTGTGCAACCTTCATCGCATACAAAGCTCTTGTTGAAAACTACTTCAACACTCGCATCACCACACTATACTCAGACAATGGTGGTGAATTTGTAGCTCTACGACCCTATCTAACTGAACATGGGATCTCTCACCTCACCTCGCCTCCTCACACACCAGAACACAATGGTGTGTCCGAACGAAAGCATCGCCACATAGTCGAAACCGGCATGACTCTTCTCTCTCAGGCAGCCGTACCAAAGACCTACTGGCCATATGCCTTCGCTGCTGCCATCTACCTCATCAATCGACTTCCCACGCCTGTACTTGCTCACCTATCCCCATACCAGAAGCTATTCAACAAGACCCCTAACTACTCTCGATTGCGTGTATTCGGTTGTCAATGCTTCCCCTGGCTACGACCCTACAACAAACACAAACTCGAAGACAAATCCAAACCGTGCGTCTTTCTCGGCTACTCCATCACACAAAGCGCCTACCTGTGTCTCGATCCAACTACGGGTCGTGTCTTCACCTCTCGCCATGTTCAATTCGATGAAGCCACTTTCCCATTCAAGTCGCCAATTTCACCATCTCCCCAAATTGACGATCCAATCTCCGCCTCTCCCTCACCAATGGTAACTTTGGTTCCTCCGGCATCACTCACAGCTCCTTCTCCGGTTCTCCGAGCATCACCGCCTCCGTCTTCAACTCCTCACCCGACACCAACGACGGAGCTGGTTTCATCGCCGTCAAATGCTCCATCGTCGCCGGAAAGTCCTCGACAGTCATCATGTGACATCTCTTCCTCTCCTTCTTCTCACTCTAGCCCAACACAACTCTCCACTGACCATGAATCAAGCCCATCACCAAGCCCACCTCCTCGCCAACCTACCCGTACGGCCCACCGAAACACTCAGACCCAAAATGTCCCTCAGCCCACACAAACTGAGCCCACTCGCCACCAAATGCAAACAAGATCCAAAAACAACATCTCCAAACCGAATACCAAATTTAACCTCTCATCCCTTCTTACATCGACCAAAACCAAACCATTCATTCCCAAGACTGTGAACCAGGCTTTGCGAGATCCCAACTGGAATCCTCCCTGCTCTGATGAGATCAATGCCATGATTCGTAATCGGACATGGAGTCTTGTTCCACCTCATCCCTCACAAAATGTGGTCGGATGCAAATGGGTTTTTACAATTAAACAACTTGCTAATGGTTTGCTTGACAGGAACAAAGCCCGCCTCGTTGCCAAAGGCTTCCATCAACAGCAAGGCATTGACTACGCTGAAACCTTCAGTCCGGTGATCAAATCCACCACCATTCACACGGTCCTAAGCACTGCCGTCACCAAGTCATGGGCACTACATCAACTTGATGTAAACAACGCATTCCTGCAAGGATCACTGACTGAGGAAGTCTACATGCAACAACCACCTGGATTTGTTGATCGTGATCGACCTGATCATGTCTGTCTTCTCCATAAACCGATCTACGGCCTCAAACAGGCACCACGGTCGTGGTACCTTGAGCTCCGCAACTATCTCATCTCCATTGGCTTCAAAAACTCTCTTGCCGACACATCTCTCTTCATCTACAAGAACGGTGCTGACATTGCATACCTTCTGGTCTACGTTGACGATATCATCGTCACTGGTAACTCATCTCCACTTATCTCCCACGTCCTCCAATCGCTGGCTGATCGCTTCTCTATCAAAGACCCTACCGAACTACATTACTTCCTCGGCATCGAAGTTCATCGCACAAGGCAGGGTCTTCACATGAATCAACGCAAATACATTGCGGATCTTCTTCAAAAGACGAACATGACGAACGCCAAACCAGTGGCAACTCCAATGGCGACCTCTCCAAAACTCACTCTCAACTCTGGTGAAGCTCTGTCTGATCTGCGTGACTACAGAACCATTGTTGGGAGTCTCCAATACCTCGCGTTCACGCGACCGGACATTGCATATGCCGTCACCCGCCTTTCTCAATTCATGCATCGGCCCACGCATGACCACTGGAATGCCGCCAAACGTGTCCTCCGCTACCTCGCCGGTACACTCTCCCATGGCGTCTTCCTCAAGGCATCAAACAAACTCACTCTCCATGCCTTCTCTGATGCCGACTGGGCTGGTGACACCGACGACTACGTCTCCACGCAAGGCTACGTCATCTATCTCGGAAACCATCCCATCTCCTGGTCCTCAAAGAAGCAACGCGGTGTGACTCGCTCCTCCACCGAAGCCGAGTACCGATCAGTCGCCAATACGGCATCGGAACTACGATGGATATGCTCTCTTCTTACTGAAATGCACATCTCACTTCCCTCAACGCCGGTCATCTATTGTGACAACATTGGAGCAACCTACTTATGTGCCAATCCGGTGTTTCACAGCCGCATGAAACACATTGCCCTCGACTACCACTTCATCCGTGAACAAGTACAATCTGGCGCTCTCCGTGTCACTCATGTCCACACGAACGACCAACTTGCTGACTCCTTCACGAAAGCCCTGCCACGCACACGTTATCAACATCATTGTTCCAAGATTGGAGTTCACAAGTTACCTCCATCTTGAGGGAGTGTATAGACATATGTATTAAGGTCATAAGTGTCATTAACTAGTAATTAGGTATTTCCCTGTATTAGTATAAATACTGTACATCTACATTCTAATAAAGTATCAAGCTTCTAAACCTATATAATATACCCAACTATACTTCATTTAGTAATGTCAACATTGTTATAGACACCGATGTTCAACCACAATACTATCAAAATAATAATTTGTTATTCCTCGGATCATGTTTTTATCGATGGGACAGCAAAAGCATGAAAAACGTACAGCCAATCATCTTCGTTTCTTATTTCATTTGAGGTCTCGCAAAAGTTTGCATTATTTGGCATTCTGTTCTACTCTTATCTACCTGAACGATCGTGAAATAGGGAAAAATTTCAGATTATACTCCATCTATTTATGATAGTACCCATGTTTTACAGTTTTCGCATAGAAATAAATAACAACTAGCTCTAAATGCATCATTTTTCTCTCACTAACCATTTTTCTATTAAGATGAACCAATAACAATTCAACAATTTAAATATTTTAACTAAATATTTTTGAAGTTCACTTTTATATTAAATCTATCTATTAATATAAGGGTGATCAGTTGGTTTAATATTACTAAAAAATTCTATACTTTGAAAACTAACCCTGGTTTTAAAAGTTTTGAAAACTAACTTTTTTAATAAGTGAAAAGACAATAAAACCATTATCATTTTCCTATTAATAATGAGAAAAAAGTCTTATTTAGTTTAGATATATATTGAATTTAGATATATTGTATTTTTTAATAAGTGAAAAGATAATAAAACCATTATCATTTTCCTATTTTCCTATTGAATATATTTTCGAAAATTCGTTTATATATTTTTTAATAAATATTTAAAAATATACATGTTATTTTGAAAATATATTCATATTTATCATAAAAATGAATCAAACTCTATAAATATATATACATAAATATCATTTTAGAAAAAGAAAAACTCACACTTCATTCTTTAAAAAAAAAATGATAGAAAGTGTTAAAGTTAACTCATGTTATATATTTATGAGTCTTATGACATGTTAAATTTCAAATAAAATCTTCTAAATATCTTTTTGTTTTCTTGTTGTAAATTTTATGGGAATATCCAACACTGAAGTTTATTTTCTCCTCTTTTTTTGTTATATAAAATAAAAGTAATTGTTTATAATTATCTTTAAAATAACAGATTTTTTTTTTACAATTTAAATAAATTTTAAATAAGATAAACGAAATTTTAAAACAAATTTAATATCTAAAAAATAGATGGTATTTTAGTAATTTTAAATATTAGAAAGATTAATTTACCAACACTTTTAAAAGGAGGTTAATTTTCAAGATATGATTAATTTATGTAATATTGATCCAAATTTCTTCTTAATATAAAGTAGGATAAAGTCTATTCTTATGATGCATCACAAAGAAATGATGTTTTAAAATGTGACAGCTCATCATTTTGTTAATGAAATTTTAAATTATTTACTTTATTTATTATTAGTTCATCATATAGATTTTCATGATAAATACCACCATTAGTTCAATCGTTTTAGCTAGAACAAAAAATAATACATTTATAATCGTTTTATAATCAAGTTGTGAAATCTCCAAAAAGTCATATTTTAGAAACAGAAGGTGTATTAAGTAGTCTTAATTTTATTTTAATGACATATTTATCCCCCAAAAAAAACTTAACACTAAGCCACAGTTTAACTAGATAACTCAATGGTTGTCAAACAAAAAACCCAGATAACTCAATGATTATCTCATTGAGTATTTCTAAAAATCATTCAAGTCGCTTTTTGGTTTTCAAAACACTTAAAAGATGTTAACAGAAATTTTTTAAAGAGACCAACGGTCATTACAGCCAGGTTCCAATCGGATTCACCTAATTCCTCTTATTAATTTGTAGAGAGATCTTTATCAAAAAAATTTTGTAGAAAGACGATAACGATTGTTACCGGCCCCATTAAAATATGATTGATTATCTATGGCTTGATTATGACATTCTAGGCATGTAATGGACTGCTTGGCGACTGTAGCGGAAGCTAGATAAATACAGTTCAACCTATAATTCAATGGAATCAATTGGGATCTGCCAGCTCAACTAAGAGATTTGATATAATCATCGCTTGAGACCTGCTTCTTGAACTCGTTGAGATCTCTCTAAATCTACCGAAAACAAGAATAGAGAATACTCTTCTCTCAAAAGCCAAAGCTCTTTATTAAAAATCAACAACTTAATACAAAGGAGGCCTAAACGGCTTATTTATAATAAATCTCAAAACCTAGAAAAACCCTAAAATAATAATAGAAAATTATCAAACTAATAATATAAATAATATGAATATTTCTAAATATCTCTGCATTAACGACGGTTTCATTGAAATCGTAATCTAAAGTTAAACAGTATATATATATATATATATGTACGAATTTGTGATCAATCATAAACTGATTATCGTTTAATTAAGATTAAATATCATAGATTTCTTGATATTGATGACGGTTATAGATAGTGTTGATGCGCATTATTGCATTTTGTCAAACCTAATACTTATTATTCTATGATGAAGAACTTCGTAAATGTGAATTACGAGACAATACAAATTAACAGTAAGCTTTTACTTTTTTTACACAGAGTAAGTTTACACCTACTCGTGAATAATTTGCATGGCAGCATGAATGATATAAGAATCGTGGTAAAAAGTCATTGTCGTCAAACGAAAGAAAACAACATGTATTTACGTTTTACACGTGACGCTCTCCTCTCGATAACTCTATATAAACGAAGGAGAACACAAAGGTAAAGTATTCATCAACCAAAGAAACGAGAAAAAACAAGAGAAACTTCACTTAATACCCAAAGAAGAGAGAGATGGCGACGTCAGGAACATATGTGACGGAGGTTTCGTTGAAGGGATCAGCGGAGAAACACTACAAGCGGTGGAAGAATGAGAACCACCTCTTCCCTGACGCCGTTGGCCACCACATTCAAGGTGTCACCGTCCACGATGGTGAATGGGACTCTCATGGATCCATCAAGATTTGGGACTACACATGCGGTACGTAAAACTACTTCTACTTTTAAAAATTACATTATATATATATATATATATATATATATATATATATATATATATTTTTAATATATTCACTATGGTTGAACTCTGCAAGATATATATATTTTTAATATATTCACTATGGTTGAACTCTGCAAGTTTTTGTTTTTGGTTAAAGGATAAATAATCTTTATATTATTAATTGAGAAGTACATGAAAATTTATGACCAAAAAACCAATCTAATTATGAGAGAAATGTTTGGCAACAGATTTAATGAGGGTCAATTTAGTACATTGTAATGTTTGGATACAAGAATAAGAGAAAAATCTATTTGGATAGAAGAATAAATGGAAAAAATTGTTTGGATACAAGAATAATAACTTAAAACAAACCGATGGTTTAGAAAACTTCCGTTTTCCAGCTCTTAAAAATCTGCAAAAAAAAAACTTAACATAATCTAACGATAATACCAAATCAATAGAATATGCTTTTTGGATTTTCGGGTTTTTATAGACAAGTTCGGGTTTGGGTGAAAATCTGAGACCTAATTTTATAGAGATATAGAAATTGTTCGGGTTTCTTTGAAAATTTCTGTTCGGGTTGGGTTCAAGTTTTTTTTTCAGTTTAGGGTTTTCCGGATTTTTTGGATTTCGGGTTTTCGGGTTTAGATATATTAAAAAATTGAGTATTTTAAAATTTTGATTAGGGTATTTGGGTCGGGTTCCGGGTGAAAAAGTTTCCAGATTTTTTTTGTTCAGTTCAGGGTTTTCGGGATTTTTTTGATTTCGGATTTTCGGGTTTAGACATATTAAAAAAGTTTGGGTTTTTAAATTTTTTGATTAGGGTTTTTTGTCGGGTTCGGATTTAGGGTTTAAATTTTCTACACAAAACCACAACGTCACACCGCACAAACGTGCGGGTACTCTACTAGTCTATTACAATAAAATTACACTTTACATATATGTGTTTTTGTTGAAGATTTGTCACGTAAGACATTTTACACAAAAAAAACTAATTTATTTTGAACACAGAAATTTATCTTATTTAGGTGAATTATCCACATATATAGATATATGGTGCTAACGTAGCTAATGAACACATATAATGTATACGTATGTGTATTAAATGTGAAGATGGGAAAAAGGAGGTGTTCAAGGAGCAGAGGGAGAATGACGATGACAACATGGCGGTTACGCTGAGAGGGCTCGAAGGTCACGTGATGGAGGAGCTTAAAGTCTATGACGTCATCTTTCAGTTCATTCAAAAGTCGCCTGGTGATATTATCTGCAAGATCACTATGATCTGGGAGAAGCGAATCGATGACTCGCCTGAGCCCATCAACTACATGAAGTTCGTGAAGAGCATGGTTGCTGATATGGACGACCACGTTATCAAAGCTTAAATCCCTTGCACCATGCATCATCACCTATCTATTATCATCGTCATTACCGTCAAATATATGGATCGGATCCCTTAGTTTGTCTATGTGTGTGTCTTTGTAAGGTGTTTTCAACACAATAAATGGGTGTTCTAGCTTATTGCATGGTTCGTTAATTTATGTTACTCTTTGTCTATGTGTGTGTGTGTGTGTCTTTGTACGGTGTTTTCAACACAATAAATGGATGTTCTTATTGCATGGTTCGTCAAACCCTTAGAGCATCTACATCAGTTAGAAGCAATCATAAGTATCTCATAAATATAAATATCAGTAATTGTAGTATAAGTTAAGTAATCAATTAAATTTTTAAATCATACAAAGGAATAACTTATTGTTATATGATAAGTGTTAGTTTCAATATCTCAACTTGTGAGAATCGGTCCTCAAACCCATTCCCCTTATCGTTCTATTTGTGTATATAACATTTTTGTATGACAAGTGTTACTCTCAGTATCTTAACTTGCACAAAGAGCATATTTCTTGTTTTTCCTTACCTATTTTTTGTGTGTATATAACATTTTTAATATTTTTCTTCGTCTCTTGTATTTTGAACCTCAAAAATAAAATATAATATAATTTTACATCTCAAGCTGTTTTTCGTAAATAACATGCATAATCATGATATATTTTAATATATTTCCTTCTCGCACGTCAATATCGTGATGATAGTTAATCGACGTGATTTTATATCTTCAAATCCAGAATATAATACATGGACATACTACGTCAAAGATAGACCAATCCATCAAATCGATGTAGAGTACAATCTGTATAAAAAGTAATATTCGATAAAATAATAAATATTATAAGATAATATATTGTTCTGGTCTCAATTTGGGCCAATGTAAAAAATTATAAAATGCGATAAGATAATATGATAATAATATTTTTGAAACTCCTATGTAAAAATATAGTCCCAACAATAAGTTAAAGTAATAATTGTAAAACTTAAAATATATATATATATATATATGTATATATAAATATATAAATATAGTCCCAACAATAAACTAAAGTAATAATTATAAAAGTTAGACATATCTTATTATATAAAGCTGGATGCGCGCGACGTGGTTGCGACACATAGGATTTTTATAAAATATAGGATCATGACATGTGTCACTTTTAAGGTTAGGTCCGTTAAGATCGTGACACGTGTCTTAGGAAAAAAGAAAACTTTTTTTAAAGGGAAAATTTTAATATTTTATAATAAAAACGAAAATTTATAAATAAATTGAAAATAATGCTATAAAAAATTTCTATTAATACATCGAATATGTATATAAACTAAATATCCTAAAACGGTATGGAATAGGTTACATAAACCCATGTTTAAAAAAATTCTATTAGTACATGGAATATGTATGTAAACTAAATATCCTAAAACTGTATGGAATAGGTTACATGAACCCCCTATAAAAAGAGAGCTACTGTAATCTCTTTTTCTCATTCACAGACTCATCAAAGCAAATTCAGCAAATCTCTTTGATTCTCTTTCTCTAATTTTAAAATTATGTCTTTGAAAGTTCAAAAGAACAGTGGAGATTATTTGACTCTAGGTCAATTGGATCGAAATCGAAATTATCGCCGTACTATAGTACGTGTTATTCGAAAGTGGGAAGCTAGAAATCCTAAAGAAAACAATATTCTTATGGGAGTTGACCTTCTATTACTTGATGAAAAAGTTAGTAACATTTTATATTTATATCTTATTATATAAATATGAAAGTTAGATATCAATGAAGAATATTTAATTTTAGATCAGTTGGATCAAAATTGAATTTATTGTCGCAACATGTGTCTAATAATTGATCAGGTGATGAGTTGTGTTAACACAAGAACATTGGAAAAATGTATTAACAGAAAAAAGAAAAGTAACATTGTAAAAAACCTAATTGATATTGGAAAGGGAAATTAATAATGGAGAGAGGCTAAAAAAATATTGAAAAAGAAACAATATAAATAGAAAACAGACAGAATAATTATCAAGCAACTAACTAATATTAAAAAGAAAAATTTATAATAGACCCATTTTATAATTTTTAATAAGATAATTTTCAAGTTTTAAATCGAATAATCAAAAATTTACGAATTAATTAATTGATCAAATTTAGACACATGTAATTCTTTCTAATATTAGATAAAAAAAATCATTTTTTATATTATGAATTCAGAAACAAAATGTGAGTTATAATTAAAATGTAAAAGGATTACCAATTTTATTTAATTTAGATATTTATTATTGATTTCTAATACTATTTTATTTACCAAAATGATCCGATTTTTTTTGATATTTTTGTGATTAATTTTATAAATTTTAAAATAAACCCGCGTGTATACGCGGGACTTAATCTAGTAGTGTAATATAGTTTTACTCTACACTAAAGTAATAATTATAAAACTGAAGACATATACTGTAATGTATTTTATTTTGTAATGTAGTTTTAGGAAATAACGAGAAAAAATTGAAACCCCTAACAATTAAAACTAGAAAGATTGTGTAAAGCTTATTGAATTGAAGGTGCGTTGTGGCATATCTTATTTCTATCCATAGTAATCATTGTAAACGGTAAATTAATATGTTCTATAATAATGATAAGTTGTTTTGTACTATAACCACTGTGTAATGCATTTATGGTGGAATTTATGATTGTAAATCAACGTGTTGATGATTTTAGGGTCTCTTACTTTGTTAAAAACTATAGGAAAATCACCATGTTCGTTTTTTGTTTTTGTATTGTTTTCATCGGGTTACAGTCATAAACCCGATGCTGTGGATCTCAACCCAAGTTCATCATCAAGAAGATTATATGTCAACCGGGTAATCGAAGACATGATTTTCTCATATGATCCTTGTCATTGTGTTTTGAGAATCATGAGGCTCTTAACAGAGCCTATCTCTTGACATGAGCTGGAATGCAATTGGCGATTTCTAATCTTGTCATTTTTTGAACTCTTTTAGACCAGGCTGCGTGTTAAGAGAGTACACACGTATAATTGTCCTTTTTCTTCTTTATCAAAAAATAATTGTCCTGTTTTCGTTTGGTCGGCCAATTATTGTACTTTTTTTCTTTAACTACTAACAAGTAACAATGTTACTTTTCTTTACACGATCAACGGTTTCACCAAATAATTCATGCATTAATTAATATGTACAAAATATAATTATTTCATCCATCCATTTTAGTTTACAAAAAAATTTTAAAAAATGTTAACAGTCGTTTCCATGTAGAAAAACGAAAGTGGTTGCTACCTGCCTCACTGAAATATGGACGTGTAATTTAATGGACGTGTAACTGAAAGCCTATAATACTTCTATATTTGGTAGTGTACATAGGACTTCTGAAAATAATCATATTTATAATTACGATTTGCTTAAGGTTAAATTATTTTCATTGGTAGATGGATGACGTGATGATGGTCATATGCATACATATTATTTTTGGTTTTCCAAATGCAGCTTGTCAAAACTAATGCTTAATTATCATTGTGTATTTGTATGCTAAGAACTTGGTAAACGTGAGTCACGACTCACGAGACTCGCGCACACATTACACCTTTTTTGGTAAAACAAATACTAACAGTTAACTTTTTGTTTCCTCTATCTTTCTACGCACTGAAAGATCAAATTTATACGCTCTCGTTAATAATTTGCATCACTATAGTTAAACCAATCGTGTAATAATGCAAGATGAGAGATCTTGGTTTTGCAATAAATATGTTCTTACGTTTTAACCCTTACGTTCTCTACTATATATATTAACGAAGGAGATACCACAAGTTAAAATATTCATAAACCAAAGCGAGAAACAAAGAAAAACGCCACGTACCTTCCAACACAAAGAGGAGAGAGAGAGATGGCGACGTCGGGAACATATGTGACAGAGGTTCCGTTGAAAGGATCGGCGGAGAAACACTACAAGCGGTGGAAGAATGAGAACCACCTATTTCCCGACGCCATCGGCCACCATATTCAAGGTGTCATCGTCCACGAAGGCGATTGGGACTCTCATGGAAGCATCAAGACTTGGACCTATACATTAGGTAACAATACATCAATTTATTTTTGATAAATATATACAATCCATGTCAGAAATTAAAATTTTAGACTGAAGAAATTAAAGCATTAATAGGGTTTACCATATATTTATAAACTCAGCTCTCAGTTTAATATATTCTCTATGTTTGAACTCTGCAAGTTTTTGAGGACTTTTTACATGATTACTCTTTAGTGAAAACAATTATAATTCAATTTACTGCAATTTTATTAAGATGAATTATCCAAACAAATAAGGTACGTACTTAATGAATGAAACATGAACGTTACAAATGTATATGTATGAAGATGGGAAACAGGAGGTGTTCAAAGAGAGGAGAGAGAACGACGATGAGAACATGGCGGTAACGCTCAGGGGACTTGATGGTCACGTGATGGAGGAGCTTAAGGTATATGACGTCACCTTTCAGTTCATTCAAAAGTCGGAGGATGATATCGTCTGCAAGATCACTCTAGTCTGGGAGAAGCGAAACGATGACTCGCCTGAGCCCATGAATTACATGAAGTTGAACAAAAGCATCGCTGCTGACATGGACAACCATGTTCTCAACGCTTAAATAAATCACCTTCTTCTATGTGTGTGTGTGTGTGTGTCTTTGTATGGTGCTTTTAGTATAATAAAGGCCGAAGGTTCGATGCTGTTAACTATATCTGGTGATCCATTGCAAGGTTTCATGTATTATGATATGTCCATCAGTTTGTTTGTATTTTCTCTATATATGTTAATGAAAAAGAAATAAGAATGTTTGTGAGTATTGACTATTGAGTACGTAAGTACTGTGTTTCTTTTTTATATTAATGCTGTATCATTATTAATTGGTAGTGTATATAGTTTCCTTAAAATTGTAGGATAATATAAGAAAATGGAGAAAATACTAAATTTAATAGAATTAAAGAAGGGGATGTAAGGGCTTTGGCCCACAACCTCTTAGTAATTCAAAAAAAAAAAAAAGAAAAGAAGGTTCTGAATATAACAAACTCAATGATCATTAGAGGATTCGAGATGGATTTGATAAATTATCGACAACGTGAAGAAATCAAAGAAAGCCACCGTATGTGCGTAGAGAATCCACCGGACGTATTTTCATAGCATTAAGAGCATCTCCATCAAGGGTATATTACCCATAGTCTCTCACAAAAAAAGAGGTAAAATATATACAATGATTTGATATCAGTGATAATTATAACAACCTGATTTATGGTATATGTGGAGAGGCGTAGGAATAAATTTGGTTACCTAAGATATTAAAGTGCATTATTGTTTTGGTTAAAGATTTATTAAAACTTCAAAGTAAACATATTTCGATTGGAATAATGGAAGGATGAATTACCTACCATAAATAAATTTAGTTAGTTATCTATGACATTAAAATGCATTTATTGTTTTTGTCACAAATTTATTAAAAACTCCAAAGTTAAATGTATTTTGATTGGAATAGTGGAAAGATAGAGGATATACATAAATAAATTTGGTTACCTATGGTATTAAAGTGCATTTACTGTTTTGATTAAAAATCTATTAAAAACTCCAAAGTTAAACGTATTTCAATTGGAATAGTGGAATGATAAATGACCAATGTGATAATACGGTATAAATAAAGTCAAACTTGGATGATAATTACATAGGTTACCCGCCTATTCCCCCCAACTAAAATGTTTCATCGTGATCCACACAAACTTTTGAGCCCCTTTTATTTCCCCCAAACTTATAATCTCTGTCGGTTCCCCCATTTGCGTTTTAAAAAACAAAATCCAGTTTTCGAACAGTGATTGCCCGTTTTAACTCAATTGACCCGGGTTTTAAAACGCAAACCCGCGGTTTGTCTAACAAATCAGACCCGATTACATCTAACCCTAACCCGCAACCTTTTTCCAAAAAATTAAAATCGATTTGGGGGAAATCGAAAGGGGATTAGGGTTCGTCGATTCTGGGGTTGAATATTGTTCCGTGGAGAGGAGAATTAGACATCTTTTATTCCGACAGAGACAGGAAGGTAAGCTAACTATAATTCCGAATTGGTTTCTTTGTCGAATTCTTGGGTGATTTCGTTTTTTGGTTCAAGTGATTGTCATCATTGTTGCTGGTTTCTTTTTCGAATAGGGAACAAAACAATGAGTAGTTCATCTTCAGCTTCATCTCGTCTGACCAACAGAAGATCAGTGTACGGGGGAGACCACCGAACAGAGGATTTAACCCCGAATCTATCCCCTTTTGATTTCCCCAAATCGACGAACCCTAATCTCCTTTCGATTTCCCCAAATCGATTTTAATTTTTTGGGAACAAGGTTGCGGGTTAGGGTTAGATGTAATCGGGTCTGATTTGTTAGACAAACCGCGGGTTTGCGTTTTAAAACCCGGGTCAATTGAGTTAAAACGGGCAATTACTGTTCCGAAAACTGGATTTTGTTTTTTAAAACACAAATGGGGGAACCGACAGAGATTATAAGTTTGGGGGGAAATAAAAGGGGCTCAAAAGTCCGTGTGGATCACGATGGAAACATTTTAGTTTGGGGGGAATAGGCGGGCAACCCTAATTACATGGACAGTAAACAATTTTTTTAAATCTCTAAAAAATAATAAACCAACTGTCGGATGAGGTGGGGACCACGGGTTGAGAGAAGGCATGGATAACCCACATGTAGAGGTGGTTGAGCCGAGACGTTATAATTTGATATAAAAACCGCACCCACACGACAATGTGGAGTTAAGTTGGGCTCACACCATCATGGGTGATGATCCTAGTGCACAACATGAACGTTGCGCTCAGTGAGTGAGGGTAAATTATAATATCAATATTTATAGTATATGTAGAGAGGTTTAAAAAAAACTGATTTGACTACCTATGTCATCAAAATGCATTTATCTTTTGGGTCTAAAGGCCTATAAAGAACTTTAGAGTTAAGCATGTTTAGTCTGAAGTAGTGCAAGGATAAGTAACCTACCATGAAGTGATATGCAGTACGTGTGAGTGAAGTCAAAACATATGGAAAGAGCCGGTGAATATTGAAGTGACAGTAAATAAGTCTTTAAAGCCTCTCAAAAATAATGCACCGATCTTTAAACAGAAATGAGTCCACGAGACAAGAGAATGTGTGAGTAACCCAGTGATAGGGGCGATCATGGTGTTATAATTTGGTATCAGAACCACACACAGACGAGAATGTGGAGTCAACGAGACTTACACCATCATAGGTGACGGTCTGGGAGTGAATTGTCACATCCTATGGTATATGTGGAGAAGTTGAAGAGAACTGATTTGGCTACCTATATCATTAAAGTGCATTTATCTTTTCGGTCAAATACCCATAAAGAACTCCAAAATTGAGCGTGTTTATTCTAGAATAGTAAAAGGATGGGTGACTTTCTAGAAAATGATTCGATGACTATATAAAGTTGGATAATCTCTCTTCACAGTTCACACACCACCATGTCATTACAAGAAGCTCTAAAAAAATTGACATAAACATTTTTTTATTATATTTTCTCTTTCTAGATTTCTATTCTCATAATAACTATCATTCATTAATATAACAGTTTTAACAATAACTTGAAAATTCATTTTATAAAAAAAACTTATGTATAGATCTATAAAAACTATTATTTAGTAATTATAGTATTGTTATATGTGGGAGCTGGAATCCGCACAATAGATTTGAGTGATGATTTTAGAGAGGGTTTAGAAATTCTAAGAGTAACACAAACGAGGATCCAAAGATGGTGATTTTATTGATGTAAAGTGTAAAGTGTTGTGTAGTGCGTAGCAATGGAAAAGTGATGATCGAACTCCTTTGGTTCGATCTCTATTTATACAAGACTTAGAACCGACTCTTTTCAAGATTCTCTAAGATTTTCCTAAAATTCGTCTTTATCTCTTGCGGCGCGTCGGTTTGGCGTCAATTGCTCCTTAGGGCGAACCACACGTTATTCTCATTGGGCCTCAGCTCAAGTCGACTAAACGGACATTGGTTCGGCCCACGATGCGTAGTGGTTCGGCCCAACTCTTCACTGCATGATCTTGGTTCTCCGGGCATGGCTCTCGTCGTGTCCTCGGTGTGAGCTGCAGCTCGTTGCGAGCTAGCTCGTCGTTCACGTCGTCTGCCGTAGCTTGTTGAGACACAGTTCGTAATGGTGCAGCTAGTCGTGTTTAGCTCTCCATTCCTTGCCACATGCTACGATTCTCGTTGAGTTCGATGAGAAGTATTCCGACCCCAACATTATATTTAATTATATAACTTATTATATTTACTTTCAAATAAATACGTCAGATGATGTCAAAATACTATAAAAAGGGCACTTAATTGTTAAAGTATTTCAGATGAAATGATATGCGACAGGACCGTATGGAACGGATGTGGGGATAATTTTTTCTACCTCTTACTATATAAGACTTTGAAAGTATTTTTCTAATTTATAAGAGACTTTTAATTAAATAATAGTATTTTTGTGTATGTTTACACTTCAAATATTAATTATTAATATAAATTAGAGATAAGAGACTAAAATAATATACCCCCAATAATTATGTTCTAAAAGATGTTAGGTAACTTTTCTTAGTTTTAGAAACACTTCTAATTAAATACTAATATTTCTTTTGTGTTCACACTATAAATATAAATATTAGTTATTAATATAATTTAAAGATAAGAGACTTTGATAACATATACCGAGTAAACATGCTCTTAAGGGTGGAACTTATGCTGATATACACATGCACAGTTCTTTTTTACTCTTATAGCGAATTAAAGATATCAATCCAAAGCAACCATTATAGTATAAATGTATAATACACAGTACACACACACGCACACACACTTCTTGCTTCGTGTTGGTTTAGTTAATTATTACCTGAGCCAAGAAGTGACAAGGGGCCCAATAGAAGCATGAAACACACAAATATCTTACATCAAAAAAATCGTTTAATACTCTGTTTTAGTTCTTTTTCATATCTTGAAATTCGGAAGATGTGATGTTGCGTCGAGGCCTTTCACAAAGTATCCCTTTGTGTATTCTTCTAAATTGATATTTCTGTATTTTGGAGGGTTTTCTTCAGAGATAAGCTCTTTGATTGGTCCGTAAACAGTTGAGTTGGGAAGCATACTCGTGCTGAAAAAGCTCGCTACTGAAATCCTCGGTCCTGCTCTGTTCGCAAGTACCCTATGCTCCACGCTTATGAACTTGTCATTCGTCATAAGCTACATATCAATTGTATCTCAGATTCTCAACAAAGTTACACTGTTTGTTATAATTTTCAAAGTTTGAAAGAATAAATCAATGAACTTGCCTGCAAGAAATCTCCAATGTTGATGAGGAGATCCCCCGGAAGAGGAGAGACATCGACCCAACAGTCCTCATGAAGAACTTGAAGACCACCTATTTGGTCCTGAAGAAGAATGGTGATGAAAGAGTTGTCGGAATGATTACTTGTCCCAAAGTTAGGTCAGGTTGAGGACATGGAGGGTAGTAATGGCCGAGTATAAGCAAACCCTTCATGCAATCCAGGCTCTTAAGCATCTCTGAGTTTAAACCGAGAGCTTCTGAGAGAAGTTCAAAGAGAAAATACCCTAAGCTTATCATATGCTTCGAATACTCGATCATAGCATCCCTGAGCCAATAAATGATGTTAATGAGAGTATATCATCTTCAGATGTTTCATAGATAAGACTTCTTATTGAAAATCGAAATTACGTACCTGCAAGCCATTGGGAGTTCCTCAGGCTTTGGAGGATCAGGAGCCATATAACAAGCAAAACTGTCTCTCCAGTTAACACATGAAGAAGAGCTATACAGATCGAAATTGCTATTGTACACAAATTTCTTGGCTGCGTCACGAGTGAAGTAAGATTTCTTCACCTCAAGATCTTGCTCATGAAACCTAACTACTCCATCTTTAATCTCTTCAAGAGCGCTCAAAGGAACACCATGGTTAATCACCTGGAAGAATCCCCAATTCCCTGCCGCGTCTTTGATCTTCTCTACAACGACTTCACGCGACGCTGCGTCCACGTGGACGCCTGCAAAGTCGATTATAGGGATTGCAAAATCCGAGGCAGAAACAGAGGTTTTCTTGTCGGCTAAGGTACCTTGAGGAAGACGGGAGATACGAGGAATCTCAGTGATTTGAGCGTCGACGAGACCTTTCACACCTGCTTTCGTCTCGTCAAAAGCTTTGCGCTCGCTATAAGAGTCGAATTCAATCAAGTTTTTGATCGACATGTTATTTTGAACCTATTACAAGATTTCTCACAAAAAAGGCTACACCATATTCAAGAAAAATAAGAGCGTGTTCTGGATTTTCATATGATAATTATGGCAAGAAAAATGGTTTTCGGTTTTTCATTGTTGTGGTCGAGAGTTCTTTTATACACATAAAAAGATAAAGCTTTGCGAGAATGAGATAAATTAATAATAATTTTTTTTGTTATGAAGTGAAGAAGAGAAGATACAAACTCGATGGTTGAAAATTTGGTAGTTGGCGCGTGGGACTGACAATGACCGTTGGTGACGTATGTTCGTGGTTGTTGACTGTGTCTGAAACTGATGTCAGCAATTGTTTTTTCTTTTCTGGCCATAAGAGTCGTTACTGATGTAATTTTGAATTTACTTGTAACGAGGACAATTCAAAAGAATCAAGTAATCCACGTAGTGAAGTGTTCTGATACCAACGAATAATAAGAAGAAGAAAAGGAAGTCAAATCTCAATCGGAATGACTTTGTACTAGTTTGTACTTTGTAGTAATGATTTTTTAGCTCTTTCCCCTCGACAGCAACTAATGATTGACCTAATTGATCAACTTCGTTGCTTCCTCTCGAATGGAACCGCACCTTAAATTCCTCCATGGGTCGTAGCCAATGCTCAAACCTCAGTATCACGATATAATAATGATTTTAGCTCCATAATTTCTGAGTACAATTCAATTTGTTTTTCGCTACCTTCATTTTGTTTGGCTCATTGTTTACATACAATCCTTTTTGTTGACTTTTACTCTTATCATTAATACGATATTTATAAGATAAATGTCAATAATCGGGTTTCCAGCTTAGCACTGGTTTCCCAATTTATAGAACCTGAAATCAAATAAAATCTACAGTTCAGTTTTAAGTAAGATTTTTTTTTTTAAAAAAAAAAGTCAAGAAATTGTTTGATTATAGATTAATGTTTGTTTTGATTGTTTCAAGTTTAAAGTAATAAATCAATGGGTTTGTAAATAAACTTTCTAGCCTAGCAAAGCTTGGTTAAAAAATATAAGATCTCAAAACCCTTATTCCTCCCAGTTTCTTTATTAGTGTGAGTATCTCATCCGGTGAATCTTCTTCTTATCTTTTTTTTTTTGATAAAAAACTTCTTCTTATCTTTCATCATTGACGTCCAAGGAAATTCTATGAACTACTCCCATTGAAAATCTTCATTTTGTACACCAAGTGCTTCTTAATTTTAAACTACTCTCTCTGTTCCAAAATATAGTTTTAGAATTTACACAGTTATTAAGAAACACTTATCATCTATATTTTTTGTAGTTAATCCACAATTGTCTCTTTTAATTTAATACTCACAAAAATAATAGAAAATTGAATTGTAAGACTTTATCTTCTTGCTTCAAAAAAATTAAGTGTGGAGGGCATCGTCATACTTTGTGTCTCCTAGCATGCGTATGAATGAGAAACGGTTCCGAACAGACTTGTCAATGATGCTGATGAGCTGACACGGAGAGAGCGGTTGTTCTCTATGTCGACGCGAGTTTCTTTCCTTCCGTAGACTATTTATTGTTGCTTGAATTACATATCTAGTAAGGAACAATTTGAGGCATGGCTGAGATGTGTCTATTTTTTTTAATCTTATGTTTCTATTATATATATTAACGATTAACGAAGGAGGTACCACAAGTGAAAATATTCATCAACTAAAGCGACAAACAAAGAAAAACACACGCACCTTCCAACACAAAGAGAGAGAGAGAGAGCGAGAGATGGCGACGTCGGGAACATATGTGACGGAGGTTCCGTTGAAAGGTTCGGCGGTGAAACACTACAAGCGGTGGAAGCATGAGAACCAACTCTTTCCCGACGCCATCGGCCACCACATTCAAGGTGTCGTCGTCCACGAAGGCGATTGGGACTCTCATGGAAGCATCAAGACTTGGAATTACACATGCGGTAACAGTACATTAATTTATTTTTGATAAATATATACAATCCATGTCAGAAAATTGGGATTTTGCCATTTCGGTAAAATATTAGATTGAAGAAAGCATTAATTAATAGCAGTTTCACAAAAGGAAAAAAAAAAAAAAAAACCATTAGTAGGGTTTACCATATATATTTTATAAAACTCAGCTCTCAGTTTAATATATCCACTATGTTTCAAATTTGCATGTTTTTGAAGAATTTTTACATGATTACGCTTAGTGATTTTTTTTCTTTCTAATTCCATTCACTGCAAGTCTGCAATTTAATTAAGATGAATTTATCCAAACAAATAAGGTATACGTACTTGATTGAAACGTGCACGATTACAAATGTATATGTATGAAGATGGGAAACAAGAGGTGTTCAAGGAGAGGAGAGAGAACGACGATGAGAACATGGCGGTAACGCTCAGAGGACTTGAAGGTCACGTGATGGAGGTGTTTAAGGTGTATGACGTCACATTTCGGTTCATTCAAAAGTCCGAGAATGATATCGTCTGCAAGATCACTCTAGTCTGGGAGAAGCGAAACGATGACTCGCCTGAGCCCATCAATTACATGAAATTGAACAAGAGAATCGCTGCTGACATGGACAACCACATTCTCAACGCTTAAAAAAATCACCTCCACCTATGTGTGTGTGTACGCTTAAATAAATCACCTACTCCTATGTTTGTGTGTGTGTGTTTGTATCGTGGTTTTAGTATAATAAAGGCCGAAGGTTCGATGCTGTTAAATATATATGGTGATCCATTGCAAGGTTTCATGTATTATATGTCCATCAATTTGTTTGTATTTGCTCTATATATGTCAATGAAAAAGAAATAAGAATGTTTGTGAGTATTGAATATTAAGTACATAAGTAACCTTTTTTGTGTGCAAAATACTAATTTCATTAAGGACCAAGGTTATCCAAAGCGTTTTTCGCGAATCTATCAACCAACATATTGGCGTCTCTAAACAAAGAGAAAGGAAATTGCAGTAAACAATTTCGAAAATCAGGATATCGTGGAGAATTTCGTTGAGCTCTTCTGAAGAATCTCCTCGTAAGTACTTTATCTTTTTTTTGTTAAAGCTGATCATTTTTAATTGGTAGTGTATATGTAGAAATAAATTTAGACCTCCTCTCTAACTATAGAAATAAACTCGCATATCTTCCTCCTCTAACTATAGATGACTTTAGACCTGGTTACACATTTACCATCCAATTTCTTTGGTAACATGCTAACAGCTGTACTTATCTCTTTGGTGAGTATAGTCGTCCAATAAACCTTTAACCATATTTTCATATCTAAAGTGTAATAGCATATAATATAAAAAATTTAAAAATCTATACGTGCTCATATTTTAACCAAATAGTTCATGCATTGATTAGTCTTACAAGTAATCCAATCCGTTCATCCATATTTTCGGCTCTGAGAACACATTTAAAAATATGAACGGTCGTTTTCAATCATGTTTCTTGTCGGGTTTAATTTCGTAGAAAGACGAAAGTGATTGTTACCTTCCTCTTTCTTTCTTTTCATGAAAGTGATTTTCACGGCTGAAGAGGTTTTGTGGATCATGAAGTAAGCACCAAGCTTTCTTGGCTAGCAAAGCTTGGTTAAAAAATATAAGATCTCGAAACCCTTATTCCTCCCAGTTTCTTTGGTAGTGTGGTCTGTCCCAACCCATCCAGTGAATTTTCGTCTTATCTTTTTCCGAGTTCCACCGATAGTCCATCATAGCGTTAGTCAAGACATGACATAGTGAATATACCGGCATATGATTGTTACCTTCCTCACTGAAATATATATGATTTGTTCATTTATTTATTTATAGCTTGACAAACGATTTTCTAGGGATGAAATATATTTCTAGGCGACGGATTCAATGGACGAGAAAGCCAAGTACAATTTTCAAATCGTTCTTTTTTTTTTTTTTTTTTTTTTTTTTTTTTTTTTGGGCGACGGATTATCAATTTTCAAATCTTGGGAGTATTAAGGTTATATTTTTTCTTTTATCTGTTGATGGGGACGACGATAAAGGTCACAATCATATTTTGTTTTCCAAATGCATTTGTCAAACCATTAGCATATCATTCTATGATAAGAACTTAGTAAACGTGATTTGCGAGTTCTTTTATCAAAAAAAAACGTGAATAACGAGACACTACAAATTACCACTGTTCTTTTACTTTCTTACAAACTGTAAATTTAAGTTTATACTTACTTTTTAATCAAATTCTGGCCATAGTTATTCTTTAAAACCAACATTTTAAAAAAAAAAAAAACAAACGAAACCAACTTTTTTTAAAAGTATATATATATATATATATATATACAGTTATACACTGATAGATAAATATGTAAATCATTGGTTATTAGTTTAAGTAATATACACAATTTTTACAGTCAAAATTTCTACAACCTAAAATCAGATTTTGATTATTATTTTACGTAATATACACAATTTCTACAGTCAAAATTTCTACAACCAAAAATCTATAATAACAATTTACATTCAAAATCCTTACCACGCGACCCTTTATAAATCTGGCCTACATGCTACAACAAATTACATATTTTTTCCTCCAAAGAATCTGGGATAGTGACTCTGTGAAGGTTCCTCAGCGATTAGTTCATCTTTGACGCCCAAGGAAACTCTTTTGAAAAATCCCTCAACAAACTCTTCAACGTCTATACTTGGAGATGCAGTAACAAATACATTCTTTCTATCTTTTCACTGAATTTGAGTTTATTTCCCACTACAGGGGACCAAGTTAAAGCAGAGTTTGAGACCGATACAAATGTGATAGAAATAGCCAAAAAATAACAGAGAGGCTAAACAAAAACAGGGCCAAAACAAATACATTCACTTACCAGTGTTTCAAAAAACAAATACATTTACTTTGATTAATTATAATTATATATTATCCACGCCATAAAACTAGGGATTTGTAATAAAATTGCCAGGTTATGATGGTTACTTAATTGATTGTCTAATACTACAATAATGCAAGTTGCGAGATCTCTTTTTTGTTTTTGAAGTTGCGAGATCTTAGGTTAAAAATAAATTGCCAAATAAAAAAAGAAAATCTTGTTTCTTACGTTTTAACCGTAACGCTCCCTATATAAACAAAGGAGACCACAAGTGAAAACACTCATCAACCAAAGAAACAAAACAAAAACAAACACTTCTCTCACAACACAAAGAAGAGAGAAAGAGATGGCGACGTCAGGAACATATGTGAAGGAGGTTCCGTTGAAGGGATCGGCGGAGAAACACTACCAGCGGTGGAGGAGCGAGAACCACCTCATGCCTGACGCCATCGGCCACCACATCCAAGGTGTCACCATCCACGACGGCGAATGGGACTCTCATGGAGCCATCAAGATCTGGAACTATACATGCGGTAAAAAAAATCATTTACTTTGTTTTTTTTTTTTTTGATAAAGAATCCACTCCAGGTTACGATGATCATTCATGATTATATGAACATAAATACTACTAAATTATTCAGTATATAGTTGTCACAACTCAAAAGTTGATGTGCAGTAAGAAAGTATATATATAGTCAGTAATGTTTGATCAAACGATTACTATCAAATGTAAACGTGTGTGTGTGCTTGTAATATATGTGAAGATGGGAAAGAAGAAGTGTTTAAGGAGAGGAGAGAGATAGACGATGAGAATAACGCGGTCACTTTCAGAGGTCTTGAAGGTCACGTGATGGAGGAGCTTAAGGTGTATGACGTCATCTTTCAGTTCATTCAAAAGTCGCCTGGTGATATCATATGCAAGGTTACTATGTTCTGGGAGAAGCGAACTGATGACTCACCTGAGCCCATCAACTACATGAAGTTCGTCACGAGCATGGTTGCTGACATGGACAACCACGTTCTCAAAGCTTAAATCCCCTATATTTCGAACCACCATCATAATCATTGTGCTTGTCATATATATATGGCTCTCTTTGTGTATGTGTGTCTTTTTCTTATGTTTTCAGTTTAATAAATGGGGCTCTTGTATGGTTTCGTTAATTTCTGTAACTGTACGTTTGGGTTTTGACGTTTTGTAAGATATATGCTATGTTGTCAATTATGCTGATTAATTGTGAGGTTTCACGTATCTCTATTTATATGTCTCATTGACTCCTTGTTAATCAATGATCTTGGAATTTAAAGAGTAATAATGCCGTCTTAATGTGAAAGACTAAAGGGCAAACAAATGTATAATTCTTGCAAGTTCTTTAGTTTTTGTGTATTAAACCAAAACATTTGACCAAAGATTATAAAAAAAAAAAAATTGACCAATTGATTATGTGCCTATATGGATCAAGATATACGAATTAATGCAAATAAAGCATCAAGCCATCAACTGCCAATGTTTGGACCGGCACAAATGAATCAGAATTCTGATTAAGTTACATATGATATAAAAGAATAAATTTGAAAATTGAGGTTTAGATATATATGAAAACGATGTCGGCTGCTGACATGGACGACCAAGCTCTTAAAGCCTAGCACTCAGCAGCACATATTTTGTGTGTTTGTACGCACCAGTCGTCTCAAAGTGGGTTCTTGTGGGAACTTCATTATTGTAGACCGTCCTGCTTTTGTAATATGCTTTAATATAATGAATCGCATTGTTCATTATTACTGTTTTAGTGTTTCATTAATGATCCATAGTCGTCATATATGATAGACACTTGTTTTGTGATAATTATATTCCATAATTTATAGTTAAATATATATGATTCTGGATTTGTGGGTTGATGACCATAGCAGGAATAGACCACTATCATTCAGTGTTTCAAACTTTCGTGGTACAGTGTCCTCTATTAACTTATTATGGAAACATTATGCTATTTACAATGGCCTATGCAGATATGACAAGGCAACCACATCCAAATCGTATTGTCACCAAATCGTATTGTTTCTACCAAATCTTATTGATTATTTGATTTTGTTAATTAAATAATCTGACACCACGCAGCCAATAACTCTACGAGAGAATCCCACATATGCGTCAAATCCCATAATTGTAAAAAAATAGAAGAATTAAATAGCCACCCTATCTGTCTGCATTCATCAAATTCCATAATATACGCTATGCAAATGCAATGTGTTTTACAATATATTGTCGGTGTTCTTGAATGGCCGAAAATAAAAGAATAGCCCATGAAGTGATAATGTAAATAGATTTAGAAACTGCAGCCCATCTGAAATAACTCATCCATGCGCCGCAAATTGCAAAACAAAAGACGAACCCAAAACAGAAATTAGGCCTCAGGTTTTGCGTTTTCCGGTCTACAGATATAGAAACCATTTGGATAGTTTTGAATTTTGGTTTAGATTCGGGTTTTGTTCAGGTGTTTTTAGATTGGGGTTGGTTTTCATGAAATCCGAACAGGTTTTTGTTCGGCTTAGCCGGTTTTTCAGATTTTTTCGGGTTTTTACAAAAAGACAGAAACTGATCTGAAACAATTCAATTCAGATTTTCGGATTTAAAGATATAGAAACTGACCATATACTTTTAAATTTCGGTTCAAGTTATATTCGGGTTTTTTAGGCCGAGTTTGGTTTCGGGTAAAAATCCCTGGCTAAACAGAATGAAATACTCAAAAAGACATTCAAATGAACAAACACATACAAAAAGTCTCAAATTCTCCAAATATTCTTCTTAATTCATACCATTGAAATGGTCATAAAAAAAAAAAAAAACATGCTTTATCATTTAACACATACATCGAAACAACAACAGAAATTAGGCCTCAGGTTTTGTTCAGTTTTTTTTTTTAATTGGGGTTGGTTGTCGGGTTGTACATGAAATCCGAATAGGTTTTTGTTCGGCTAATCCAGGGTTTTCAGATTTTTTTGGGTTTTTACAAAAAGACATAGAAATTGATCTGAAACAATTCAATTCGGATTTTCGGATTTTCGGATTTAAAGATATAGAAACTGACCATATACTTTTAAATTTCGTTCAAGTTATATTCGGGGTTTTTCGGCAGAGTTTGGTTTCGTGTAAAAATCCCTAGTTAAACAGAAAATGAAATACTCAAAAAAGACATTCAAATGAACAAACACATACAAAAAGTCTCCTTAATATTCTTCAAAAATATTCTTCTTAATTCGTACCATTGAAATGGTCATCAAACAAAAACATGCTTTATCACATAACACATACATCGAAACAACAACAGATCATCATTCATCAGGTATACGACCCCAACCAAAAAAAAAGAACCTTTCTTATGTAGCGGAAGAAGAGCCACCTTTGGAAGAAGTCACACCTCTGCAACCAGCACCTTCATGCCATTCAAGCATGATCTCAATCTCGCCGCACTCGACATTGTTAAGCCTAAGGATCATGTCTTGTGTGATCTTACCATTGTTCCACACGATGCTACTCTCATCCGACAAACAGTTGTGCCTCGATGGTTGAACCCTTTTGATCGCACATCCATTAGGAAGCCTCAAAAGCTCCATCCCCATTTTCAGTGCCTCTATGTATGGTTGTATGTCCACGTTTGCATCTCCCATTTTGTCATCCCCAGTGAATTTGTCCCAGTCAAACACTGTCTGAACAATTCAACAACACCAACCAATATATGTTTCATCTCATGAACAGAACAAAGATTGTCTTTTGTCTGAATCAATATGTAAAAAAATGATTTCAGTTTTACCAAGCGGATTGGGACATTGGTTTCTTTGATTGCAACAGTCATTTCTTCATTCCATACTGGATTGGTGTTTCTTTTCACCACACGTGTCTTCAACGTCTGAAGATTCCATAAAAAGAGTATTTTAAACGGCATTTCAAGAAAACCTAAATCGTGATAATCATGTATATATAAAGCGATTCTCTCTCTTATCAATTTCAAAATTCGATGCGGTAGAAATAAGAATTGTGAGAAATGAATCGATATTTCAAAATAAGATCGAAGAAAAAAATGTGGAAATCGGAGGAACCTGATCGCCGACGGTGATAACGATATAAGGATCGCTGCTTCTGGCGTCGCGAATCGCGAGGTTAATCCCTCTTTTGACGTGAATCGTTAGCAATCCCAGAGGTCTTTGATCCATGGAGTTAAGAAGAATGAAGAAGATATTTCTCTGAAACTTTGACGAAGTTTGGAGATAACGAGGAAGGATTAAAAAAGATAGAGAGATTGGGGGAAGAAGGTGCTTCTTTTCTCCTCCCCGACTATTCAACACGTTCTCTCTCCCAATTGCTCAGAAATTGAAAAACTAAAACCAGAGGAAAAGAGAGAATACTAATTTTTTTAATTTTAAAACAAAAGCTTTTCCCCAATTTTTCAACTTTACTTTGTCAATTTTGTACGAGAGTATCTATATATAAAAAGTAAAATGGGATATTTTTTTAGGTATCCACTTCGACATAAACATAATCTAAAAAAAATGACACATTATACACTTTATATGATTTATTATTATATTTTTTTTTATCTTTATTTAAATTAATAGATTAGGCCCCGCGTACACGCGGGTTTATTTTAAAAATGTTTTAAAAAACTACGAAAGAATATTAAGCAAAATTTGATCACTTTTAAAAATAAGTAAAACAATATTAAAAACCCGATAACAAATCTCTAAATAAAATAAGATATGTAATCTTTTTACATTTTTATTTTAAATTCATGAATGAAATAGAAAGACTTATATGTGTCTAAATCTAATCGACTCATTAATTAAGGATCCTCTCATCTTGGGGAGACCATTCCTAGCTACTGCAGGAGCATAATAGATGTCAAGAATGGAAAGATTGACTTGCATCTTGGAGATATAGTGATGAATTTCGAAGTAAACAAGTCCATGGAGAAACCTGCTGTAGATGGTCAAGCTTTTTGGATTGGAGAGCTCGCAGAGACAAGAGAAGAAGTGCTGGATGAACTCCTTCTTATTGATCCCTTGGAGCTAGCTTTGACAAAGCTGAAATGAGTATGGATACATGGAAAGAGAAGCTCAATGCTTAGTCAAGTTCATGGATTCTAGGAAGCATATAAGGAGCTAGTAGCTTATATGGACTTAGAGAGAGAAGAGAAGAGCCAGACATTGACAAGAATCAGGAAATACACAAACCAAGTTAAGTTCGACCCATGGTGCCCACTTAGAGCTCCAAAAGCCGAGCTCAAACAACTCCAGTTGGTCTAAGGTATGAATATCTTGGTCCTAATGAAACATATCCTGTTATTGTTAATGCTGCACTAACAAAAGAAGAGACCGCTTTACTTGTTCGCGAACTGAGAAAGCATAGAAAGGCTCTTGGTTACTCTTTGGATGATTTAACAGGAATCTCACCTGAACTATGCACATCGCATCATCCTGGAGGATGAGTCTAGTTCTTCAATTGAACATCAAAGGAGGCTAAACCCAAACCTAAAGGAAGTTGTCAAGAAGGAGATAATGAAGCTATTGAAAGCTGGAGTGATTATCCAATATCAGATAGTGCATGGGTCAGCCCTGTACATGTCGTGCCAAAGAAAGGAGGGATCACAGTCATCAAGAATGAACATGATGAGCTCATTCCAACAAGGACAATCACAGGACACAGAATGTGTGTCGACTACAGGAAGCTGAACTCCTCCACTAGCGCAAGGACCACTACCCCTTGCCATTCATAGATCAGATGCTTGAGCGCCTTGCCAATCATCAATACTACTGTTTCTTGGATGGATACTCAGGATTTTTCCAAATTCCAATCCACCCAGATGATCAGGAGAAGACTACATTCACTTGTCCCTATGGCACATATGCTTATAGGAGAATGCCTTTTGGATTGTGCAATGCTCCAGCTACATTCCAAAGGTGTATGATGTCCATATTCACAGATCTAATAGAAGAGATTATGGAGGTTTTCATGGATGATTTCTCAGTATATGGTTCTTCCTTTGAATCATGTTTGGGAAATCTTGGAAGAGTGCTACAGAGATGTGAAGACAAGCACCTAGTTCTAAATTGGGAGAAGTGCCACTTTATGGTTAGAGATGGAATAGTGCTTGGACATAGAATCTCAGAGAGGCATAGAAGTTGATAAAGCCAAGATTGAAGTCATGACAAACCTTCAGCCGCCCAAGACAGTAAAGATATCAGAAGCTTCCTAGGACATGCTGGATTCTACAGGAGGTTCATTAAAGATTTCTCACAGATAGCAAGGCCGCTAACACGCCTTTATGCAAGGATATTAACTTTGAGTTCACAGAGGAGTGTCACAAGGCTTTCACTAAGATCAAAGATGCATTGGTCAGTGCGCCAGTGGTTCAACCTCCAAACTGGGAACTACCTTTTGAGATAATGTGTGATGCAAGTGATTATGCAGTAGGAGCAGTGCTTGGACAAAGAAAAGACAAGAAGCTACATGTGATCTACTATGCCAGCAGAACACTTGATGAGGCACAATGCAAGTATGCCACAACAGAAAAGGAGCTTCTAGCTATTGTCTTTGCATTTCGATCATACTTGGTGGGATCGGTTATAGTTCATTCTGATCATGCAGCATTAAGGTATCTCTTATCAAGAAAGATGCCAACCAAGATTGTTGAGATGGATACTACTATTGCAAGAATTTGATCTTGAGATCAAGGATAGAAGAGGAGCAGATAATGGAGTAGCTGATCATCTTTCAAGGATGAGAGTTGAAGAAAATCTACCCCTTGATGATAGGCTACCTGAAGAAACAGTTTATGCAGCTGAAGCAAGCAATAAGCATGGACAACTAGGCCATCACAGGCCAGGAACAAAGATCTCATCATCAAACACACCATGGTTTCGCCACATAGCAAACTTCCTTGCAGCTGAATACCCACCACCAAACTTCTTTGGCTACAGAAAGAAGAAATTTCTGCGTGATGTAAGAAGGTATTACTGGGATGAACCTTACTTATACAAGAAATGTTCAGATGGAATGTTTAGAAGATGCATCCCTGAGGAAGAAGTAGAAGGAATATTGTTTGCTTGTCATAGTTCTAGCTATGCAGGGCACTTTGCCACTTACAAGACAGTATCCAAGGTCTACAAGCTGGATTTTGGTGGCCAACTATGTTTAAGGATGCTCATGCATTCATATCAAGATGTGATGCTTGCCAAAGAATGGGAAATATAAGCAAGAGGAATGAGATGCCACAGAACTTTATACTAGAAGTTGAAGTTTTTGATGTTTGGGGCATTGACTTTATGGGACCTTTCCCAACCTCTTTTGGTGACCAATACATTCTAGTGGCAGTTGATTATGTCTCCAAATGGGTGGAAGCCATTGCCAGCCCTACTAATGACGCACAAGTGGTCATCAAGATGTTTAAATCCATCATTTTTCCAAGGTTTGGAGTGCCTAGGATAGTCATAAGTGATGGAGGCTCACACTTCTAATGTACTTGCATTTTACATAGTTTTAGCACATCTTTTATGCATCTTTTGCATAGTTTTAGCATCCATTTGCATCATATCTTGTTCCTTTTCTCTTCTTATGCATTCATGTTAGTTTTAGGTTGCATTTGCATACATATGCATGTTTGGTCCTTTGAAATAGGTCTTTTGGAGCATTCTGGAGCATATGGGACGTAAGGAGCATGGAGGGACTTGGCACATGGAAGCAGCTCAACTGGATACGCAAAGGAAGAAGGGAGAAGCCATCTTGAAGACCAGCTCGACCAACCGGTCGAGTTCCTCAACTCGACCGGCCAAGCTTCAACTCGATCGAGCTGAGAAGTCAACAGTCAAACCCGAAAAATGTTGCTTCCCCCTTGACTTCCTTTGACCCTAAACCTAATCCTCTTTGTATTTAAAGGCTAAAAGCCACGAAAAAACCACCAAGCTTTAGATTATTTTGTTTTAGTTTCTTTTAATTTATTGTCTTTTACTTTTTAGAGCTCTAATCCCATCTTTGTGTTCTTGAAGCTCTTGCTTCTTGAATCCTAGATCCTGGATAATCTCTTTGTATTTGCACTTGCTTATTTCAATAAAAGTTGTTTAATTTCATCTCCTCTTTCTTATGATGTCTCTTTTATTGCATTTGCTTGTGTTTACATTCATGTGTAGTGAGTAGTTACCCATTAGGGTTTGAGATGGGATAGATTAGAGGTTTCATATGCTTAATCCTTCTAGCTTATGGTCTTAATCTAGATTCTCTCTCTTTTGGATAGATCTTAAGGCTACATGACCACTACCCCTGGCTTGTAAGTCCTTAGGCGATTCCCCACACGAAAGTGATGGCAATTGCTGGAAAAGATCCACTAAGAGCTCCAATATCTCTTGCTCTAGAAATAGAGGTCTAAGGGGTTGGATGGATTAGTTTGGGCAATGATCCTATAGCCTCCAAGGTTTGATTCTCACTGGCTAACCCCCTGTTTCTGAGATCATTCCTTGGTTGATAGCCTTCACCTTGGGAAAGGGTTGGCTAGGCATTGAGAAGCCCAATATCAAGAGAAGCCTTGATACAAGGAGTTTTAAGAGCTGGATGATTAAGTGTAGTTACTTTTGATTGCAAAACCCTGTCTTGAACCCTAATTCTCTCTCTAGTTTATTAAAGTCGCTGCCTTTACTGCTTTTCTCGCTAACTCGACCCTCAACTCGATCGAGCTTGTACTCTGTTCCTACTCGACTCGAGTCTTGGTCGAGTCATTGGTCGAGCCGCTTATTTACCTGCTTTGTTTACTTTTTCTGCATTTTATTTCTGTTTCATTTAGGTTGCTAGTGTTACCTCATATCTATTACTACTTGCTTGACTTCCTGGTTGTTTCATTTTCTCATAGAGTGACAAGTTTCCCATTTTGGATTGATAACCCTTTGTACTACATCAACTATCATGGTTAAAGGGAATTGTTGACTGTGTTTGTGTTTTCATTTTACCACCTCATCATATACCACTGATTGCATTCCACACATATCATCTCATATCTTTTCACATCCACACACAAATCTTATCATCAACAGAATCTTTGCAAATCTTTTGAAGAAGCATGGAGTTACTCACAAGGTCGCCTCTCCTTACCACCCTCAAACTAGTGGACAAGTCGAAATCTCAAACAGAGAACTCAAGAGCATACTTCAGAATTACGGCCGAGCCCACGTACCAATTCGGGAAGCAACGTCCCGCGGTCGGCCAAACCAAATCACGCAGCCAAAGCCGCGCACGACCGTACCGCGCGAACCGGAAAGCATTGCCTTGCGGCCGTGTGGCACGACTCATGTACCGCGGCCGATCGCGCCATCCGACCAGGAAGGCCTCGTCCTTGGTGTTCCAGCTCAAGAACTACAAAATCAGCAGGAATGTAGCAATCTCCAACCATGATTGGAACATCCATAATAACACCAACAGGGCGGCGAACAGATGATCTGCAAAGACTAGGGATATCTTTGTAGGTTTGAAATCAGTGATGCCTAATAGCTTGGCCACTGAGTAAGGCATTAAGTTCACACTAGATCCCAAATCACAAAGTGCTCTATGGAAGTGTGTAGAACCGATCTTGCAAGATAAAACAAAACTTCATGGGTCGTTCAGCTTCTCTGGCATGCGATTTTGAAGTATGGCATTACACTCCTTTGTAATCATCATTGCTCCTTCTTCAAGGCTTACATTGCTTGTGAGTATGGCCTTCATATATTTCCTGAGAGATGGAATTATCTGGCAGGCATCAATGAAAGGTAACCGAACTGAAAGTTGGCTAACAAGATCCTTGAGTTTTGCTTGCTCCTTCTCCTTCTTGGGTTGAGAAAGAACATTTCGTATGGGATCTTTGGCTCATACACTCTTGGTTCTTCAGGGGCTTCTCCACTTCCTCCTGAGTTCCTGGCTCTATTCTGACATGGACCTCCTTAGGTGGTTCAGTTCCATCTCCAATAATCACATACTCCATTGGTTTCTTCTTGACTGGCGGCATTGCTTCTCTTGAACTGGATGCTGGCGGCTCATACCCTTTGCCATTCCTAAGAGTGATAGCAGCTACAGCTCTCTCCTTGGATTGATTTCCACTTTTCCTGGTAGCACACCTTCTTCTCTCTTAATAGAGCTGGCTATGTTGGCAACTCTAAGATCCAAATCTCGTGTGAAAGAAGAAATTGAATCCAACTTCTCATTCAATCGTGTGAAAGCTGACTCTTGTCTCTCATCAATCAAGGCTGTATGCTCCTATGAGAACTCTTGATGAAAGTTATCAAATCTTCAAAGTTACTCCTTGGCTCCATTCTTCTCTTGTGAGGAAATTGTTGATAACTCCTTCCTCCATAACATTCTCTTTTCATTGGGTGATTCTTGGTTTGTAAAAACATCATGTTCATCATTCCAAGCTTCTTCCCATGCCAACCATCTATTCCAACAAAGTTTACTTCTTCTTGCAAGTTTGGAATCAAATCTCCAAAGTAGTCTTGAATGCTGTAGGTTCGACTCTATAAGCTTCTCTTTGTCTCGCCACTTCTTTCCTTGGTTTCTCAAAATCTCGGCCATCATTGCTTTGATCTCACTATACCCATCTGTATGGATCAGAATTTATGGCCTTGACTGCTCTTCATGCCCTATGAAGTTGTCACTGTCGCTTGAGGCTAGATTCTCAATTAGAATCTTTGCTTCAGTAACTGTCTTGGTCATGAAATTCCCATTGCTGGCTGTATCAAGAGAAAATCGACATTTCCCACTTATTCCTCTGTAGAAAATGTTCCATAGACTTCCATCAGATAGTCCATGATTAGGACACTCCCTAGTGTAGTCCTTGAAACGCTCCAAAGCTTCATGAAAAGGCTCCACCGGCCCTTGTTGGAAACTAGAGATCTTCTCTCTCAGTAGATTTGCTCTTTGCTTTGTGAAAAAATGGCCTAAGAATGCCACCTTTGTACTCTTTCCAAGTGGTTATGGATTGAGCTGGAAGAGACTTCACCCATCTTAAGGCTTTTCCTGTCAAAGTGAAAGAGAAAAGTTTGCACTTCAAGTACTCCTTGGGTGCTCCACCGCGCTGATGGTCCCACAGATTTCTTCAAATGCATCAATATGCTCCAAAGGATTCTCTTGAGGTTTTCCTTGGAATTGGTTCTGTTTCACCAAAGCAATGATCTCTGGTGAAATCTCATAACTTCTTCCTCCGGGAAGTGGTGGCTGAATGGGATTCCGATTGACTAGTAGTGTTGGATTAATCGAATCTCCCATGACTTCTTCATTGATCAGTCCGTTTCTCGGCATCCCGCCATTGGCGCGGTCGTGCGCAGCGTTCAGGTCCGGAGGATCTCGTGTTGCTCGGCCAGCGCGATATCTCTCGCGGCCGTGTTGTCTCTTCCTCTTGATCGTCCGAATCACTCATGTTAGAGTCTTGCCTTCAAGTTTAGTCCTGAAAGGTAAAGACAAGAATCTTTTAAATAGAAAACAATCAAAAGAAAACTAAAAATGAAAATTTGCAAAAACTAAAAAGGAAAAACGAAATTCTAGACTAGACTATAGTTGGGAACTCGAAGGTAGCTGTATTGCTCCCCGGCAACGGCGCCAAAAACTTGATCGCGGGATCAGGTCTTCCCTTTTCCTATCCCTGATTCTGCAAGTGCACAGGTCAGAAGTAGCAAACGGGTATCGAACACAAGGAGCAGATAAGTACACTACGAGTATTGCAAGTCTAATATAGCTAGAAAACAAGTATGATTTGGGTTTTGATTGTGTAACTAAAGAAACTAAACAGCAGCTGAAACGGTTTATGAAAATCAATAAAGGAAACGCTAGGCAATGAGAAACTCGCAGAGATTCAAGGTCAACAAGATGATTAGAAGGGTTCGCTAGGGTTTGCGCTATCTAGAACTCAGGTCACGAGTATGATCTTTCCACTGTCGAGGCTCCGACCCCTTTGTTAATCTACCTAGTCGCTAAACTTTTGGTATGTCTCTAGGTGATTAAATCAAGCATTAGTTCGTTCAAGACCCAATTGTTCACAACCCCGCATAGATCAACTTTCGCAGTCTATGAAGTGTTGCTCACCAAACACTTAGTTCCGGTTATATAGCAAGCTTTTGGAGAGTATATGAAACCTAAGATCTGATGCTAGTTGATCAGAAAAGCAAGCAGCAATGAATTCAAGAAGATGAAGATGAAATATAATGAACCCTAGGCGATTTCTAGCAACCTATCAAACCATGAACTCTTTGATAAATCTCACAACCTAACTAGTGAATTACTCAGACATGATCAAAGCAACAACACAAAGAGATGAAAAAACATAATTGAATAAATCTCTAAGTATAGAAAAACGTGATACAAACGGCTCTCCTTTCTCAAGAGGCTAAAAAGTTGTATTTATAGTGCTAGGTCTTCAGAGGCGGCATTAGGTTAAGTCGGGCCGTGAAAACGTGTGAAACGGGCTTCAAAACGGCTTCGGGTCGACCGGACCGTTCTGACGGTCGGTCGGGACGTTCGGCCGGCTGTCGAGTCGTGGTCGGCTATCGGCACGTCGGATCGATCGTGGCCGAGAGTTTTCGCGTTCGTTCGTCGGGTTCGGCCGGACGGATGATTTTGATCGAAGGATTCGGCCGGACGTGGGACGAGGCCTTCCTGGTCGGATGGCGCGATCGGCCGCGGTACATGAGTCGTGCCGCACGGCCGCGAGGCAATGCTTTCGGTTCGCGCGGTACGGTCGTGCCGCGGCTTCGGCTGCGTGATTTGGTTTGGCCGACCGCGGGAGGTTGCTTCCCGGATCGGTACGTTGGCTCGGCCGTTATTCAGGCGGGATGGACGAGCGTTCGGATGTTGGCCGACCGCGGGACGGATGTTCCTCGGCCGGCTGTTCCGCTCGTTCGGCCGCGACTTCTCGATAGAGCCGCCTGGACCAGTCTTTGCTATTTTGGCCATAACTCCTTTTCTACTATCCAAATGATGTCAATCCAATTGCGTTGGAAAGTTAACTCACTCAGAGCACGCGGGAACTGGTCTTGATGAAATCATTGAGTAGATCTTTTTTTAGCTCCTCCCAAAGTGGATGCTGTGACAGTGGATTGGTTTGAAGTCAAATCCTCTGTTTTGCTCCATAATGCACCTTTTGACCTAAAATGACTCTTTGCAGTATAAATCCATAAAACTACCTTTTTAGATAGAAAACCTGCCAAAAACCATTGGAAAACCATACTAAAATAGTATAAAAAGCATGTAAAATAGATGTATATCACTCCTCCACGCGGAACCAGAGGAAGAATCCCGAGCGTGGCAAGACGAGATCAGAAACTACCTCATCAATGTTACACTACCAGAAGGACGATGGGCAGCCCGCCGCCTGCGACGAAAGGCCGCCTACTACTTTCTACGTAATGACAAACTGTTCCGCTGGAGTGCAAAAAAAGTTATCCTACGATGTTGCGACGAAACACAAGCTAGGGCCGTATTGGTCGAGACTCACAAAGGCGCCTCTGGGAATCACGCTGGTGGAAGATCTCTCACCTTGATGATCAAGAAAATTGGTTTCTTTTGGCCAAAGATGATCGAGGATTGCGAGAATCTTGTTGCAAAGTCCGTCCCCTGTCAAAGATACTCACCGATCATCAATGCTCCAACACAAGCAATCCAAGCATCAATCCCGGCGTACCCCTTTATGCGGTGGGGAATGGATATTGTCGGACCTATGTTGCGATCACGGTAATTCGTCTACCTCATGATCGTCACCGACTACTTTACTAAGTGGGTGGAAACTAAAGCATACAAGAATCCAACCGCTCATGATGTAAAGAATTTTGTGTGGCAATACATCATATGTCGCCACGGCCTGCCTTACGAGATCGTGACTGACAACGGCGGGCAATTCGTCGCGGCAACCTTCCGTGAGTTCTGTGCATCTTGGCACATCAAGCTCGTCTACTCCACGCCAAGATACCCTCAATCCAACAGACAAGCTGAGTCCACAAACAAAAAAAATCGTTGATTGCCTGAAGAAAAGACTTGAAGGCTACCAAGGAGCCTGGGCGGACGAAGTCGACGGAGTCCTTTGGTCACATCGCACCACGCCCAGATCCGCAACCGGAGCCCTTCTCCTTATCACACGGTTGCGAGGCATTAGCACCAGCGGAGCTGCACGTCGCAAGCCTACGAAGATCCTTGATGCCCCATAATCCGGCGTTAAATGATGATTCGCTCCTACACGGCTTGGACCACTCTGAGGAACTGCGAGACCGTGCCCTCTTGCGGATGAAAAAATACAACCAGCAAGCAACCAGGTACTACGTTAGAAATTTACGGAACCGCCGCTTTGCGCTCCATGACCTCGTCTTCCAAAAGATCCACGACTTCACTAAACCAGAGCACGCTGGCAAGTTTAAATTCAAATGGGAGGGACCATATCGCATCACCAAAATTGTCAAACCAGAACTTTACGAGCTAGACGACTGTCATGGAAATCCTCTCCATAACTAGACGCGCAGCCCCTCTCTCTAGCGCAAAAAAAAAAAAAAAAAAAAAAAAAAAAAAAAAAAAAAAAAGACATGTTCACGGCATGAACATTTCTATCAAACTACGACTGGCTTAATTTCGGCATAAGTACATAGGCAGTCTTTTTCGTTAAAGGCACAACTACAAATTAATAAAAATAAAAAGCCTTTTTATCTTTGTTAATCTCGATGCACGCATTCTCAGAAGTCTTCGGAAAGTTCTTATCTCGGCAAAGACCTCGAGGTATTAACTTTGCCTTCAGCTGGTAACTGAACTCCCTTGCCGAGATATTAAGCAGGCTCAGCAAGCAAAGCATATCCCAAAAACCACTCATTCGATAAGAGAGTAACCTTTTCGATGTTCTGGCCCAACGTTCGAATGCATTCAAAAAAGCAATTCGTGGACTGATCACCCATAAAAGACGAGAGAATACACCTCCCACGACGCTAGTCCTTACGGGCGGGAAACAACCGCTGTCTAGTCACATGTACGGAACCACGGCGTTGTGGGCATAAATCGAGCCCCTAGAAATTGTCGCCAAAATATGTGACCCACCAAGTCACCGCACCTCAGACATAATACGCATTGGTCGGTGTCTCGAATGAGAATCGCGATGAACTACGAAGCTTTACAAATCATCACGACGCACCAGTACCGTCAAACAAAAGCACTATGTTCGACACACTTGAACTAACAAGTGATCTCGGCATAGTGAGTCATCTATCTAATGACGATTAGATAAACCGACCCACCTTGTCCGATTGATGGCAAATTATTTCTCATTAAAAGACATGGTCTAAAGCCGGATTCTTTTGTTGCGCTGCGAAATTATCAACTATGTCTAATCATCGGCCATATCATCACCAGGATTGCCGGCTAACTCAGCCTTCATTCGATCAACCTCGTTTCGAGCACCTTTGAGCGCCCCGTCATAGAATTGAATCAGCGCGGCAAATTTTCCCTCATCTCTGACGTGACTACCAGAAGCCTCGTCGAAAGCTCCTTTGAATTCGAGTTCCTTTTGTGGAACCCCCCAGCGTGGCTTAAGCTTGCAGCCCCAAACCATCTCGCTGTCGAATTCGTTGTTATCCATAAGAGGAGCACCACCCTTCCACTCCAGATATATTGCATCGGAATCTAAACCAACAAAGCCTCGAGCTCCGACCTCAGTAATACCGGCAACGTCACCTGATTCCAGTTCGGTCGCGTCATCCTCATCTCGGCAAGGAGAATCTGCGGCAGCCAGAGTAGGAGGATCAGCGCAGGTAACAACCTCGGGAGACCCCGATGGCCGAGGAAGACTGCTTGGTTAACAAGAATCTGATTTCTTCCGCTTCGATGAGGGGTCTGAAATTAAGATGTCATCATCTACCAAAGCCAGAGCTCTTTTCCTTAGTCCCACCTTGCTTGGCGGCTTGTCTATAAACATCGAAGGACACAATCAAAGCACAGCTAGTGAAAAAAATTACAAAACAATTAATGGTTGAGCACTTACCAGAGGAGGGAGTCGCTAAAGCAATAGCCTTTCCCTTCTTTTCTGTCTTCTTCTTCTCGGCCTCGACAACTACGTCCACCCAAATTTCTCCGCTGAGATCACGTAAGGTTTTGAATTTCTCTATGCGTACAATAAAATGAGTGATAGTTAGTGCATAAAATATCTGTCGCAGTAAGAAAAAGCCCATAAATATTCTACCCGGCTCTTGCACCCATTTTGTTAAGACATTTTCGGGATTAAAATCCCCAACAACCAAAGCATGGTTGATCTTGACGAAGAAGTAATAGCATGTCCAGTGATGGATCTTGGTCCCATTTAACAAAGTAGTAAGCACATCACATTTAATACATCACATACATAAACAAACCAGACTAACCTTAAGGAAGACATCGTTTTTTGCAGTTGTGGTAAGCAGGGTCATCTATGAGCTGAGACATCAAATCCTCTAAGTTTTTTTCATATGTTTCAACAATATGCTGAGACTTTGGATAAACAAAACTTCCGTCAGGCCGTGTATGTGTTCTTATAAACACTTTTTTGATTGACACAAGTCTTCTAAGCTCCGTTTCCTTCATCACAGTTTAAAAATCCAGAGAAAAATATCAAATTTAAAATTAAAATGAAACAGTCTTAAATCCTAATAATCTGAATCATTACTAACCTAATGTGTTTTTGTCAAACCAAATATAACAATCCTACTGCCATACTATCCATATTCAATTTTGCTTAACCATATAGGGAATGAAGACAATTTAAGTTATGTTTCCATGTCCAACTTTCATACTAAACACCAAAGCAAAACATATCACTACAAGAAGCTCTCAGCCACGCAAATCGCAAACAAAAGATAAAAGACAATCATAAAATAAGGAGAACTTACCATATCTCTTTGAATCCGTAAATATAACTTTTGTCCTGATAGATGTACGTGCCTAACAAGTCCATCTTTCGGAAATTTGATTGCATTTGATGCAGAACTACTTCTCTCTTTGGCCTCGTCGGTGGCCCAGTAACAGCACATTGTTCCCCACAATGTTTCTGCGATCCAACTTGGTCGAACCCCTTTTTCTTTGTTTTAGAGACCATGTCTTTCATCTTACTTAAAGAACTGGCCTTGAATTCATCTTGCACGAGTGAAATGATCACGGGGTCCCAATGGTGTGATTGCTTCACAAATTAAAGAACCATAGAATGATTAAAAAAAATAAAGTAGTATGAGTAAGACAAAATTCAAGTTTTTTAAGGAAATCAAAGGGTTCTGAACTATACCGAAAAGGCTAAGAAACATCTATCTTGAACATATGTAGGCATTTTTGTCCAGCAATAGTAAGGATCATCAAACTTGCTTTTCAAAATCTTCGATATTTTGCGAACCAATTTCCCATCATCCCGATCAAACCTACAAGATGAGAACAATACACAAAGCCATTTTAATTGAGTGATGAGAACAATACACAAACCAACAAAGAAATTTAAAAACCAATAGTGGTTAATTAGCGATTACCATGTTGTGTTTTCAGTGTGAAGTGGGTCCAAGATGGGTAAATATTCCTCACGACCTGAGTTCGCAGCAAGTCACCAACACTTATCGGCATACCTTGTTGTGGTGGTTTAAGGTCCTCCGGGAGTATGTTCTCCGGCGGTTGAACGTCTGTCCATAGACCGATAGGAGGTTGAGCATACGGTGGTGGAGCATATGGAGGTGGAACGTTCGGCTGTGGACGAAGAGGTTGGGGACGGAATGGCTGTGGATGTGGAGCAGAGCCACGCGGTGATGGCAGTGGAGCAGAGCCAAGCGGTTGTGGCTGTGGAGCACAGTTGTGGTGTCTCCGGAACAGAGCTCTGGATGTGAGCGTATTGAATAGGGAGTGGGCAGATATTTAAAGTTGTGGTACTAGGGTTTGACGACTGAGAAGAAGTTCTTCCCGAAGACGACCCCATCCAGCCGCTTTTGCCGCCACGACCCCTATGAAATTTTTTCGGTGCCAGCCATTGAAGAGAAGATGAGAGATGTGGCGATTGAGTGGATGAAATCGAGAAATTGAAAAAAATTAGACGAGATCTAGAGAGATTGAGAGGGTGAGATCGATGTAGAGATACAATGATGGAGAAAGAGAGATAGAGTGATTGAGAGAGTGAGTCGGAGATGGAGAGATTGATTTCGAGAGAGCTATAGAAGGAGAGATTGAGAGGAAATAGAGAAAGCGAGGAGATGGAGATATTGAAAGGATCAATCGATAAGTTGAAAAGGATGAGGGATTTGAGATCGAACATTCAACAGATATATATATATATAGAGAGAGAGAGAGAGGTGAAGAGTTAGATGTTTCTAGAAAAGAAGAAATATAGTGAAAATATTTGGTCAAATTTTTAGTAGTATGAAGCGGCAACTTTGGCGACCCCATTGCGACAACGGGAGATTTGGACAGTCGCAAATCAGTGGCAAAAGGGAGAACTGTATGACTATTTTGGGACAGAATTCTAATAGATATTTTCTAAGGCAGTCGCAGTCTAGGCTTAGATTTGCTATGATTTAAAGACTACAGGTACTTATTAATTATAAAATATTGATTACCACATACCCTAATTAACCCCTACATAGTGTCTTGGCTAATTTTGTTGCACAATATGTGTAATTGTTGCAACCATCACTAAATATAAATTATTGAAATACATATTACAATTTTCCAATATGTTACAACCATAACAAATGTTTTCCCAAGATAAATATACAAACATGTTTCATAAAAATTTCAAAATCATGAATTTGAATTAATTTCAACAAATTATGATTTCTCTGTAATAGTTATACCAATGTATTTGTATTAGCATCTTCATTTACAAAAACTAAATGACATAAACCTTTTAGAGATGAAAAATATCAAATACAGTCGCAAATCAGTGGCAAATGTGAAATATGTGTTACTGTTTTGAGACTAAAAACAAATTCTAGTAGATATTTTCAAAGGAAGTCGCAAATCAAAAGAAATGGTTAAAAAATGTGTAACTATTTTGTGACTGTGGCCGAGGAATTATATTAATAAAAAAACAGACGCTCTTTCGTTGCTAATTTGCTACTGATGCGATTCTAGGTACTTTGTTTTTGAAATTTTGAACACACAGATAGTAACATATTTCTCAAATATTATCGGTATGAAGGTTCATGTACCGAGCTGCTAGAGATAATTTTGAGTGGCCTTCATGACAACCATCACACAATGGAATTTGTTTTGCAGTATATAACATGTCGTAGAATATTTTGGCCTCACTATTTGGTTATTCTGCATTTTGATTACCCTCCTTTTGATAATAATTATCATTATTGGAGGTATCAGGAAATGTATCATTCACTATTTCGACATATCTATCTTCCACATTATCGTCTTTTACGTTATCAACTTCTGCTTGAATACTACTATTAAAACTTGTATCAGCATGACTTGTACCTCAATCCACATCCAATTTTTCCCCATGCATATACTAGATATAATAATTTGCCATAAATCCTCTACCATACTGATGGTTCCAAATTTTACGCCCCGTAAGAAACTTTATCATTTTGACAAGTAACACAAGGGCAATAAAATTTGCTTCCACTACTAAGCGCTAATGGCTGACTGCTTACAAAATTCATGAATTGTTCTATTTTGATGCGAACTCGGCCGAAATATTTCATGTACGTCCATCGATTCTATTATACATCCACTCTCTAGAATTATGAAAATTATAATTTCCTGACATTTCTTTTCAAATCATTTGTTTCTCTGAATGCTTTTTTTAACTTGAAAGAGAACGATTGTTTGAATATATAGAATTATTTGCTACTATTTTGTGAATATTAAGTTACTTACGACTACGAATTGATATCTCTAAAAAATTAGGTACACCAACCTAACAACTTCCGCACGGAAGACATGTGCTTTATTATATACAGCCACTAATTTGTCACTATCATGAGACTACAGAAATAGTCGCCAAAAAGTACCAAATATAGCGACACTTCTGCGACTACTATATTTAGCAATGACATTTTGCGACTCCATCTTTGTGAGTGACAATGTCGTCGCAAAACGGGGATTAATTAGCTCCTTTTTTGCGAGTAAATAATTTTGTGCTAGATTAGCTTGCAAAACAGTCGCAAAATTGCGACTGAATAACCACAGTACAATCTAGTAGCAAAATTGCGACTACTTTTCGATTAATATCGTGAAGTAGTAAACGAGTCACAAATGAGTGGCAAATCAGTGGCAATGTTTTGTTTTCTTGTAGTGAAAGTGATGATGTTGATAACAAGATTGCTAACTGCATGCGTATCTACGATAGGTCTGTATATGTTTTAAATCAATCAATCAACATAATTTCTTTTATCTTAATATATAAAGTTGGATACATGCGACGTAGTTGCGACACGTATGATTTTTATAATTCACAGGATCGCGACATGTGGCATTTTTAATTTTACAACTATTAAGATCTTAATAAGATATTAAGAAATCAATTACTTTTAATTTATTTTTCAATACAAAACATGTTTTATTATTATTCACAATGCAATTCAACAAATAAAAATCAATCTGCATAATTCAAATAGTCAAAAAGAATCTCTTCCGCCGTGGTGTTTGTGTTTAACTATGCTATGCGCCTCCACCATACACGGCAAGCCTCTGTACTACTCTGTTTCAACCTTCCACAGCTTGGAATCTCCGTCAAAGTTTGCTCATCGGAGGTTTCAATCTCCACAGCAGCTTTCCGGTGTAGTATCCAAACTGGACCTGAGCCATACACTTTTATTAATGGGCTTTCCCTTGTGGATTAGTCCATTAAACCACTCAGCAGCCTTTTACATCAATACAACGACATTTATCAATGCTATTTTTCCAATCGTGTTTTGCTTCCAGCCTTGCTCCGAGTGACCAATCCTATCTGCCTCCTCCTTCATGGAGAGATCAATCCCATCTGCCTCCTCCTTCATGGAAAGATCACGTCCATCTTCTCCCTGCAAAAGAAAAAGAAGAAGAAGCCCAATGTGGAAAGATTCATTAGCATCAGCAGAAGTTCAATTCAACATCATACGAGCTCTTGTCAACGTTCTATCTTTGGGCCTATGTTGTGTTGATCCTTCCCTTGTCATCACAGAGAGACAACAGTCCATAATTGTCGGGTTATCATTGGATTATGTTGACTTGGATTCTGGAGTATTGCCAACTTACCGCCGTATCTCCTCCGAATCTACATCGCTCCTCTCCTGTTTGGAAAAAGTCATTAAACGCTCATCACGAGCTATCTTTGTTCATTTGTCTTTAATGACAGAAGAACTTGCCCTTTCTAAAGGGATCTCGGTTATTTTCTACGAATCTAACCTTCTATCTATCTTTAGCATGCTTTGTACTTTACTTTTTGCATCTTGTTCGGACTCCTTGACATCAAGCTTCCGACTTCTTTGGTTTTTAATTGGGTTCCAAATCTAATATAAACCATCAGTTGTTCAAAAAAAGAGGTAGGTGGAATTTATGTCTTGTCTTATCCCGTTCTTTTCTATTCTTTTAGATCTTGTCTCGTCACTTAATATAATAGAAAGTAAACAGAATTTCCCTATTCTCAAGTTCTATTTTTTTTCGTCTCATCATGTTTGATCTCGTCTCATTTCATTCCAAAATATTTTTTTAAAAAGTGTTCTTTCTATAATATATTTCTATTATTATTATTACTAAATAATAGTTTTTGTATATCAATACATAACATTTTTTTTTAAATTATTTTCATATTCTTCTTAAGTTATTACAGTAATAAATGATAATTATTATAAAAAGTAAAATAGAAAAAAAAATATATATAATAAATAAATTGATATGCTAAATTTAAAGATACCCTCTTTCGTTGAGATGGCAACACGAGAATAAAATTATATGAACTTTATATATATAAATATATTGGAATAGGCTTGTTTTGTTTTTCACTAAAATGTTATATATAAAGAGAATATATCTCTCTCCAAAAGCATGACAGTCAGCATTTTTCGTTCGACGTGAATGACATCGATTCCCCCTTGTGACGCTTTGAGTAATATTCTGCCCCAAAAAAAAAAAATTTCCTTGCGGCTGTGCAAATGTCTACCATATGCTATTTTTACTTTCATACAATAATAAGATATTTTGGATAAAAAATATCTTGGACTTTATAATAAAAAGGATATTTTGGATTAATTGATGGTATTAAATTTAATATTTACTGGTTTTATGTAGTTGATGAAATACATAAAGATGTAAATTTTAATAAATGTTAATATGTTGCCTAATCTTTTAATTTATCTTTTTAGTACCAACCGATGACTTGGTTGAAGCGGTTTGGATACGCTTCTACTTTTTATACTTTCTCTGGTGATCCTAAAAATCTATCCGACAATACTCGTAGGCAGAGCTGCGCTTCATGTTAAAATTTATGAGATTTCCAAAAACTTTGTTATTGGTTTATGGATTTTAACAATCTTATTAAAATCTGTTATATATTACTGGTTTGGTGATTTTTAAAATCCATACAAAATCCTTTTTTTGTAATGAAGTCCATATGAAATCTATTGTTATTCAAAATGTTTGTATTTTGATGATTTCTTGAATCCATTAAAATTCTTATTATTGGGACATGGATTTTAAACAGTTTAACTCATTAAACAAGATTTCCAAAATAATACATATAACCCTTAGATTTCTAAAAATACATACAATAAAATATTTTGATTGATTTTCTAAATATACAAACTCTGTCCAAATCATACAAAAATCATGATCACATAATTTTCACAAGTCACCTCATGGCTTGTATGAACGACACATGTCATTTAGTATTTTTTATTAATTTTTCTTTTGTTCTTTTCATCTTTCTTCTCGAAACCATGATCCCTTAATTTTCTATCCAAATCCCCCCATGATTTCCAAATTCAAATTTTACTTTCACATTCATATATATATTCTCAGACAAGTATCTAACTCAAAATTTTTCTTCTGAAATCACGGTACTTCTATTTTCTTTCTAACCTCATCAAATTTTCACATGCCATCTGTAACATCCCGGTTTGTAACAAATGAGAAGAGATCAAAAGAATTGATGTGGCTACCTATGTCATCAAAATGCACTTACCTTTTCGGTCAAGGGCCCATAAAGAACTCCATAATTAAGCGTGCTTGAATTAGAGCAGTGGAAGGATGGGTGACCTTTCGGGAAGTCCTCTGCGAAACCGTGTGAGTTAGGAAAAAACACGGGAAAAAGGTCGGGTGGTGATTGCAGGGATAATAAATACATTCTCCGAGCCTCCCTAAAATAATGCACCCGACCATCGGACAGGGGTGGGGCCCACGGGCCGAGAGAAGGCGTGGGTGACTCACCGGGAGGGGCGGTGGGGGCGTTACAATTGGTATCAGAGCCGAACCCAGACGTATGTGTGGAGTCGAGTGGGCTCACACTGTAAACCGTCAGGGGTGACGATCTTGGTATGCAACGGGGACGTTGCGTTCATTGAGTAGGGGTGAATTGTAACATCCCATTTAATAATAAATGAGAAGAGATTAAAAGAATTGATTTGACTACCTATGTCATGAAAGTGCACTTATCTTTTCGGTCAAGGGCCCATAAAGAATTCCAGAGTTAAGCGGGCTTGAGCTGAATCAGTGGAAGGATGGGTGACCTTTCCCGAAGTCCTCTGCGAAACCGTGTGAGTTATGAAAAATACGGGAAAAAGGTCAGGTGGTGATTGCAGGGATAGTAAATACATTCTCTGAGCCTCCCTAAAATAATGCACCGACCGTCGGACAGGAGTGGGGCCCAGGGACCAAGAGAGGGCGTGGATGACTCACCAGGAGGGACGGCGGGGGCGTTACACCATCAATCTTTTTTGTTGTCTTCATCACAATTTAATTGATTTGTCGTATATCTAAATTATTAAAGTTGGATTACTTTGAATTTTTTCTTCTTCTTCCATCCGTTAAACAGATTGCCGGAATAGTTGAATCTGGAATTTCTACGTACAGATTCAATCATAAATGCACCGATGGAGAGTTAGAGACCAAGCTATCGTCTGACGTTAACTTGAAGTTTCCCCTTTCTTACTTTCAAAAGGCAGGTAACCACATATTTTCCATGATTTCTGGTTTTCGATTATTCTGTTAAAAGATTACTAGAAAATGAGCAAAATTGATCTAATTAATTTGAAGATGTTTGCTTATATTTCGCCGTCTAATTTTTCTCCTCAACTGCAAATAATATAATTGTTCTCTTCTTTTACTAACGATGAGCGGAATAATATGGCAAGGTTAACCAACTCGACTCGGTTTTCGAGTTCCCTTACGAATTCGACTCACCCGCTTTCTCGCCTGGTTTCACCTCCCTGGGATACTCCACAGAGACGGAAGATGAGAGCAGCGACGACGAAGAAGTCTTCCTCGCCAGTTTGACTTGCCGACTCACTCCCTCGACTCAGGATGCACTCTATTTTTCTTTCTTTTTTACTATGCAATTAGGGTCTGACCCGCACCCTGCACAGGATGATGGTTTCTGGATTTGTATTTTTTAACAAACATGTTTATTTTAATATCTTGAAATTTTATGCCATGGATTTAACCTTTGTTAGATTATTGTCTTCGCTTATTCGTTTATAATATGGAAATGAAGCATTTTAAACTTATGTATTTTTTTAAATAAATAAATTCAAGTCTTGATCGTAGACTTCGTAGCTTTAGATTAAATATGATAGATTTAAGGAAATTACATAAAAAAATCAAATTAATACAATACAATAAGATTGTTTAAAGAACAAAACAAACTGAAAATAAAAAAAAACTATTCTTTTAAATAATTTATACATGTATTTCATAAGATGATTAGTTTTAGTTGAGTGTACACGGACTAGAACTATTTTTTTTTCTTTTTTTTTTCCAAAACTAAAACATGCTTTATTATAATTTCAAAACAATCAAACCAATAAGAGAACAATCTGCATAATCTAAATTGTCAAAACAACAAAAGTATAATTAACTTTATATTTAAAGTTGAAACAGATGGAGTAATATTCAAATTTTTAATCAAAATAAAATATTTAGAAAAATAATTTTTTAATCTATTTAACTATAGAATTTAAATAAAAACATATTAAATTGAAGAAAAATAATAATTTAGCTTTGGATACCTACTATATGGATACCTATTAAATGAGGTTATGTACTAAACAATTTACATTATTTGGTTTTTAAAAATTTAAATCATAGCATATACAGAAAAAGTTTTAGGTTTTATTTATTAGATTATTTATATTGTGATTCAAATTATTTTATAAAACAAAGTTAAACAAAGATAATATAAGATATATGATATTTTAGAAGAAATTATTATGATAGAATTAAATTGAATCTCATATATTCCTTATTTACTAATTTTCGTAGTTGTCAATTAAGGAAAGAGAATATATTTTTTTTATTAATAGTTATATATATGATTAATCTAATAATACATATTTGATTCTCTAACCAAAAATATGAATGACAATGTTTGTAATTATTCTAATAAGCTAACCCTTAATTTATAACTAACCTAAGAAGCTCTCAAGTGATGACACATCAGCATGGCATTCTTGCTAATAACACATCAACTAAAAGTTAATTTTAAAGTGTTTCTCTTTTAATATATTAGGGATTCTGCGACGCAGCTGGTTCAGTCTGGTTCAATTGGAAATTGATTTCTGGTTCAAATTAAGTGATTTCTGGTTAAAATCTGGTTATTTGGTTTAATTCAGATTTAATTAATTAAATACAAGAGGCTTAAAATAATTATTTAAATTATTTAAATTATTTTAAAATATGAAAAATTATTATTTAATTATGAGAATTATTTAATAATTGAGAAATGAAGTTTTAATTATTAATAATTATTTAATAATTGGAAAATGGTATTTAATAATTATTGGAGTTTATAAATATTATTAAATATCTAGTAATTGCGTAAATGGCCTGTAGGCAGAGTGATTGTCTCACTAAGTATTTATTAAATACTTATACAACTCCATTCCAATGTGTTGCAGGTAAAAGATTTGTGTGATCGCGGAATCAAGGCTGAAGAGGGGGATGATAGGATGTTTATTGCTTTTATTTATTTTGCATTGTTTTGCTAGACTTGTTTAATTATTATTTGCTTCCGCTGAACTGATTTATTTGTTATTGATATTTATTTATTTAATTTACTTAAAGACCTTCGCTAGAATTGATTAGTATTTATAAAAAAAATGTGTTGGTTGTTTCAATTGAGATGTACAGTAGAAACTCTATAAATTAATATTCAATAAATTAATAAATTTCTCCAATCCCGAGTTGGACCGGTGTAAAATATGACACAATTCGATAAAATAATAAGATAATAATTTTTTTTAAACTCCTATGTAAAATACAGTCCCAATAATATCATAAACTAATAATTATCATATAAAAACTTATATATATATATACCTAAGGTATCTAACTACTAAAATATGAATCTCCCACACACCAAACCAATATGGAAACTAAAAGAAAAAAAACAATACATGAAAAATTTATGACCAAAAACCAATTTAATTATGAAGAGAAAGTGTTTGGCAACATATTTAATGAGGGTCAATTTAGTATATTGTAATGTTTGGATACAAGAATAAGAGAAAAAAAACTATTTGGATAGAATAATAAATGGATAAAATTGTTTGGATACAAGAATAATAACTTAAAACAAACCGATGGTTTAGAAAACTTCCGTTTTCAGCTCTTAAAAATCTGCAAAAAAAAAAACTTAACATAATCTAACGATAATACCAAATCAACAGAATATGATTTTGGATTTTCGAGTTTTAAGTTTTTTTTTTAATTTTAATTCATGTTTCTTTTAAAGTTTTTTTAGTTTTTGGATTTAGCGATAGAAAAGTCGTTCAAGTTTTTTAAATTTATGAATCGGGTTTGGTTTGGGTTTTTCTAAACAAGTTCAGGTTTGGGTGAAAATCTCATATCTAATTTTATAAATATATAGAGATATAGAAATTGTTCGGGTTTTTTCGAAAAAAATTGTTCGGTTTGAGTTCGAGTTTGTTTTTGTTCAGTTCAGGGTTTTCCGGAGTTTTTGGATTTCGGGTTTTCGAATTTAGACATATTAAATTTTTTTGCATATTTTAAAATTTTGATTAGGGTTTTTAGGTCGGATTAGGGTTCCGGGTCAAAAAATAAGAGTTTATTTTTATTCGGTTCAGGGTTTTCGGGATTTTTTGGATTTTGAATTTTCGGATTTAGACATATTAAAAATGTTTGGGTTTTTAAAATTTTTGATTAGGGTTTTTGGTTCAGGCTCATGTTTAGAATTAAGATTTCTTCACAAAATCGCAACATTATACTGTACGTTTGCGCGGGTCCTCTACTAATTCTTTATAAAACTAACAATTCTATTTATTTTGAAAATCAGTCAGCTCTATACAAATTTGTCTTCCTATAAACGGTATAACCCCCTAAGGGTGTCAAAATGGATAACCCAACCCATTATCCAAGTGGATTTAGTGCTAATGGATCATGGATTAATCCAATCCATTTAGGAAATGGGTTGGTTTGATCCATTATCCATTTAATTAGATGGTTTTAATGGGTTAATGGATGAATGGGTTAATGGATGATCCACAAACAAATATAACTAAAAATTTATATATATTAAAATAAAGATAACTAAACAAAATCTATAAACATCACAAAAATCTATAACCCATTAAATCTGTAAAATCGTAAAATCATGTCTTTCCGCCAAAATCGTAAATCACATCTTTCCGCCGAAACCGTAAAATCGCAAAACACGATTTTTCATCAAAACCGTAGAACCACGTTTCCGTCAAAAACATAAACTCACTGTTTTTTGCAACGTAAAATTGTGATTTATGCACAAAACAGTAAAATCACGTCTTTCTCCCTAAACTGTAAAATCACGTTTTTCAACCAAAACCGTAAAAATCAGTTTTTCCATCAAAACATAAAATCACAACTTTCCCCAAAAACCATGTTTTGCGGTTATGGCGGAAAACCTTGATTTTGCGGTTTTGATAGAAAACCGTGATTTTGCGGTTTTGGCGGGAAACCGTGATTTTGCGGTTTTGGCGGGAAACGTGATTTTGCGGTTTTGGCGGGAAACCGTGATTTTGCGGTTTTGGCGGGAAAACTGATTTTGCGGTTTTGGCGGGAAACATGATTTTGCGGTTTTGGCGGGAAACCGTGATTTTGCGATTTTGGCGGGAAATTCGTGATTTTGCAGTTTTGGCGGGAAACTCGTGATTTTGCGGTTTTGGCGGGAAACATGATTTTGCGATTTTGGCGGGAAACCGTGATTTTGCGATTTTGGCGGGAAACTCGTGATTTTGCGATTTTGGCGGGAAACCGTGATTTTGCGATTTTGGCGGGAAACTCGTGATTTTGCGGTTTTGGCGGGAAACTCGTGATTTTGCGGTTTTGGCGGGAAACCGTGATTTTGCGATTTTGGCGGGAAACTTGATTTTGCGGTTTTGGCGGGAAACTCGTGATTTTGCGGTTTTGGCGGGAAACATGATTTTGCGATTTTGGCGGGAAACCGTGATATTGCGATTTTGGCGGGAAACTCGTGATTTTGCGGTTTTGGTGGGAAACCTTGGCGGAAAACTGTGATTTTGCGATTTATACCAAAATTGTAAAATCGTTTTTTTTGTCAAATTTGTAAGATCATTCTTTTATGGTATTGTATTCAAATCCAACCAAATACAATTTTGGATTTATTATGTGGGAAAAAACATTTGATGTATAATTGTTTTTTTTTCTTTTAATAAAGTGGGTTAACCATTGATCCAACCCATTATAAACCAAACCATTTCAATCCAATCCAATTAATCCATCACCCATGTGAACCATTAACCCATTTGGATCCAAATTTTTAATCCATTTGGATTAATGGATAAGATGGATTGGGTCAACCCATGGATTTGGATCCATTTTGACACCCCTACTCCCTAACTTAACTAGGGAAAATTTAAAAGGTTGAAGGGTAATAGATTGACTGAAAAAGTTGACCCATTTAACTTACCATATGAATTGACATATTTGACCAATATCAGTTAATTTCCATAATTTTGTTTTCGTTACATTCAGTCAATGTACAAAGGAGATCCATATAAACCCATATATATAAACAAGCTTGCAATCTCATCAGTCATCACTACACCAAGAAAAAGAGAAATATAAAGTGAAGAAGGGAAAAATGGAAAAAGTAACAAGCATTTTTGTCGTTCTTCTCCTAATCTTTTCATGTAAGTCTTTCAAAGTTCGTTGCCAAAAAAAAAAAAAAAAAAGAATTTTTTCAAAGTTTTGTCATTTTATTTTTTATTTTTTTTTGTCTATTGAAAGCATACGCTAGATAACCTAATTAATAAGTATCTATTCTTATGTGTATGTGTATATTAGATTAATAAGTATTAATAATATATTAATAATAATATTAATAATATTTATAGTATTAATAAGTATCTATATAATAAGTATTAATAATTAATAACCTAATTATATGTATAATATAATTTATACATATGTGTATATTAGATGCATTTACGTTTATCTGTTTTTTCTTTTTTTAATCTAAATTTGCTTTCCAGTTTGCAATTTTTTTTCTAAGGTAGTTCTTTTGTTATAATATTTCATTTTATATGTATTGCTTTATTTGTATGTATACAGTATACACCGTGTAAATAATAACAATGACTAGAGTAAATTCATGAAACTCTTTAGATGAAGAAATCTTAACATTAGAAGAGGAAGAAAAAATTATCGTGAAATTTATATAACTTTTAGTTTTAACAAAAAATTATATAACTTTTAGTGCGTTTGTCTTTTCGGTTATATTATGTGATATTCAAATAACCTAAACTAGACGGGTCAATTTATTTGGCTGATGGTTTAGTTCGGGTTTTGTTAGTTTTTGACTTGAATCATCTTATAAACAGGCATGATAATGACGAGCGAAGGTCAATGTGAAAAAGTTGGGGATTGTGATCGCCGTCGTTGCAGAGAACGTTCACATGTAGTATGTAACAACCACAAGTGTACATGTGCCTATGGTGCTTATATTGGTGGTGAATGTGATAGAGTCACTGACTGTGATCCTTATGGGTGTCCACCATATTATCATGTAGTATGCAATAGAGTTTGCACGTGTATCCCAAACTGATTGGAGTTATTTAGATTATGTCTCATGCATGTAAGACAAATAAACAAATAAGAATACCGAGTTGTTAACCATTTCTACGTTTTCTTGTTTAAAAATAAAATCATAAAATCAAAATCCTTAGTCAAACGAACTTTCTTTAATCATACAAGTCACAACAGCTTTGCCATTATTTTGAGAACACTATTGGATTTTTAAGTAACTAGGGAATGGTACCGCGCTACGCTGTTTATATATATATATATATATATATATATATATATATATATATAACATTATAATATTTTAGACAAACCATCAAAATGAATTGCAAATTTACTTTATATCCGTATATTCGATCACCACCACATATTAATTTTCATGATAAATCATTTATGGAACAATTTGTTTCCATCATTAGCTAATGAGAGAAACAGATGACACAGATACAACATGTTTCATGGGAATGTTCAAATAATGAACCAATAAGACTATCAAAGTTGGTTGGTAACTGAAAATAGTATATTGTATACACCTTTACCCATAAGCATTCAAAGTGTAGTCTTAAGACATTAGCCTGTTTTATTTGATGTAATATAGTTGAAGCCTATTTTAAAATAAAGTTGTGGATATCTACTTGCTATTCTAAAGAAACTTGTATATGCCATCCTAACAAATTCAGAAATGCAACCTTGTATTTTATTCAAAAGTTACCATCGAAGAAGACACTATTCATCTTCGTGAGAGCCCACCATTCGGAAAACCTTTACGAAATGCTGGAAACAATCACATGAGGAAAGCGGCTGTGCTCTTATTTAACTTATTTTGTATGGATGTATATGCGTTCGTTAAATTGTGTTCATGTCCCTGCTCTAGCATTTTCAAAAGTGAACTCTAAAAACCACACACAACATGACCCCAATGTCCAAACTTGAAAGGAAAAACATCTAAAGTTGCAGTATTTTTAGACTTTATTGAAATCACAACGATTTTCATACTCACAGTGCAGTAGGAAGAACCGAAGAACTATAGTTTTACATATGCAGGGGGAGGAGGCAAAGCTAATCTAGTAAAGATACATGAGCGGAACCTAACCAAGCTATCTCGAAATTGCCTCTTCTTTTTTCCTTTTTTATCTTCATAAGTTTCTCGGGTGCTTTCAACTGCTCCATCTGCTTCACCAATATATCTATGTTTTTAGCGAATGAGATGGTTAAGGAGACAAACCAAGTGCTGCTAAAGTCACTGGTTGAAAGTGCATCTGGAAGCTTCCAATCCTTGTCGGTAGGATTTCTTCCTAAGGATCTATTCATTTTTCCAGAACCGACCAGAGAGAGATTGCTTTTCTTGTTGGAACTCATTTTTGATAATATATTATATGTCAAAAATAAAGTTGGTTTGAATGAGAAATGGAGGTCCAAGTGGGTTGCTTGTATAGCATAAAATGTAACATTTTATTAAATGTCCCATATTGGAAGTTTGAGGTGAAATCCTCTTGTATATAAAGTGGAGAATTTAAAGCAAAGTTTAAAAGCTAGTGTATTAATAGAGAAAGATGATTACCGGGACGGGATTTGTGTCTCGGGCCTCGGGATTGGCAATCGGGCCAATGTCCATAAGTTAATTCTTTTGGCCAGAAATTCTTGTTGATTAAGTCAACAAATATCTTCTCTAATTAAATATTTTCAAATGACAATTAAATGCAAGTCAATTATTATTGATTTTGTAACATAAAATATTTAAGTCATGTTGAAAGAGTTGTTGTGAGAATTAATTCTCAAATTTCCACTAATGGCCCTACGTTGGAAAATGTTGAAGGCCATGAGGCTTCTTTATAAAGCCATATCCCTCCTCTTGTGATAAAGAGAGATTAATCACATATCAAACAACAACAAACAATTCCTCTCATCTCTTCTTTTTATTTTGTTTTTCTTATGAGAGTACATCACAGAAAATATGGTTCGCAAGCTTATGTATTGAGTGATGCAATCATAAGAAATATGCAGTTTTATCCTGGGATTCGGAACGCCATGCAACCATCACACTATGAGGCGTTTACAGAATTAAGGAAAGAGATCATATCTCGACTCTGCAAATCCGGTTTTATTTCCTTAATTCTTGTTTATTTTGTATCATTTTAATATTGTGTTATATTAATTTGTTCATTTTAATACTTTACATTAATCAGTTGTCCATTGTAGAAATTGCGTTCTTACATTTCTCACAGACCAAACCACCAAAGCTGCTCCTTCCACTTGACCGAGAAGACCCAAATCCTCCCCCATAACCTGAGGAACGCTCTGAACCACCTGAACCAAAGCTCCGGTAACCAGGTAACCAGAAAAAACGGTCTGAACCGCTAGAGTAACGACCGCCTGATCCGCCTGAACGGCCACTGCTGCTACCATAGCCACCACCGCCATAACCACCTGAACGACCTCCAAAGCTTGAACCACCACGACCTCCTCTTCCATAGGATCCACCAGACCGAGGACTCATTCCTTCAAACATGCTTGCGCTTCCACATTCCACGGCAATGCTTGGAAGCTGCATTATAAACCAAACACCAACTTTAGTACTCCACAATCATTCAAACAAACGAAACAAAGATGTTCTAAGAAAAAGTCACAGAGTTTATAATATAAAAACCTCAGTGAATCTGCTTCCGACTTCTTTCTCAATCATTTAACAGCCATGGACTGCTCTGGACCGTGGATAAGAGAATCGATTTTCCTTTCTTCCCAGCACGTCCTGTTCCCCCCGTTCGGTGAACAAACGTCTCAGTGTTGTACTTTAGCAAGCTCTCTCGTCGGAGCTAAAACTAAGCAAAGAGGATTTTTCCTACGCCTGGTCACATTAAAATGAAACTTAAGACACCAAATGTTAAATCTTTTAAACCCTCACATCAAATCTCTGTAGACACAAAATCAAATCTAGGAGCTTTAACAAACCCATGTTTAGTATTGAATTTGATGATCTTGTCAATGAGTGGAATCCCAAAAGTAAGCGTCTCTCCTGTTCTTGTTCTAGCTCGACCGATCATGTCACGGCCTTGCATCGCTGTCTCAAGAACATCTTTCTATTCACAACCAACAAACATCAAAAACTTAATTAAATAATTGATCCGATGCAGAAAATCGACAATCACTATAAGCAAATGGAGAAGAAGATCAAACCTGAATAGGAAAGAGTTTATCGATTCCTCTACCACTCAAAGCTTTGACAATCTCCGGAGATATCCTGAGCTCGGATCGCAAGCCCATCACTCTCCTCCGTCGCTAATTGGGAGGAAAATAGAGTAAATTTCACTTAAGAGGATTTGAAACAAACAAAAAAAAGTGAATATTGAGGTAAGATCTGGAGACGATCTTCTTCAAACTAAAAATCTGGGAAATTACAAACATGAAGGATCTCTACTCTTAGAAGGCATTGGGGGAGAGAGGAGAAGTGCAGTGGAAGAGGACGAAAGAAAGGTCTATCTATATATCTAATATAAGGTGTAACTGACAATTTATGAAGAACTTCGAGGAAGAGGTATCGGAATCGGATAATTAAATTCAAGCGGAAGAGGTTTTTTCGTCGTCGGAGCAAAATTAAGAATGAGTTCTGTGAGACTTATACCACCTGGCAAAGTGAGAAAAGAAGCTGAAGTTGCTGATATGGGTGCCTTAAGAGGTCCCAGTCAGCTCATTTAAGTTATTATAGATTCAACTTTTCCTAAAGGGTCGGCCCATGAAATGTTCAAACAGAAGTAAACTATCCTACGCTCGAGTTTCCGTCTCTGACTGAAATTCAGACGTCATTGCGCTGAGAGTCTGAGACGCCACTTTTTTTTTTTTGTTAAAGGGCCTGAGACGTCACTTGGCAGTTCCATGGTTTTGCAACTGAGAGGTCACTCTCTTTACAACCGTGGAATCTCTTTCCTTGTCTCTCTCTTCTTTCTTAAGGCTTCTTATTAGTTATTACGGCTTCGTTTTTGTTGAACTTCGACCAAACCACTGTTGAGCCACTGGTGAAATCAGAGCTCGAAGCCCTATTGTCTATAAACAACAATTGCTATTTTCGCTGCAAACAAAGTTCTTAGCCGTAAAATTTTAATTTAGAAGAATAACACTAAAATCCCTAATATATTAAAAGAGAAAACACTATCAAATTAACCTTTATTTCATGTATTATTAACAACTATACCATTACTTAGGTGTCATCACTAGGTTCACTCTCAAGTCAATTTCTAATTAAGACAAACTTTACTAGACTAATTACAACACATGCAATTGCATTGCATACTATATCTTTGTTTACATATTCCTTAAATTAAATGTTCAACCTATTAACGAGTAGCATCAACCATAAATTTGTGTGACTGATTTACACATGCTTTTTCAGTTACCAATTGGTACACCCTGTTTATATTAACCGGTTCGTCTCACCATGAATTATACACTTAATTTACATGTGACAAATTCGGTTATGTACACATCTCTAATAAACCACTTTTGAATGTACATGTATATGCACGTATGTTTAATAGGATAGCACTTATTTTTGGTGCAAGTCTAACGAACATATTATAATATGCAAGTCTAACTAACATATAATTTTTTTTTGATCAGTTATTCGTACTACCATAAAATTATTCCTAATCACCTATTCTGATAATAATTATACAGCTTTGATAGTTTGGCCGAATATGTTAAAATGTCAACCAAATTGATTTACGTATAGACTAGATAAACCGACATGAAAGAAATTTAAACCAGTCATGGAATTTGAGTGAGTATTTACTCTTCTAAATGCGTTTTGGAAGGTTCTCCGATTATGGTAAATCCCTAATATAATAAAACCTTTAAAACAGTATATACTTATTGTAAACGTATTTGATTAACGTATTTAACGGAGTAAATATCACACGATTTGATTAATGTTTCATGCAATTTATCGTGGGCATTACAGTTTTGGAAACCTAATAACTAAGTTACTATGTTTAGTCCCTCATTTAAAAGCCAAAACGTCTAAAAAAGAATCAAATCTAATATTATGCTATTATAATTGATCAAGTTTCCGAATCCATCGTTAAAATTAAATATGATATAAATTTTAATTGAAAATTTGTATAATGGGTGATTTTGATTGTGTCAATCAATTTTAAATCGTGATCATGTATTAGTACTCTGCACTTAATGTGATAATATACACTTCTAAACCCTATACCTCCTCTCTTTGCTATATAAAGGTCTCCCCAAACCATTACGAAACTCACGTCAAAACATACTTCTCTTCGTCGCTTAAGAGCTATTTATTATTAATATATTTTTATTATTAATATATCTTTATTGAATTGTAACCGTAGCTGATTTTTCTGGTTTTGCCACTATGACTTGGTGCTCCAGGAGTTTATGCTTTACTAATGCTATGAGTCTAATGTCAGGTCTTCTTTGTTTTCATAGGTGGCTTTGAACATGTACTATTTATTAGTCTAACTTTGTTTGTTTTTGTAGGTGGCTTTCACATGTCTCGAACATGGAAGTGTGTTTTGAGATCCTATTTGATCCTGAAATTTCTGAAATTCAGGCATTTAGAACAAGGTAAAAAAGTCGTGCCGATTAACTATCTCTTATCCTGCTCATATACATTAATGAAACTGATGCTAAGTTTCTAACATGCTTCCAATAAACGCTTATTGAGATACTATGTGGGAGTGTCACAAAGACGTAAAGAGTAATGGATTAGGAATTTTCGTTAAATTATGTACTCTAAACTATCTTATTAGATTGTACTCTTTTGATTTTTATGTCTTTGAACCAGTGTTATCATATTTAAGAGAAGTCAGTAAAACCATTTCTGTTTCCTCATTTTTACCCACCGAGAAACCCATGCAATATGGTTAATTCATTTTTATGTCTAAGACAATAACCAAAAACAAAGACATATAAAAGCCACCGAAAAAAATATAAGGATTGTGGAGGAAGTAAGTTCTCATTAACAAAATAGTTATACAAAGAACATCACTCCGCGCTGGACGCGAATCAATCCCTAGTTAACTGCTATTACTCATATGAGATCAAAGATATTTACATTTGTTAGTTGTTACCATTCAGAGCATTTATTTTCTTTGTACTTTCTAGATTTGTTACTAAAAATTAGAAACAAATAAAATTAAAGCAGTTTGTTGCTGATATAATTTGATAGCAATTGCTAAGCTTAAGTTTTATAATGATGTAATAGTAGATAAATTAGTATAATCTAATTGATCAGCATTCGTGGAATCTTAATTTATACAGCAGCGAGATTACGTGCATTAAACATGTCCAGTGCAGTGATTTTCTTTACCTATTGGATAATGGAATGATATTTAAAAATATCATTATAGCGTATAGAAAGAAGATCACGATGTTTGGGACCAACCAACAATACAAAGCTTGAGAAGCCGAAGAAGAAAACAGAAAAAGTTAGGTCTGAGACTTTAAAAAAACCCGAACCGTACAGACCCGAAACCCGATTGGTTTTGGGTATATAGTAAATCACCCATTGGATAATACTATTTAATACCCGAACCAAACCCGATACCGGAATTATCCAAATTATAGGTATTGTGGATTATTTTTGACTAGATAAGGCCACGCGTATAAGCTCAAAATAATTATCACACGGTGACTATAACTGGTGACCTGTAAAGGAACAAAGAGAATGAGAAGGAATGGAATGAAGAGAAATAAAATATATAGAACTCATTCCTCCTCATATTTTATAAAGAATATTTTAACACTATAATTCCCTAATTAATATGGAATGGTAAAGAATAATATGGAATACAGATTCCTTATAAATGATGTAATTTTTTAAGGAATGAAGGGGAATTGTCTTATTCCCCCTCATTCTTTGGTTACCAGTTACAGCCGGTTTGTTCTTTTAAGATTTTTACATTAAAAATATTAAATATAATCTGATCCATTATAAAATTTTTTTTCTAATATTATTATATTAGTTAGTTGCTTGATAATTAGTTTGTTAGTTTTCTATTTATATTGTTTTTTTTACAATTTTTTTTTGCCTTGAACAATTATAAATTTTTATTTTCATTATTAGTTAGTTGTTTTATAATTATTTTGTTAGTTTTATATTTATGATGTTACATTTTCGAATTTTTTCTTTTGTTAACACATTTCATCACCTGATCAAATATAAGATACATGGTGTGACAATAATTACGATTTCAGTTCAGCTGATCAGTAGTTAAATATTTCATTGATATCTTAAAATTTCAAAGACATGATGTTTTATTTCAAGATAATTTTTTTAAAAGATAGAACTTCACAATTAAATCATGTAAGCTGTAGCTTATTATATATATTTTTTTTCTTTTCGTAATAGAAATATATTTTTTTCGTTTCTTAATAAATGTAACAATTTATTTATAATTATTTCTTTTCTTTTCTGATTTTCGGTTTTTTTCCTATATGTAATGGGAATTTATAATTTTTTTCCTTTTATTAATGGAAGTAGCATTTTTTATTATTATTGTTTCTGTTTTCTGATTTTTTTGGGTCTGCTATATATATTATTTTTTTATTTTTCTTATTCCCTGACACATGTCATGATCTTAATATTTTCAGAATAGAAAAACACATGTCGCGATCATGTGAGTTATAAAAATCTTATGTGTCGTAACCATGTCGGTGCATACAGCTTTATATAATAAGATATTATAAATGTAATTTTTTTTAGGTTTCTCGGATTTTTTCGGATTTTCAGATATATTTCAAAAAAACTTTTTTATTGGTTTATGCATTTATGGATTCTAACAATCTAAGTAAAATCTCTTGTTATTCGTTTGGTTTTAAAAATCTATACAAAATCCGTTGTTATTCAAAATGTTTATGTTTTGATGATTTCATGAATCCATTAATATCCTTGTTATCATGGGACATGGATTTTAAAAATAATAATAATTCATGAAACAATATTTCCAAAAATACTATATATAATCCTTAGATTTTCAAAATTCATTACAATAAAATATACAAATTCTAACCAAATTAAACATAAATTATTTATAAAATTAACAATTCTGTTTAATTTTAAAATCAGTCAACTCTATACAAATTAGTCAACCAATAACCCCTAACTTAACTAGCAGAAATTCTCAAGGGGTAATGGTTGACTGAGAAAATGAAGGTTAATTAGTTGACCCATTTAAGTTACCAGATAAATTGATTGATTTGACCAATATCAGTTTCCATAATTTTGTTTCCGTTACATTCAGTTAATGTACAAAGGAGACCCATATAAACAAGTTTGAAACTCACTACACCAAAAAAGAGAAATATAATAAAGTAAAGAAGGGAAAAAATGGAAAATGTAACAAGCATTTTTGTCGTTCTTATTCTAATCTCTTTTTTTTTTTTTTTGAGAATTGGCATTCATATTTAAAGCATAGAAAAAAAAAAAAAACAAGCCTAAGAGGCTTTAGTGTTTTAGCAAAGCCCTTTGCTAGATTACAATTAGGAGATTCTAACATTAACCAGCCTAAAAGCCCATAAGATAGAAAAAGCCCAAGTTAAGAAACAAGGTTCGATGGAACCTAGGGAATCAGTCGGTCCGTTACTGAGCCGTGGAGAGCCACAGTTGCAGAAGTCGAGATGCGAGCATGTCGTTTATGTCCCTATAGCTAGCTATTCGGTTTCGAATCTGCCTGTCTATGGAGGAGACAATGGTGTGATCCGGCGTGAAGATTCCCCTGTGAAGTCTACCGTTTCTCTCCGACCATATCCAATAAACATGCTTGCCATGCAATGAGAGTAAGTCTTTTCGCCAGTTTACCAGAAGCGAGTGTGTTCATCTGCTCCAGTGAGTGAGTCCATCGTCTTAGCGGTTGCAGATTGCATCTCCTAGCCATTTGTCGCCAGATGCTCCAGCTGACCTCACAATCGAAGAAAAGGTGATCTCTGGATTCCGATCTAACGTTGCAAAGAAGACAGTTCAAGTCGGTATGTAGTCCCCAACTTGCGATCCTGTCTCTAGTAGGGCAACGATTGAGAGTGACAAGCCAAGCAAGGAAGTTATGCTTTGCTATTCCTCCTACACACCACACAGTTTTAGCCCAAGGTACCACCACCATTTCTCCTCGTAATTGCTTGTACACCTCTCCAGTTCCAAACTTTTTTGAGACAAAACCCTCAATATCCCATTCATAATAATCCTCCTCGTCAGTCAAAGAGATCGTGGTTAGATGCGCCAGAAGACTAACCAGCTTGTCCGATCTCGCAGGTGGAAGACGCCATCGGTTCCTACTGTGAAGACTAGCCACCGTTGCCATCTCAGTAATCCCCAGTCTTGAGGTTTCGCTTCCTCTCAGATAGTTGCTGATGTTGCCAAACGGAGTCCAGTTGTCCGACCAGAACCTACAGGACGCTCCATTCCCGATTCGCAGTTTGATCCACGGGTAAATATCCTCCCTTATCCTTAGCAGCTTATTTACAAGCCACGAGTTTCTCTGATTGGGTTTGACTGTCCAGAAGTTACTCAGGTTTCCATCAAGTATCTCCGCTCTAAACCAGGCAACCCATACCGAGCCGGATTGAAAGAAGATTAACCAGATCAGTTTCAGACAGCAGGCTCTATTCCAGGTAATTAGGTCCCTAATCCCCAACCCTCCTGCTTCTTTTGACTTTGTTACCGTATCCCACGCGACTCGAGCTGTGTGATGCGCATCGAGGCTTCCTTTCCATAGAAACACGCTGCACATTGAGTTGATTCGTTTGATGCATGCTTTTGGCAGGATAAAGGACGAGCACCAGAATGTGGAGATTCCTGCAATCACCGTTTTGATGAGGACCAGGCGTCCTGCAAAGGACAGAGATTTTGAGCTCCAACAAGTTAGGCGAGATTTTACTTACTGAATCAGGACTTCGCAGTTGGCCATGCTCAGTTTCTTGCTACTTAGAGGAACGCCCAAGTATCTGACAGGCAGAGAGCCTTGAGGCATTCCCGTGGTGAATTTAATCAAGTCACACACCTCCTGAGACACTCCAGACGCAATGAAGCTTGGCTTTTGGACGCTTACAGCCAGACCTGAGCGCAATTCAAATTCATGGAGAACCTGCAACACGTTTTGCACAGATTCCAGTGTTCCCTCAACAAAAATGAGAAGGTCATCATCAAAGCAAAGGTGGGTGAGCTTGGAACCAGTACATCCGTGATGATAGGTAAATTTCTCATCTTCCGCGGCTTTGTTTAACATCAGAGAGAGGCAGTTCATTGCAATTACGAATAGGTAGGGAGAGAGCGGATCACCTTGTCTTAGTCCTCGCTTCCCCTTAAAATAACCTTGTACCATTCCGTTGTAGCCTACTGTGAAGTTAGTGGAACAGATACATGCCCTCAACCAGCTTCGGTACTCCTCAGGTATAGCTAGACCTTCTAGGCAGTTGAAAAGGAAGTCCCATGAGACACTATCGAAAGCTTTAGCGATGTCCACTTTAATAGTAATTCTCTTAGGACCCTTAGATTTGTGGTAACCATTGACCAGTTCTCCGGCCAAGACTATGTTTTCAACTAACAGTCTATCTTTGACAAATGCAGTTTGGTTCGGGAGAATGAGTTCAGGAAGCAACGGTTTCAGCCTTTTGACGAGGAGTCTTGAGACCACTTTGTAGAGAGTGTTGAGACAAGAGATGGGTCTATAATCTGTGATCTTTGAGGCGCCTGGATTCTTTGGTATTAGGGTGAGGATGGTAGCATTGGTTGAAGCGGGCATGAAAGAGTCAACGAAGAAGTTAGAGATAGAGGCAGTTACTTCGGCTCCCAGAATGTCCCACGAAGCTTTGTAGAAACCCGAGGTTAAGCCATCAGGCCCTGAAGATTTATTTGGGTTTAGTCGAAACATAACCTTTGTAATCTCCTCAACTGATGGCTTGCTTGTCATTTGTTGATGAAGCGCAGATGGGCATCGGAATGGGGTGAGAGCTTGGAACCAAGAGGGCGGAGATGGCAGGGGAATTGGTGGGAGTATCTGAGGCCCGAGAATTGACGTGAAGTGATTGATAGCATGGAGACTCATCTCTATTGGGTCCTGGATGATGTCCCCCGAGGGGAGAAGGAAGGACCTGATAGAATTGTAGCTTGTTCTCGTTTGTGCGATTCTCTGGAAGTAAGTCGTATTTTGATCTCCCTCTTTTAGCCAGTTTATTCTTGATTTCTGCTTAAAGTAACTCTCTTCTATGCCTCTCAGAAAAGTCCACTTTTCATGGAGCAATCTTTCTTGGCTGAAGAGTTGTTGGGAGGGTGCTTCCAATGCCTGTACCTGCACAACTTGCAACAAACTGTAAGCCTCACTAACCCTCTTTTGTATTTGTGAGTAGTTCGCTCTGTTTAACTCTCTCAGTGATCTCTTAATGGTCTTTTGCTTCCAGCTCAATCTAGTAAGAGTGGAAGCAAAGCTTCCGGCCTGAATCCAAGCTTCTAGTACCACATGGTGAAAGTCGGGGTGCTTAGTTAGGTAGTTGAAGAATTTGAAGGGTCTAGTGCCGGCTTTAGGCAGGCGATGGGACAGATGAATGAGACAGGGGCTATGGTCTGAGGTTAGCGGAGGGAGGAAGAAGGCTTGACTATCTGGGAACAATCCAACAAGGTGGCAATTTACCAGAAGCCTGTCTAGTTTTTTAGCAATGGGAGACTCCGGTTGATTGTTTTTCCAGGTGAAGAACGGTCCCTGGAATCGAAGATCGAACATCCCCATCTGAGTCAGACAGTCTCTGAATTCAGTCATTCTCGCGTCAAAGGTGGAAACAGCTGGATTTGAGTGTTCAGATGGATGGATTATTTGGTTATAATCTCCTCCAAGCATCCACGGAGACGAACTGAGGGAAAGATTTTGATGGAGGTGCAGGAGTTCAACCCACAGGTCCGTTCTTTCCTCAGGTAGATTAGAGGCGTAAACTGCCGTATAGTAAAATGACTGGGCATTAGGGAGTTTTATTTGGCAGGTTACGGTCTGTCTTGACTGATGGAGAACTTGAACCATCGCCGGATGACGCCAAATGAGGATGTCTTATTCTAATCTCTTCATGTAAGTTTTTCAAAAGTTTTGTCATTTTATTTTCAATTTTTGTCTATTGAAAGCACACGCTTTTCGGTGTTAGATAACCTAATTAATAAGTATCTATACGACTATACATATGTGTATGTTAGATGCATTTACGTTAATCTAAATTTGCCTTTTAGTTTGCTATATTTTTTTCTAAGGTAGTTCTGTTGTTATAATATTTCATTCTATATGTATTGCTTTATTTGTAAGTATACACCGTGTAGTAATAAATTAATAACAATGACTAAAGTAAATTCATGAAACTTTTTAGATGAAGAAATCTTAACATAAGAAGAAGAAAAATAAATTATCGTGAAATTTATATAACTTTTAGTGCGTTTGTCTATTCGGTTATATTATATGATATTCAAATAACCTAAACTAGACGGGACAATTAATTTGGCTGATGGTTTAGTTCGGGTTTTCAATGTGAGACAGTTGGGGACTGTGATACCCGTCAATGCAGATTACATTCACATGTAGTATGTAACAACCACAAGTGTACATGTGCCCATGGTGCTTATATTGGTGGTCAATGTGATAGAGTCATTGACTGTGATCCTTTCGGGTGTCCACCATATTATTATGTAGTCTGCAATCTTCAAGTTTGCACATGTATCCCAAACTGATTGGAGTTATTTAGATTATATGTATGATGCAAGAAACTTCAATTCCATGCTAAATTATATATGCATGTGAGATGTAACACTGTAACAGTATCTGTGGACATGAGTATAAACAAATAATAATATCGAGTTGTTAACCATTTCTACGTTTTCTTGTTTAGAAACCTCAGTCACAACAAGCCAAACGAACTTTCTTTAATCATACAAGTCACAACAACAGCTTTGCCATTATTTTTAGAACACTATTGGTTTTTTAAGTAATTTAATTTTCCCTAAAGGGTGGACCCATGAATGTTCAAAGAGACATCAAAACCCAATAGTTAAGCTATCGATTTCTCTAATTTGTTTTCTCTCTATTTGCTCTTCCTCCGTCGCCGCCGGTAAACTACCCTCCGCTCAAGTTTCCGTCTCTGACTGAACGTCAGACGTCATTGCGCTGAGACGTCGCGTGGCAGTTCCATGGTTTTGCAGCTGAGAGGTCACTCACTTTACAACCGGGGAATCTCTTTCCTTGTCTCTTCCTCCTTTGAGACATTTTTTTTTTTTAATAAAATTCTTTGAGGCATCTTAGTACGGCTTCTTTTTTGTTGAACTCGGACCAAACCACTGTTGAGTCATTGGTGAAATCAGAGCTCGAACTTACAATTGCTATTTTTCGCTGCAAACAAAGTTCTTAGCTGTACAAAATTACGAAAAGTCGTGTTATTTTCAATTTGCACAAGATTTTTAAATAACTATTTACTGTTTTCAAGATTTTAATTTTTAACCATTCAATTTTTTTGTTTCATTATCCGTTCGGGTTTGGTTCGGTTTTGCTTAGGTTCAGATCGGTTTAGGGTGCCGAAATATCGGATAAAAATAATAATAAAATAGCTTAAATTGACTTAAATAAATTTTGCAAATAATTGAATTTAAATAAATATTATTAAAATATTTCTGATATTTAAAATATTTTGATTAATTTATTCTATAAATAACTAATATTCAGTACTCCCTCCGTTTCATAATAAGTGTCATTTTGACAAAATGTATCTAGACTATTTATTGATGTTTCGGGATGTGTTTTAAGTCTTTATACATCCATATACATGTAGATACATTGGATATGTCAAGAGTCAAAACGACACTTATTATGAAACGGAGGGAGTATAGAATTATAACTTTAGATAGTTTCGTTATTTTAAAAATAAATATAACCAATTATTTTATAAAGAATTTATATTTTGGGTATATATTTGGTTTTTGGTTCGATACGGTATTTCAGATGTAGAAATTTACAGATTTTGTGTTGTTTTTGGTTCGGTTTGGTATCATCAAAATTGGTTCGGTTCGGTTTTTTCGGTTCCGATTTTGTGCTCATGCCTACCATATACCTCAAAAGTCATTGTAACAAGATTTGTTTGAAACAGCTGTGTGAATTCAAATTGAATCATTTTCTTTGAAACGAAACAGTTCGAAAGGAATTGTACCGAAAACAACTAAGAACAAGAGTATTATATCTGAGTCAGGATCGAGCCGAAAGTTTACTCATAGACAGATCTACCGTGACGAGGTAAGACAGCTATAAGTAGATTTAAAAAGGAATATTGTCATTATGTTAAAGCTTTAAGCAATGTTTTTAAAACCGGATTGGAAGGCAAACCGGATAAGCATCCGGGTCATGGGTCAATTTGGTTCGACCGGGTTGAATCAGTTCATAATAATTTATTTTTATTTATTTTTAAACACATATTATAAACAGTTAAGAGTTGATATATAAATATAATAGTATTAGAAAAATTAAACTAAACCTAATTTTATGAAATAACTTATAATTAAACATATAATTAATTAATTGATAATTTTATTTGTTTATAAACAACACCCGAAACCCAACCCGGTCACATGTGTGGTTAATGGTCGAACCCGGTCCGACCACCGGATCGGTCCGGTTTTCAAAATACTGGTTTTAAGGAACACTGATGATTTATTTTCAGAAAATATATAGGTTTAGATATGAAGAAAAATGAAAACAATGAAGATGAGTTATTTTTTTCGTTTTTTATATAGTTTTTTATTAAAAATAAAATTAAAATCTTGAAAACAGTAAATAGTTATTTAAAGATCTTTTGCAAATTGAAAACAACATGATTTTCTCAGCGTTTTGATATAAATGTTTTTTTTTGCAAAAAAAAATTAGTTTGAGGTTTTTTTTGCACAAATTAAAAAGGATTTATGACAATGTCACATCATCAATATAGGTAGGGGCTATATTGGGGATAACTTTTTAGGTAAGTGATTTGACTTGCATTTCTTTAGTTGAGGGTTTTTCTTTCAAAAATAATATAGTTCGAGGTTTCTCTACACAAAACACATGAACCAACAGTACAAAGCAGAAGCCCAAGAAGAAAACAGAAAAAGGTCATCCACAATGTTTTCTTAAAGTGCTTAGCTAGTTTCCTCGTACTAGCAGTGGCTAGATGAGATAAAAGAGAATAAGCATCATAGCAACATATGTCTCTGCAATATTTTCTAGCAATCTATAATGTAAGGATCTCAACATTAGCATCCCATCACTTTGTCAATCAACGAGTCCTTCCGTTGTTCATTATGATCATGTAGAATCTCTGCTTGTTTTTTTGTCATCTCTCACTTGCTCCTGTTGTTCTTGTTGAACTATAATCATATTCTCATGAACTAGAATCACATTAACATTAGTTAGTTATTTAATCAAAAGACACAAGTTGTCTTGTTCAAGAGTTGTGTCATTTAGATTAAAGAGTCACGTCTTTTAGATTAAGAGTCATGTCTTTTAAACACATCTTTTCATTTGTATAAATATGTGATCAAGTTTCTGTTTCTTGCATCACAAAAAGTTGTAATACATTCAAGTCATTAATACAAGTTCGATTGCAACATATACAGTTTAATTGTTTTTTCTTTCATTTGGTAAACATCATTAAACACAAACATTAACAGTTCTCTCTTCCTCTTACGGCCGCAGCATTATTAGTTTGAATATCAGTCATTATTTTGAGCAATTGTTCCGTATTACTCTGAATCTGAACCAAAGCACTCAAAAACTGCTCCCAAAACTCGGTTGCTAAAAAAACAAACAAAAACAATAATACAGAAGGTTTAGGATTCAAGAAGGCACAATGAGAGAAACAGAGGAAAATAAGTGAATTGTTTAATTACGGGAAGAAACTTGATGCTGCGAGGCTTGAAGGTTCACATGTATTAGGGCGTCAGCATTATTAGCATTAGCGGCTTCTTGAAGCACTTGTGATGATGCATCAGCCTCTCTTTGGATATCAAAAGCAAAGACATTGTTAAAAAATATATTCTTCATGTTTTATGAACACACAATGAGAAACTCCATGAACAAATGAGGTTGTTACCGCAGAGCAGTAGGAGGACGTAGACGCAGTTGCTCTTGTTCTTTAGCTCTTAACGCAAATGAGATAGTATTTTGTTATTAGTTTAGATTTTCTCAAGATATGTTACGACTTTTTCAAAAGGGTAGATCCCTGATTTCTTGTACAACGTCTTTAGCAATGTATTCAAACCACTAAGTACGACGTCTCCCATAGAAACATTTCTTCCACAACAAGCTTTAGCAATGCCTACGTGTTTGAAGTCTGATTTGAGAGGACAGATGAATAAATATCTTGAGCAGAGACGAATTAAGTTTCACCTGAAGGAGAAGAAGAAGAAGATGAAGTTTAAGGAGATTTTTGGATCTTCTTTAGTTCTTTGGCTACTTCCACCATTGTTGGAACTTGTCCGCTATGGCCGACGCATCTCTGAGAGAGCATTAGGAAATCTTCCATTCTACAAAGTTCTTCTTCTGTAATACCACCCATCTCTTCTATCATCTCAGGATCTGCGATCTCTTCCATTGATCCGGACAACCAATTTGGAAAACGTCTCGGAGAATAAATAGGCGACACAATTGATCTGTTGAATGCTTCTTCATAATAAAGTTCTTCTACTTCTTCAAAACAAAGGTCCCTAAATCTTGGTTCCTCGCTTAGAACCTCAACTTCTGGTTTTGCCATCTCTTCCATTCTTCGCTTGGACAGCCAATTTGGAAAACGTAACGCAAGAGAAAACGGCAAAAAGCTTTGAAATGTTTCGTTTTCGCCTTTCACTAGTTTTTCGAAATAAAAGTCTTGGCATCTTTGTTCTCCACTGAGAAGCTTTTGCATGAGAATTCCAATGCCGTAGACGTCCGTTTTCTTGGAGACTACACCTTTTTTCCACAAATTAGGGTCCATGAAACCATACAAACTGATTCTCGGAGTGGTATCACCCCACTCATACTTATGCTTGACAAATGTTTCACCTTGTGGGATCGAGACGCAACTAGAGAAATCCCACAGCTTGGCAACACCATCTTCGTCCAACAAGATATTTTCAAGTTTCATATTTGCATATACGAAAGGCCTTGGGAAGGCAGTGTGAAGGTAAGCTAAAGCTGTTGCGATATCCTCTGCTATCTTTATTCTTCTTCTCCACGACTGTTCCTTGAGATCTAATTGATAATGTTTCTTTACACCATGAAACACCATTGCTACATGATCTTCAGACTCAAGACAACATCCAACCAGTTTCAAAAAGTTTTTGTGTCCACTCACCATCGATGATATTGCTATGTCGCGGCAGAAGAGTTCTTCTTGTTGATAGTAATTTAACTCGTGGGTGAATTTCTTGATGAGAAGCATGGGATGATTCTCCTTTTTACCAGAATACCATTCATAGTAAATCAAATTAGCAAAAACATGGTTAGAGTTGCTGAAATTGTCGGTGGCTTCGATGATCTGACATGGAGAGAAGAATTTGATGGGATTAGATTTTCCATCACAACATTCGATGAGTTCCTCTAACAAAATCGCCCCTCTCCTTCTGCCTCGGATCGACCTCTCTTCTTTTTCATAGGCTCGTGTGCCTTCTTCTTCCTCCACCAATCCATCATAAAACCTACACAAGAAAGAAAAGAAAAAACTTTTACTTTGAGATCAGCTGACCAACATTCAGAGACATCACACACACAGATACACGCTTACAGAGTTGGAGAAACGAAATGGATATTTAGATGAGTGGTTCTAAACTATTATTGAATATTCAACACCGACGTCCTGCAAAGAAAGTCAAACTTCAAGCACACACAACATACGTATAAGTCAATTGATGAGACATGTGAAGAACACACAAAATTTAAGAGCCATATGCGCGTCTTTCGTAAAGGAAATTAACAAAAATCTAATTTTTACAATTATATCATTCAGAATCTTATATATAATTAGGGAGTTGCTATCTCCATATAGAGTGTCCACATCAGCACAAAAAAATCATTAAATTGTTTTAAAGATATCTAATACATGACTTTTCATATTTCTTTGCATATATTTATATTTTAAATATAAATAAAACTAAGAAAAATACACAACTAAATTACTTAATTAATATAAAATATGTGATAACTTGATGTTAAAACTTATCAAACTAGATTTTACAATCTAATTTTAAAATCTAATTTTACAATCATATAATTCAAAAAGAATCATGCATGACCACTGCACTTATATATATCTACTAAAGTAAGTAGAATAATATTAAAAACTCAATAATATATCACTAAATAAAATTAGTTAAGTAATCTCTTACGATTTTAATTATAATTGACATTTTTGTTTTGAATTGATGATATGAAAAATGAATTAATTTGTTTTCTTTTATTTTAATCTAATTTAGAAAGACTTACACGTGATTAAATATATATGATCGACTAATTAATTCGCGAAACTTTGATTCTTCCATTCAAGAGATTTCTGTTGATGAAATCTTTTTTTAATATTTTTACGTAAAAAAAAATTGAAAAAATAAACTATTTAAAATTAGAATATCGGTCCATTATAAATTTTTATTTTTTAATATTGTTAGTTTCTTGATAATTATTTTGTTAGTTTTCTATTTATATTGTTTCTTTTACAATTGTTTTTTGCCTCAAACCATTATAATTGTATAAAACATGTTGGTTCAATTCATTGTATGGTTTTTTTTAAACATGGTTTTCTTTTTTAAGCATCCAGTTTAAATGTATGAATTGACTATTATTTTTGACATTTAAAAAAAAAACTACTCGGAAGTTCTGGGCCGAAACTTACATATCCTCCCAGGTCCGAAACCACAACATTTAATATTAGTTTCGTCTCAAGCAGCATTTGATCATGTAACCTCTAATCATGTGATATTTTTAAATGTACAAGTAATTAAAAAAATAAAAATCATTTGATAAGTTTCAAACCCAATGTTAAAAACAACATATCATATTCAAAAATTATAGTATAATCACCAAAGTAGCCAAAATTGAATACACCTATTTGGTATTTTGTAAATTCATTCAGTGTCACTTTCTCACGGTATAGATGGCATGAGACCATGTTACAGTAGGATTTAGTGGTAGATTCATTCTTTCGTGTCAATTCATTTGTCACAATTTTACAATATTCTGATTCGAACCCGTTATTTCTCCTTAGAAACCGGAGAATCCTCACGATATATCGTCTCTGATCTTTTACCATTTTCAATAAATAATTTATAATTGGCTATTGTACATGGTAGCAGTTTAGTAGTACATATATGTGGTAGACTTGTCCGAACTCAAATAAATTAGTAAATATGTTACATGGCTAACAAAGTTACTCATAGACTAATTATCGTGATATGTCTGATATTAACTTGATAATTATTTGATTTACATACATTGATAGGATTGATTCAAGAAGTACATTGATAGAGTTACAAGTGGTTTCTTGAGATGGAAGTTAGTACATTTGGACATGCCGTTTTGGTTACATAAGAGGCGAATGTCACAACCAGTTAGTCTTGGTCCGACAGCCATCAATCGCCCAAGCGTCACCATTCCTGAGACTGGCCTCTACTTGCATATGCTTTGATGGATAGCTTACGCCTTTTTTCATTTTTATAGACTTTTGTTGAGAAGGTGAGGTTCATTAAAACATACACAACTTTGATTCATTTTAGATGTTAACACAAGTTAAGTCACGAGAGTGATACATAAGATTTTAGAAGCCTAAGCTTCTAATTACCCATAAATCTGGTTTTGGCTATCATACTATTATTTTCGAAGTCAGAATTTCAAATGGAGACACCACGTTAACTCTCAGCCTCAGAATTACATAACTACCCTTAATGAAAATCTTGACAATAAATTTTTAAAAAATATATATATTTTGATTTTAATTAAAGAAAAACATCTGAATTTCTCATTAATGGAAAATTTACTAATTTAACAATTTTGCCTTTTTTGTCTTATCAATTAGAAATTAGGATTTATATGAAACCCTAATAATTGAAACTATAGTACATATAAAATCTATATAGGTCACTCAACAAAAACAATGATATAAAGCGGAATCCTAAGGATTTTTGAACTCGTGATATCTACATCCCGACTGAATATAGATGAATTTATTGAGTTTGCAGTTTTGAAATCCGAGTGAGACTATGAATTCTACTGATTTGATCATAGCTATGCAGGATATTTTAGCTTGATGAGTTTACGTGTAAGTATTGGGTTTATAATGATTTTTGATTTGAAACCCTATCGCCTTTGCTCAAAGCGAGATAGACCGAAATTGAATGTGAGAATTGCTTGGGTTTGATGCTTTAAATCGACGCTCAACAATTGCAAACTTGCTTGGATACAATTTTGGTATGATTGGATCCTCAAAGATCTAGAAGATATGCTGGCGGTATTGCAGAGGATTAACGGGGATACATGATACTGATGGTTTCAACGATAATAAGTATATCATCTTACAACTAAGAGTGAGTTTAATGGTGATCTCTTCTTTGCTTGACGAAGAATACGTCTAGCTTAGTAGTTTTGATTTATTTTCATTGAGTTTGATATGTTATGTTTATGACTGTATATCTAATTTTATGATCATGCATTTTTTAGGTCATGGAAGGTTTTGAAACAGATGGATTATAAAAGATCGGAAGAAACAATTGTGTGAGAAAACCATAATCTCTTTGCGTACTTATTTTTGTTTGGTTTTACTTTTACCGTGTTTTTTTGTTTCTTAATAATAATAGTTCATCGTACAACCCTATATCTATTCCCCGGAAGTAGTCTCCATCTTTGGCATCCGTCGCTTTTGATCGTGGACCTCTTTCATCATCACTTGATAGATTCTCTCTGTTCTCGCCTTTATATTTCCATTTTTTTTTTCTTTTTCTTTGTTTTTCTTGATAGATTCTCTCTTATACTGTTTTTTTGTTTGTCTTTTGCTCTTTGATATACTTTGATCGATGCATCTTTGTATTTTATAACATTTTTTCCAATAATCCAGGTCTTGAGTTGATCGAACAACAGGTCCACGACCATATGATATGTTTTGTTCACTTTTCTTTTTTTTAATCTTTAATTACTTAATTCCATTACCTTTTGTTACTTTAATCTGAGAGACGTGGGCGAGTACCGGGTCCTTAAAAAAACAACGTATGCATGGTATTCTATCCTGGTATATCTTAATCTTCCTATTAATATTTTGGTTTGTTGTGGTTATAGTTTTACGGTGACTCTGTCCTTAGCTAATGGTTATTGTGTTTACGGGACTCAAGCCTTCCTTGAATTTTGACTCTTGAGTATGGATAACTGTTGGATCTTTCAATTGTATAATGCTGCTGACTGTGGAAATGTTTCTTCGGTTGTGTTTGACATATTTGTCTTCTCTGCTTTGTTGGTATTGTGTTGTAGGGAGAGAGGAGTAACGATATTGTGTGTATTGCTTTAGCTATTGATACATGTGATGCACCAAAAAATACGATGAACAGTGTTGTTATGTCGAACTTTAGGGTTAGACTTGGAGATGTTATCTTTGTTCATCAATGCCTTGATGTGAGGTATGGGAACCGTGTTCACATTTTGTCCATATATATATGATACCATTGAATGAGTTAGTTGAAATATATTTGATGCATACCTTAAACCTGAACGTAAGGTATATAGCTATAAAGCCAACATTGAACTCAAACAGTTTCACCAAACAAACATACCATCTGCCAATTATTTTCTCTCATTTTTTTAGTCTATGGAATTTTCATATTTGGCAAAAGAGTCTTATACAGACAAGTAGTTTTTTTTTCATTAATTGTATATGTAATTGGAGAGATTAGATGGATTGATTATCTTACAATTTGTGCAGAAAAGAAGAACGACGAGAGAGTTTAAATATCATTATAAGTACCTTATCCAAGTGTGCACGAGTGGTGTGAAAGAGAGTTTAAATCTCATTGCTGCTTTTTTAGATTTTTTCATGGCTAGAAAATTACCTTATTACGTGAGAGGTGGACAGGTTGATTATGGAGAAAATCGCACTGACCATATTATGTACCTTTAATCTTTTATATTTTTTTGTTTACAATTTAGTTGGTTCTTAACTTCATTAACAAAACACAAATGAATAATCAATTTTTTTTTAAAAGTTTACTATCGTTTTTACATTGTTTGATTTAAATTTAAAGACCATTACGAATTTATATGTTTGTTTCACTTATATTTTAGAATAATTTTAAAAATATAAAGAAAAATACAGTTACTTTGGAAAATATCGGAGAAGAAGAAAGAAAAAAAAAAGGTGAAGAAGACAAATTAGAAGAAAAATAAAACTTGAAGGTGAAGGAGATGGAGTCAAGAATGTGAAAAATAAGAAGACGACCACAAGAAGAAAAAAACCCAAAAGAATAAAAAGTCAGAAGACGAAAACGAAGCCGATGAACAATGAAAGTGAAGCACTGGAGGAATAAAAAGTTGGAAGAAGAATGGGAAGACAATTAAGAGAAAGAAGAATAAGAAGAATAGTCAATGAAGAAATAGTTGGAAAATACAATGAAGAAGACACAATGAAACGAAAAAGAAGAAAATGGATAAGTCGATGATGATGAAGTCGAAAAAGAAGAAAAGGAATAAAAAGTGAAGGAAAAATTACAAAACGATGCATAAGAACAAGATGAAATAGTTGAAAAATTAGATTATGTAATAATCCATAATTATAAATAATGTATAGAAGCAGTAGATTACAAATATTATTATATTCAATAATAACTAAATACTGTAGATATATAATATATAATATGAGTTTTTATGTTGGATACCGTTAGCGGATAGGGTATATAAAAAAAACTCATGAGTTAGAGTCGTTTAAATAGCTTTAAGATTTCTGATGATTTTTTTGTTAAATTTTTTTTTGTCTCACTTTTTATTTGTTTGATTTTTTTTTATTTTTTTTTTTTTGATTTATTTACTTGTAGATATAAATAAGAAGAGTATTTTCTCTTCGTTGCGGTTGAATCATATGATGGTCCTCACGTGAACATGGTCCTCACGTGTAAACAATGTAATAAAACGTACAGAGCGAGCGGGTTGGGATGTACGGTTTAGGGGCGTTTATAATGTGGAATTAGGGTTTAGGATGTCGAGTTTATACTGATGGATGTAGGGTTTAGTTTTTTGTGCATTTTTTTAAATTCTTAGTTCTTGAAATATTCTAATGAAAAGCGAAATAGCAAAACAGCTAAATTGTTTAATCTTTTGTTCAAATCATATCGATTAAATAAAAACATTGTGTATTCTTAAATACCATATGAAATTTTGAACAACAACAACAACTACACCAAATTAAGCCAAACATATTTAATTAAAATTAAAAAGAGTTGTCTATTGTGTGGTTATGGTGTACTGTATGGAAGGGGGTGTTTATGGTAGGGTTAGGGTTTGGAAATTAGGGTTTATATTGGTGACAAAGATAGAGAGAAGAGGGAATGACGAAGAAGAACCAAAATTGGAAAAAGAAAAAGCAAAAAAAAAAAAGATGATGACAAAGAATAAAAAGACGGAAGAAAAAAAAAAATGGGATCATTGAAAAAGAAAAAGAGGAAGAAGAAAACAATCATTACAAAATTTAACTAATTTTTTTATGCTTTCACAATTTATAAGTTCATATCAAATTAACAAAATGTTAAGCTATTACTTCCTTGGAAAATAAACACATTACAAAAATAAGAAAAGTAATTAAAAATAAAATGCATTAATCTAATATTAGTTGAATTTATGAATTAACAAAATCTAGACTATCGAATGAACTGATAAGTGAAATACAAAGCGTAGACAAGAACGAAAAACATGAGTAAGAGAAAAGAAGATGATGGAATAAGATGATGTCAGAGAATACGAAGATGATAAAGATAGAGAGAGGGAGAATGAGGAAGAAGAAAAATCAGAAATAGAATGTAACGAAAATTAGAAAGAAAAATAATAATAGTGAGTTGGAGGATATGAAGACACAAAAAACGATTGAGGAACAAAAATTGGAAGATGAAGAAGAAGCGAAAAAAAGAAGATGATGACAACGAGTAAAAAATGGAAGAAAAAAGAAGAAGATCGGATCACTAGAGAAGAATAAAAGAGATAAAAAACAATTACATAAAAAAAATATAAATAAAATAAAAATAAAAGCAAATCAAGAAATAATTTTTAATGTGAGATTTAGGTGTGCGGTTCAGGGGGAGTTATAATGTGGATTAGGATTTAGGATGTAGGTTCTTTAATTAGGGGGAGGGGGTTTTATTATGTGGGGTTCGTGTTTAGGGTTTAGGGTTTATATTGATGGGTGTAGGGTTTAGTTTTTGATGCATTTTTAAAAAATTGAATTATAATAGAAGTATATCAAAATTAAAAATCACTGATTATAAATTTATATCTATTATTCTAAAATACAGTCATAAATATAAAAAACTAAAACAATAAAAGCAAATCCATAACCAAAAGATAACAACACAAATTAAATAGATTTTTAAAAGATCTCGACTGTATAAATGATAAACTAGAAATAGGTCCTTTTCTCTACTGCAAATTATCAGTGATGAAGATTGTAATATAAAGGATTCGAAATCCAGAGGACCAGCGTTACACTGTGAAACTAGGAGATTTAAAACAGAGCTAAGACAAAGATGATTGGTTTTAGTACAGGTAACGAATGTAAACGATGATGTAATTCAATTAAACAGGGACTAGACCAAGGCAATTCGCAAGATTCACAGTTAACAACCGAACAACTATTCAGGGCACAGATGATGGAACAGGTCTCGAACTCAAACATGAAAATATGTCAATTCACTTTCGCGATAATGATAACTTTATCTAACAACCTAGATGTCTAAACTGTCGTTTGAATCTAGCAGTTGATGACAAGCAATAAACTCAGGTTCGATAAGTTCACGAATCGCCTCAGCATCAACTTTCGCAGGCTAAGGACGATTCGCTCACCACAGTTCGTTCTAACAACCTATAACACTTTTGATGAACAGGTAATCTGAGATCAGAGATCGAATGATCAGATCGATCTAAGCAGTAAGTGCAACAATGGCGAAGACAGTATTAAAGCCCTATCTGTATTCAGTCAAGTTAACATATGAATCCCTTTGAAAAGCCTAGATCTAGCAGGGTGACTACTCAGACATAACGAAACAGCAAACAATACTGAACTGAATGTCATTGAATCAAATAGAAAATAGAAAAACAAGGGTTCAGAAATCTTCTCCAAACTGTGAAAACAGAGGTTTGATCTCTTCTCCCTCGGAAACAATGAACAACAGTGTAAAACTCTGAAAAACGGCGTAGCCTAAACAGTGGCTAAAGATAGGTCTAAATAGTGCAGGGTCGACTTGGTTCAATCCGGTTCGCAGCGGTTCGATCGAGTCGGTTTGCACCAAGTAGATCGAACGGCTGTGATGTCATCTGAGCGGGGTTGATCGGAACGGCTGAGATAGAACGGGATCGATCGAGCTGGCTTGCTCTGCATGGGATCGATCGAGTACGTCGTCGACAATGGGTTCGATCGAGCTCATTCTGCATGTGTTCGATCGAGCTGGCTTCTGCGTATGAGGTCGATCGAACCTCCTCTTGTGCACGGACTCGATCGAGCTTGAATGACTCGATCGAGCACCATTTCGCCTGCTTTCTCCCCTGTTGGTCCATGTGACCAAAGCTCTCCCTGTACGTCTTTAGACCTGAAAAGACTCGATAAAGACTAGAAAGACTCGATAAAACTCGTGAAAACAAGTGTTAGAATGCGTCAAATACGCAAGATATCAATAAAGATAAAAACTATTTCACGAATCCTTGAAAATATAAACTATCGAATGAATTGAGAAGTGAAATATAGAAATAGACAAGAAGGAATAAAAACACGAGTAGAATAAAGAAGACGGAGGATAAGAAGATGAGAAACTTCGAGAAGAAGAAGAAAACTCGAAGAGGAAAAAGAAAACGTGAAGGGAAAAAAGACAAATAAGAGATAAATAAAAACTAGAATAAGATGATAAAGATAGAGATAAGGAGGAATGAGGAAGAAGATAAACCGGAAAAAGAATGTAAAAAAAATTAGAAAGAAGAAGAAAGATAGTAAGTTGGAGGATATGAATACACAAGAAATGATTGAAGAACAAAAATTGGAAAAAAAAAAAAGCAAAAAAAAAGATGTTGACAAAGAATAAAAAACGGAAGAAAAAAGAAAAGATGGGACCACTGAAAAAGAATAAGAGGGAGAAGAAAACAATCATTACAAAATTTAACTAATTTTTTTGTGCTTTCACAATTTATAAGTTATATCAAATTAACAAAATGTTAAGCTATTACTTCCTTGGAAAATAAACACATTACACAAATAAGAAAAGTAATTAAAAATAAAATGCATTAATCTAATATTAGTTGAATTTATGAATTAACAAAATATAGACTATCGAATGAACTGATAAGTGAAATACAAAGCGTAGGCAAGAACCAAAAACACGAGTAAGAGAAAAGAATATGATGGAATAAGATGATGTCAGAGAATACGAAGATGATAAAGATAGAGAGAGGGGGATTAAGAAAAAAGAAGAAGATGGGATCACTAGAGAAGAATAAAAAAGATAAAAAACAATTATATAAAAAAATTATAAATAAAATAAAAATAAAAGCAAATCAAGAACTAATTTGTAATGTGGATTTGGGTTTAGGGTGTAAGCTCTTTAATTGCGGGGAGGGAGGGGGTTTATAATGTGAGGTTTAGGGTTTAGGGTTTATATTGATGGGTGTAGGGTTTAGTTTCTGATGCATTTTTAAAAACTTGAATTATAATAAAGGTATATAAAAATTAAAAATCACTGATTATAAATTTATATCTATCATTCTAAAATACAGTCATAAATAGAAACAAAGTAAAACAATAAAAGCAAATTCATAATCAAAAGATAACAACACAAATTAAATAGATTCTTAATAGATCAAAATGATTGAAGAACAAAAATTGAAAGATGAAGAAGAAGGAGAAAAAAAAGATTATGACAACGAGTAAAAAAATGGAAGAAAAAAGTAGAATAGGGGATCACTAGAGAAGAATAAAAAGGATAAGAAAACAACAATTACAAAAAAAATATTAAAAATAAAATAAAAATAAATTCAAATCTAGAACAAATTTGTAATGTGAGATTTAGGTGTGCGGTTCAAGGGGGAGTTATAATGTGGATTTGGGTTTAGGGTGTAGGTTCTATAATTAGGGGAGGGGGGGGTTATAATGTGGGGTTTGGGTTTAGGGTTTATATTGATGGGTGTAGGGTTTAGTTTCTGATGCATTTTTAAAAAATTTGAATTATAATAGAAGTATTTTAAAATTAAAAATCACTGATTATAAATTTATATCTACCATTTAAAAATACAGTCATCAATAGAAAAAACTAAAACAATAAAAGCAAATCCGTAATCAAAAGATAACAACACAAATTAAGTAGATTGATGAGAAAATTCGAGAAGAAGAAGAAAACAAAGAAGAGGAAAAAAAAATAAGAAAAAAAAATGTGAAGGGAAAGAATACAAATAAGAGATAAATAAAAACTATAATAAGATTATGTTGGAGAAGACGAAGATGATAAAGATAGAGAGAAGGGGGAATGAGGAAGAAGATAAACCGGAAAAAAAAGAATGTAAAGATAATTAGGAAGAAAAAGAAGAATAGTTAGTTGGAGGATATGAAGACACAAGAAAGGATAAAGAAACAAAAATTGGAAAAAGAAGAAGCAAAAAAAAAGAAGATGATGACAACGAATAAAAAATGGAAGAAAACAAAAGATGGGATGAGTGAAAAAAAAATAAGAGGAAGAAGAAAACAATCATTACAAAATTTAACTATTTTTTTGTGGTTTCACAATTTGTAAGTTCATATCAAATTAACAAAATGTTAAGTTATTACTTCCTTGGAAATATGAAAAATAATTAAAAATAAAATGCGTTAATCTAATATTAATTGAAAAAATTGAAATTCTGAAACATCTCTTGCCCGCACAGGCGCGGGCCAATTACCTAGTTGACAATAAACACAAAATACAAAAACGATATTTCCACTTTTATTAAACAAAAACTCCTTTATTTATCTATTTATTTACCCTCATGGGAGACCTTCTTCTCTCGTTGAATAAGAAAACCAAACCGGAAGGCAAAACCAAACCGGGTCAAATTTCTAATTTACTGAGAAGCAAAACCAGGAGAAGGAGATACAGAGAGGTTCTTGGGCTCTTGTTGCGTCCCTTTGAGAAAAGCAGAGTACCAGAGAGCAGAGGTTTTGGGAGATCTTTCACGTTCCGGATCGCTGAAATTCACATAGTATAATCCATATGTGTAATTGATATCGATAACCTCGAACAGATCCATGAACGACCATTGGAAATAGCCTCTTGTCTCTGACCCATTCCTGCATGCGATTGATCGTCGAAAACGATTTTAGTCTTTTTCAAAAAGCACTCTATATTATATAACATACCTCACTGCATTGAGCACAGCAGCGATATAAGCACGAAGGTATTCAACTCTTCCCACGTCGTTAAGCGATGAATCGTGGTTGCTAGGTCGACCTGATTGTGTATATACAGAGAAACTAATCAAGATCCGAAAACATTAAGTAAAGAAACAAGAGAAAAGAGAGACCGTTTTCAAGAATGTAGACCGGAGGATTGCCATAGTTCTGCTTTATGTATTCCAACACTCCTTCAAGACCCCATGGAAGCACATCAAGCTGTGGATATATGACAGGAAACACAAGATTAAGAAATAAATGGGTTTCTGAAATTTGGCAATCTTTGGAAACAGACCTTGGCCAGTGTAGTATTCCCATAGGCTGTCCAAGAAAATGAAATAAGAGAATTAGCTATGGACTCGGAGATGATGATAGATTACGGAAAAACACACACATAAAAAGATCCGAAGGAAAGAAAAGCATACGGATTATCAAGCCACTCATGTCCGAAATATAATCTTCATGGAGAGAACTAGATGAGTGTGCGATGCACGTTGGTGTGTAGTGTATGACTCCCAAGAACTCGGATGAGTCTTTAACAAGACGTGATTCTTCTTCCGTAAAACTTGGCAATCTCTTCCCCACGATTCTCTTCATCACATCAGGATAGTCCCCAAAGAAGAGCGGGTGCAGAACCCTGGAATTCATAGTTCGCCGTTTAAATCAGAGCAGCCGAACAAGAATCTCTAAACAAACACACATTTTCTCCCGGGATGGTAGTGTTAAACAAACCAGCCTAAAAAGAAATCTTTGGCTCTCTGAGTTGCAATCTGATCTTCTTCAGAGCTAGTATTAGGAACCAACCAGAATGCAAAACAGGTCATACCTATATATCCATTCTGCTTATTCTACACCATCAAACGAGAGACTGAGAGGTAAACTTAAGCATTCAAGATATGAGGGATAAATCTCTGTGTATGTGTATGTGTGTGTGTGTGTGTGTAAGCTTACCTTATACTTTGTCTTATACAATCTTGAGGCAGATGCGTGTGCAAGCAACATGTTATGGAGTGAAATATATGGCTCTGTTGAAGAGTTTCCTCTGGAGCAGTTGACCAGGCCAAATGGAGGAGAACAATGTGCAGGAGGTACTATTCCCAGGTCATAACCTGCCAATGCCAGCATATTGGGCTCATTGATTGTCGACCAGAATTTCACTACGTTCCCAAACTCTCTGAAGCAAACGTCTGCAAAAGCAGAGAAGTCATCTCTGCAACACAAGATCATATAAGATATAGCATACACTTCACTTAAGAGAGTTTAAATAAAACAATTGTGGGCTTATACATGATTTTGTGGTCAGTCCATCCTCCGTATTCATCTTCAAGAGCCTGAGGAAGATCATTGTGAGACAACGTAACATGAGGTTCAATTCCTACTCCCCCGTCCATGCCAAAACAGAGAACCAAAACAAAACTCATCTTCTTCCAAGAACAGAGGACATACTCACACCAAATGGCAATGATAGAGAGAAACCATAATCTTACCATGTCTTTTGAGCTCATCTATGAAGCTTTTGTAGAACTGTAAACCCTTTGGATTCACAACACCTCTTCCATCTGAAAAAAAAAACAACCACTTTATAGAAAAAAGTGGAGGCATAGTAACAAATTCGAGCCATAACAAACAAAACGCACTTGGTATAAGGCGTGGCCACGAGATAGAGAATCGAAATGCATCTAAACCCATATCATACATCAGCCTTACATCCTCCTGCAGCGTTATATATGTTCATAGATGATTATATTATCAGATTCTAACTAAGCACCAAACAAATCACAGAGGAACATGAACTGTGAGAAACCTTATACTTATGATATCCATCACATGCTATATCTGCATTAGGTCCACTACCTGCATCGTTAACAAAGACTGTTGGTTAAATAAAAACCCTTCCAACTTTGACGTCAAATTAATTTGGGTAAATTTCAAAACTACTTCTTCTTGAGTGTATATTTTCAAAACTACACATCTATTTATTTTCAAAACTACATTTTTTCATTTAGTAAAAAAACTCTAAACCCAAAATCTAAATCTCAAACCCTAACACATACCCCAAATCTAAACCCTAGTTAGGGATAAATGAACCCGAACTTAGATGTTAAATTTTTAAAAAGTATAATTTTGAAAAATAACACTATAGATGTGTATTTTTAAACATTAGCACCCTAAAAGTTGTATTTCTTAAAAAAAAATCAATTAATTAGATTAAATTTTTAACTCAATTTATTGTTAAAAGAAAAAATAAAATTTAATTCAATCTGCTTACTAGAGTGAACAAGTGTATCATAAATGCTGGGCGTCCTTCCGTCTTCATTAGCAGCTCCTTCCCACTTTCAGAAATCATCGGAAAATTTCAAATCCCAAGTAAGAACAACAGAAGAGATTAGTTCGAATTTTCAAAACCTGAAAAGCAGAAATGGCGGATCCGAAAACGAAACCCTCCGGGAAATCGTTCCTGCTGTAACCATCGCTGCATCTCCCGGAGAAGACCAAACTCGCAAAAATGGTAATCAGGGACAGAATCTGTTCCATCTTCTTCTTATAGCCTCTCGTAATCGCTCAAAATGTCTTGACAGTACACTAAGGGATCCTCCGAAACCTAACTATACGACGGAGAAGACAACAATGATCGGCATCACCGCTAAATTCTATGGTTTGCACCGATGTTTCCATAAATCGGAATCGGAGTTGTTACTCGTGTTTCTTTACTATAATTTTTTTAACAAAAAAACTCACAATTACATCAAGAACAAAAAAAACTCACAGTTCTCAAACAGTTTTATAAGGAAATTATTTGTAGTTAAAACAAGGTTTTCGAAGTCGTACCTTTGCTAATCTCTTTTTGAAGAAAATAGTTCACTAATGGCAAAATATAACAAAAATAGTTATGTGAAAGGTATTTCAAAATGTATCAAAATTAGTAATCTGAGAGAAGAAGTACCTTATTTGTGCAAGATGTGACTACTGTTCTAAACCAAGATTGTACCATCTCTGAATGTATTATTTTCGCATTAGTATTCTTCTAAACCAAAATTAACTTCTTTCTTGATGCTATACAAAAGATACACCTTGAATTTATAAATGATTCATCATTTCAGTAATTGTTTTTGACTTTTTGTTGTAGACTTGTTGTTAAGAATTTTTACTCCAGAGAATCTGAATTAAGCTGAATTAGCCGATTTAAACCCTTTTTTTCTTTAGTTTGAGTTTCTTATTTTCTTTGCGACCAATCTTTCTTTCATGTTATCCTAGTTTTCTTCAAAATTATGTTCATTAGTCCCTTGATGCGAAACCTTTGTGTGGTGGTCATTAACAAGAAGAAGAAGAAAAATGACACTTGTGGGGTGGACTAGAGTACGTGTTTTATATAATGTCGGCAATGTTATGTCTTATATGGCGTTATCTAGTCCCATGCGAAGAAGAAAAATGACCTAGTAGTTCACTAGTTTGTATGCCATGTAAATATACCTGGTCGGTTTATTTTGATTTCACAAAATTTAGGAATCCGAATCTCAAACGTAACGTAGAATACTTTAGCCGACTACTACAAAGCGACTTCTACATTTTGTAACTTTTGGTTTCGATTTTTGTAAAACCGATAACATCTATATGTAAACCGGATTGCCCACTTCCTATACTACATTTTTGTAAAGGTTTTGTAGATTAAAATCCATATTTATTTATTTTAAAGTCTCTTTTAGAAAAACAAAAATAATAAGATACACTTCTGACCAAAAATAAAAAGATACATGCATACTAATAATGGATCTTCTGCAAACCATCATATGATATTTCGAACATACACAATTATATATATTCTCAGTTAAGATGTAAAATCTAAATTACCTCTTCATATGTCTATGCATTATATTTATAACGATCTATTATTTCAGTAACATTCTCTAGGAGGAGTTTGGAACTTAGAGCGATCAGTACAATAGTCATAGTTCATGTACTTTTCCCTCACATGCTCATACATTTTCTGTTCAGATCCGCTTAACCTTTGATACTTGCCTTCATTCCACCAGTAGTTAGAGGACTCACAAGCAGCGACATTGCTCTCTGTCCATCTATGTAACAGCCTGAGAGGCCGGAGATGGGCAATGAAAGGAGAGTACGACCAATTAATCTTGGTCCGGCCGCCATCAGTCGCCCAAGTGTCAATGTTCCGTAGACTGGCCTCTACTTGCATAGGTTTTGATGGATAGCTTACGCCTTTTTCATTTTTGTAGACTCTTACTGGGATGTTATCCACGTAAAACCTATCAATCAATATCATCATACCATAATTTCATTTTTTTATCGTACAGTTATATAGAAATTATGGAAAACAACAAATCTCATTTTTCAAATAAGATGATGTTTTAGTTGAATGTACATATACAAAAGATTGCAAAATGAGTAAGAAATTGTTAGATGTTTTTTTTGGAGTTCCGTTTTTGTTTCAAAATATTGAATTCTTGCATTGAACAAGAATTACCTCTCTTCTCTGTTTCCTTCTCCATTCTCCATTCGGAAACAAATTTGTCTGCAACGTTATTGGTCTTCCATCGTTGTTTCTCAAAAACTCAAAGTCAATCTCATCGTGATTACTCCCAACGAAGTCAACTGTAATCATTCCCATATACATTGACATATTATCAATGAACTTTTATAGTCGTGTATGTACTTATGAATGAGTATAATCAATCACACAAAACGAACATAAAAAGCAGTGACGACGCCGGCAGAATTTCCTCCAGGCACTTTGATTCTCATTTGAAATAAACATGATCCGTAGATGTTCTTTGACTCGAACCCACCTGCCAAAATAGTGTTAGTTTAGTATATATCATTATACACACCATATGATCCTTAAACTCGCTAGTAAGTTTAAATGTTTGGTCTCTTTGAAACTTTTGATATGGGATCCTAACACTAATTATGCTCCTTTTTGATAATTGAGGTAGATCCGAGCCGAAACATGGACTAATCTCTTAGTCATGTAGAAAAACGGGTAATTTTGCCACTAAAATGTCACTAAATGCCAAGATTTTAACCACAATAAGTTTCATAGATGGTGAAACTAACCAAAATAGTGTTAGTTTAGTATATATCATTATACACACCATATGATCCTTAAACTCGCTAGTAAGTTTAAATGTTTGGTCTCTTTGAAACTTTTGATATGGGATCCTAACACTAATTATGCTCCTTTTTGATAATTGAGGTAGATCCGAGCCGAAACATGGACTCATCTCTTAGACATGTAGAAAAACGGGTAATTTTGCCACTAAAATGTCACTAAATGCCAAGATTTTAACCACAACAAGTTTCATAGAGGGTGAAACTTAATTTTTGCCATGGACTCTCTACCATTCGATCAAATTGTTAAGTTACATGGGCTTCCAACTCAAAACCAACTGGCCGTTGCTTTGGTTTTGTGATCCCATGTTTGCCGCGTGTGATCATTGGATGAGTGTCACTGGTGGAGCCGGCGGTGGTGCGGGAGGCACAGGTGAGTCTGGCTGTGGAGACTTAACATGGTATCAGAGCTTGATCTGCATACTCTCACGACCCGGCCCAGAAAGGGCCTGACCCCCCAACCCTAGGATTGATGGTCTGCGAGATTAATGGCTAGAATGGCCATTATCTTCGAGGGAGGGTATTGAGATATGTAGAGGTTAATGGGCCAGAAAGGCATTAATCTCTAGAGAGTGTGCAAATAAAGTCCCACATCGGAAGTGGGAATGGACCTTGAGCGATATATAAGGTACTGAGGCCTCTCCACCTATTGCCAATTGGTTTTAGGTTGGATGTCAAGGAAACTTAACACAAATTACTAAACCACACGCTCTTGATCCTAATAAAGCCTTTTAAATTGTACAAATTAATGTCTTTGTATTTTCTTTGAGGGATGAGAAAAAAAGAAAAAAATAAATAAATAAATAAATAGGGGACTAAACCTGAAGATTGATCCATGGAGAGATCAACTTGTTGACCAGAGTGGAGTGTGGAAACATGGCCCTGACCTCACTTAAAAATATAATTCTGACCGAAAGTAACAACACATTTTTCGATTCCTCTCCCTCCAAGATTCCTAGCATCAACCACTATAATCCATAAGATTCTCATAATCACCTAAGAATTAAGATTATGTTGATTCTCATCATCACCAAAACGCTACTGCAAAAACACCAAAGATTCTCATAATAATCTTGGTTCTATTTTTTGTTTTTGGAGGTATCGTAGTGTTAATGCACATATACAAGCTGGTTTAATAAGTTGGAAAAGTTAAAATTAAGCATGAAAGATATGAAGGAGATTTGAGTCACATCAAATTCTCTATACATCTCCTACACGCTAGTTTTTAAAATCCCCCATGCCCATCACCATTCTCTCTTGCTATTTTTTCAAGATATAGTAATCCATTAATTACTCTCTTCCACAATAGCTTATATGAGAAATTTTTGACTCAATCAAAGAACATATCAAGTAATTGATTTGAGTCCGTGCAAAAAAGTTGATGTAATTAGAATATATTATGAGAAAGGGATTCTTGCACTTCTAACCCACAATTTGAAGTCAATGGCAAAAGTAACCTGCTGTTTTTTTCATTTGGGCTTTACCCAGTTTTGTCCAGATAATAACGAAAATGCCATTACTTTTATCTCTTGTGGTCTACGAATGAGGTCTACGTTGTCGACCAGAAGACCAACAGAACCTCATCCTCTACACTTATTCACGAAACTGCCACTCTCATCAATGAACCCAACCACCATTTTCAACTAACTTCAAGCTTTTAATGCTTGATACTAGTAATTGTGATACTCCAAACATAATTGCACATCCCATAAACTCTAACACTATCATTTTCTCCACATTTTCATCCCAAAAACTCTCTAATTCTACTTTTCCATATTTCAAGTTCTTGATTTTCTCAAAATCGGGTTTGTGGCTTTCCTCACCACCGCCGAACGGTTGTGAAGGCTTAAAGACAAAGTTTCATCCCTCGGCGGCCCTAAAGACGACGGCCAGGTTGTGGTTTACTCCATTTTCGTTTTTTCAGATCTGAGTCGATATCGTAGATCTCAGGGTTAGGTCTATAGGTCAACGCAGAGGTTAGTTTTGCAATTGACTAAGACAAATCTGTGGAGTTAGACCGCGTAGAGAGTTCTACATAATCCCTTTGAAAACAAAAAAAATATCGTAAACCTCAAGCAGAGGTCTATTTTGAAAACAGGTTAGTTTTGCAATTGACCAAGGGAGGGCTTTTTTTTTAGGTCTACAGATGAGGTCTATTGGTCAAAGAGGTTAGTTTTGCAATTGACTGAAGTTCTGGTTTTTACCTTAGACCTCTTAATGTGGTCTATAACAACAAATTTTAAGCTGACGTCTACGTCAGAGGTCTACATAGGTTTTAGATCTCAGTCTTAGGTCTACCTTAAAAAGTTGGTCAACGCAAAATAATAGGAGGTCTACGATAGTGGTCTACAGGTGGAAAAAAATTTCAAACAATTGCAAAAGTAACCTGTCTGAGGTCTACAGATTTCGTAGACCTCCCCGTAGACCGTATAATTTTTCTAGACTACAGGTTGAGGTCTATTTTGTTCGTGAGGTCTACCCAAATTTTTTGGATGAATTGCAAAACTAACCTCTTTTTTTGTAGACCGCATTTGTAGATCTCAAAAAAGTCTTCCCTTGGTCAATTGCAAAACTAACCTTTTTTAGACCTCTTTAGTAGGTTTACGTCTGATCTAGTTTGGAGGTCTACATTTTTTCCGTTTTTTAAAATCGATTTTCTGCGAAAACTAAAATTGTTTTTGTTAATTTTTTTCATAAATACTTCTATTAGCCTAATAACTTGTCCCTATGTGTTGTCAATGGATGTGCATGGAAGTTGAGAGCAGCTGTGAAGAATGAACCGGATTGCTTCTGGGTTACCAAGTACGTAAAGGGTCACACTTGTTCAATTATGGACCGTGTAGCTCACCGTAGACGAGCTACTCCAAGATATATTGGACAATTGTTTGTGGAGCGGACTGGACTCATAGATGGAATTGTCCCTCGACAAATTGCAGATTCGATGAGGATCATGTTTGGCCTGAATCTTACCTATACAACGTCATACCGGGCTCTCAAATTCGCTCAAGTATTTGTCAGGGGAACTCCAGAAGATGGATATGCTAACCTTCCTTCCTACCTTAGAAGACTGAAGCAAGCAAACCCTGGCACTATAACACACCTGCTCTGTGATGAAGAAGATCGCTTCAAGTACTGTTTTGTGGCGTTAGCGGCTTCAACAGCGGGATTTCAGTACTTGAAGAGGGTTATTGTGGTTGATGGAACACACCTTACTGGGAAATACGGAGGCACATTACTCGTGGCATGTGGACAAGATGCAAACTTTCAAGTATTTCCTCTAGCATATGGTGTTGTTGATGCGGAGACTAATGAGTCTTGGGGATGGTTTTTTGATAAATTACAGTCTTGTTTCTCACCACATCCGATGGTCATTGTTTCAGACAGAGCATTGTCCATTGAAAATGCTTGTGTGAATGTGCTTCCATGGGTCACTAGAGGAATATGCTACTACCATCTTCAGCAAAATATTATCAAGACATATGGTGGTAAGGAGCTTATGTATCTGGTTAAAGGAGCTGCTTATGCCCACACTCTAGCTGAATATAATCGGTGCATGGACTCACTAAGAGCTGCGCACCCAGACCTCGCAGCATACATGGAGTTGGCCGACCCTAAGCTTTGGTCTAGAGTACATTTTCCCGGTGATAGGTACAACATCAAGACGAGCAACATTGCTGAATCTATCAACTCGGCTATTAAAAAGGCAAAGGGTTTTCCCATACCCTCTCTACTCCAGTTTATTAGAGAGATGTTAGGGCGGTGGTTCTACAAAAGGCGTGAAGATGCTTTAAGTCTGCAGACACCATACAGCAAGGGAGTTGAGTATATACTGGCCATCCGTGAACATTACGCTCAGTCAATGGATGTTCAGCGGATAGATGCAACTAGTTTCCATGTTGCTTCTGGACGTTCGCACTTCGTAGTTGATCTAGAACAGGGTAAATGTGAGTGTGGAGTGTTCCAAGTCGAGAAAATGCCCTGTACACATGTCCTTGCAGCGCTTGCCTCAGCTGGTGTGCACGTCTCACACCATACATGTGACACATACTCGCAGGAATGCTTGTATGCGACCTACGCCCATCCTATATATCCTGAGGAGGAAATTGACAACCACAAGAAGAAGAGCGAGCGGTGCCGACCTCCAAAACCGAAGGATGGGCCTGGTCGTAAGAAGAAATCAAGATGGCAGTCGTGGCTGGAAATTTCTAGGAAGTCTAAGAAGAAAGGCAAGAGTCGAAGGAAGAAGCCCAAAGTTTACAGCTGCTCCAAATGCAAGCAACCAGGACATACGCGCCCGTATTGTGTAAGCTTCGTGCGTCCCGCATTCCATTAGTTTTCATTACACAACCTCTGTAATTTGTTTGCTCTTCACTAGGTGTCCAAGCCTGCTGAGAAGTAAACTCGGCGGTCTACGAGCGGTCTCCGGGTCTACGAGGCTTTCATGTAGCTTCTCTGGAGGTCTACGAGGCGTTCACGGAACTTCTGGAGGTCTACGAGGCTTTAACGGAACTTCAGTGGAGGTTTACGATGCCTACTAGACGTTATCTCGCGATCTACTTATACATTCGTGGAGGTCTACGAGATGTTCTCTGGCGGTCTATATTGCTTTCGTACTATTTGATCATTATTATTGTTTAATACTAAGTGATGATTTCCTTGTCTCGGGCCCTAATACTAAAGACGGATTTCATTTCATTGCTTACTGCGAGTCCGAATAGATACATCCGAAATAGTTATACAAAATAGTTATACAAAAGGTGAGATCAATGTTGTCAAGAGGGGCCCAAAAAAAATATAAACCCTCCCTTTCACCGTTAGTAGAGGGGCACAATAAAATTAACCCACCCTGAAGCCGTTACTAAAGTTAGATCAGCATCTCCCGTCGAAAGGATCAAGACCGTCCCAGTCACGGATCCTCGGTCCCTTGCAATCGGTCTCCTTGAAAATGTCACAAGCATACCTACTCCGAATTGCCTTGATGTTCTTGTTGCACAGTGAAGAGGCTGAAAAAGCGTTTCCAGTTGCGTGACACTCGATGTATTTCAGACAGTAGACACCGCAATCCCCGGGACCCTTTTGCTCCGGCACACCAGCAATACGTTCGTGAGTAAATTTATCGAACGGATAGTTGTCACGTTCTTCCACCAGTGCCATCTCGCGTAACATGTACGCCATCATCACAGCCACGGGTTCCACCTCCGTCGCCAGTTCTTCATCGTCCATACGGCAGGGATAACTATCCCAGATCGTGATGTGCCTCTTCGGTAAGGAGATGAATAGAGCAACCCAGTGGTTCTTCCCAATGTTAAACGGGAGATATAGGTCGTCAATGTCCCTGCACCATCGTTTATTCGTCTGGCAGAATTCTGGTTTCGTGCCTTGGAAGTAGTCAAGTGAGTCAGGTGGGAGGTACTTCCCAAGTCCAAAGACATTAGGCTCAGACTTCTTGAAATCGTCATACTTTGCCGTCCAAAACAGACTAAGACCACTATCGATGAGACAAAGCCTGTCACTTCTAAAGCTGTGCGGTTGTTCTTTCATTCTGAGCCGCAGCAGATTGATGACCGCGTCCATGTGCTGATGAAAAGAAAAAGATTGAATATTGCATTACAATTACACTAAACCTCAATATGCGGTCTACAAAAGAGAATTATGACAGAGGTCTACTCATGAGGTCTAAACATAGACCTCTCTAAATGGTGTACTAATGCTTACCGAGTCCGATAGCCATTGCGGCTGCGTAATGAGTTCCCACCACCAATACCACACGGGAAACTTATCCTTGTCAAGCTTTGGATACCCACTAAAGCAAAAGTGTGTAATTAGTATACTAATCACAATAATCGGAATTATAAAGAAGTTTTCCAGAGGGTTACTTACGCTGTAGACTTCAGGAACGCCGTTAGTTCCTTCCGAACATTCTTGTCTTCGGGCAGATACGGATTGTAGACCGCTAAGCGCTGCTTCTTGTTACGTATGAGCTCCTTAACCGTAACGTTTCCCACGAACGGAGACTTTTGAGATGGGGCCAGTTTCCTTTCCCTCTGATCCTTAGCCCTGATACCATTAGTTTCGCGTTGAACTTTCGCTGATTCTTCCTGATGTCTGCTAGGCATTCTTCTTTGCTTGGCACATAGGTCTTAACATATGCGACGCTGCTGTCGTCCCGGTTAGCACTGTTTGATGGACCGGCGTTTTGGTTCTGCATTTGAGGACAATTTGAGTTTGAAAAACAATTCAGACCACAACAAATAGGCACAAACACTCTCGGAACATTTATTGTAAGTCAAGTAAACAGGTTCATTAAAATTACACACATGATTTGCAAGGAAAGAAAAACGTGACAAGTTTATGTTTATAGATTGAAAAAAACAACGGATTGGGCTCTACTTGGTCTTCAATTTTCTAGGTCGAAGGACCCTATCCTGGTCAGGCTTAAGTTGCACTTTACGCTTAACTTGCACTTTACGCTTATCTTGCACTTTAGAAGAGTTGGGAGATTTGGGAGAGGGATCAGTACTAACCGGTTGAGCAGTTTTAGCTTCTTTGGCGCCGGTCACATCTTCTTTGGCGCCGGTCTCATCTTCTTTGGCGCCGGTTTCATCTTTTTTGGGAGAGGGATCGTCGGATCTACGCTGCTCCTGAAGCCTTACATCCATCAGCTGCTTCACACTACGCTCCAGACCAGCAACTGTCGAGGTAAGTGCAGCTAGTTGCCGGTCATACTTCTGGAACCCTGCCTTCAGATCAGCAGACAAGGTCCGGGTGCAGTCAGAAATCAACCTCTGCATCGTCTCCTCGATATCATCATAGTTCGATGGAGGAGTAGGACGAGGTCTCTTCTTCGAATCTGTGAAACTAGCCTCCACTTTTATTGGAGGCTTCACGTCCACTCGCGGGTGATTGGAGACCAAGACACCTTCCTCGTCCCAGTCGCTTGGCTTCCACCTCCACCGACCACCTAACTCCCCGTAGATTGCCTTGATGATGTTGTCGACGTACAAATCTTCTACATCATCATCCCAGCGTGGATAAACTTCTTCCCTATCGACTAGCTCACAGTTTTTAAAAACAACCTGCAAAAACAAAACAAAATGAGTCCAGGTCTATCTACTAACTACTACTTGCCAGCAATTACTCGATTCTCAGATTTATGTTTACCTGCTTCAGCATTGCCTCCGCGATGTACCTTTTGCCTTGAATACCCTTGTACGCAAGGAGCGGTGGTGATGGTTTAGATGGCAGAGGAGCACCGTATTTCTCTGCAAAATTCGGCATGCTCTCAAAAGCCCAAATTTGGAGAACCTCGATGAAACCCTCCAGCACATAACCCGACTTCTCCAAATCCACTCCTTTAATGGACTTGATGAGCTGCAAGAAACAAACTCGGCCCCACGGGTATTCCTCAAACTTCTCCAAATCCAACACAAGCCTAGCTAGCTTGACAGGTGTCTCGGCAGCGGATCTACGGGCTGAATGAAGCCTGCGTATATGGCTAGGTAGCCCAATCTAAGCTTATCCTCCCTTGGCCACTCGCCTGCCCACTCACAAGCTTCAGCCAGCTGGTCAATGCTAGGCCCTACCTCGACGTTGACACCCAACCTCTCCCAGAACTCGCACACGGCATCCGTTGCTGGAGCATCAGGTGTCTCTAGGTTCTCAACATACTCGCAGTTGAGGCCGGTGATGGCTGAGAACTCGTGCAATGAGAATCTTATCGGATTTGCCCCCACAGCGCTCCATATCTCATACTTCTTCTTGCATACAACCTGGAAACAGAGCATGGCATGCGCAATCCGTGAAGCCCACTCGAATTGAAGGTCACGGAACTTTAGGAAGATACCAATCCTGGAGTCACTGATTTCATTCCATTCGTCGTCGGTGAGGAGCTTTCGGAGACTATCGAAGAGCTTGGTGTTCTTGCTACACCTGGAAATGCTTTTCCCTGCGTCCGGATCGCCTCCTTTGGTGTAGAATCTCCTGGGGAATGTCGGCTTTGACATCCTACAAAAAGAGTAGAAGCTATTAAGTCCAATCAGTTGAGGTCTACCAAGGAGGTCTAAGCTCGAGGTCTACATTTACTTATCAACTACAGTCTAAGTATGATGGCTATGACTGAGGGCTATCACTGAGGGCTACGACAGCGGTCTACAATACAACATTAAAAAACGGTTTTAAGATACCTGTTGTTCGCGAAATCCCAACGCCTAACGCCAACGAAGATCTGGAAACCTGATACAGTTTTTTAAACAGAAGGAGTATTACCATATCGAGTTTCGTAATAATAGCAATTTTTCAATCAAAATTACCCGTGAAATCAATGTCGGAAACGAGACTTACGGGGTGAAGTATTAAGGATTAGACCGCGGCGGAGTAAGGAGTAAGGATTACGGATTAAACCACCACATGCAAAGGCCAAAGAACTCTCAGTGGGAAATAAACTTAAAGTAGTTAGAATTTCACTAGAATGAAGAACTTACCGGCGGCAGCGGGTTCTGTAAGCGGCGGAGACAGCGGGTTGTGTAATCGGCGGAGACAGCGGGTTGTGTAATCGGCGGAGACGGCGGTTGTGTATTCGGCGGAGACAACGAAATCGCCTCTAGCGGAGAGCGAAAGGTCAGACACAGATTAGGGTTACGAATGAGGCTTACCACAGCGGTTTTCCGTATATATATGTCGGTTAAATGGTTTAACTTGGTTTTCTTCGGTTCGAATTAACTGAATCGGTTTAACTATACTCGACTAATTTTTCCATTCGATTTGGGTTTATCTTTTCTGATTTCTTAGTGTTTACGGTTAAATTACGGTTTCCTCTTTTCATATAACTTTATTCCCAACTTTATAGTCCTAACGGTTAAATTAGTGTTTAGAGGTCTCAATCACAGTGTATACGTTTGAGGTCTACGTTTGAGGTCTACGTCTGAGGTTTACGTATGAGGTCTATTTGGAGTTCTACGTAAGAGGTCTCTGATTAGGAATACGATGATTTGCAATACGCACAACCAAATTAAGTGTTTCAACCGAATAGCTACATTCATCAACCAAACACAACATAGCTACATTCAACAACCAAACACAAAGTAGCTAATGAGACAGACAAGCACGGCAATTACAGTAACCGCCGTCGTCACCTCGACTCTTCTTAAACGCTTCATCTTCAGAACTTGGTTCTTCACATCAGTTAACTCTGCCTCAGTCCGAAGCAAGGTTTCGCGTTCTTCAGATTCAGGTTGGCGAAAGCCAAAACGAGGGTTGTCGACGGCCCATTTGAGTTGTAGAAACTCCTCCATCATAGCCTCGTCCCACCATTTCATAAGATGTGGGAAACCAAGCTACAATGATGAAAAAACGAATCTCTTCAATATTTTTGGTAAAACAAAGCCACATAAGATGTCGAAAACTATTTACAGTTAACATTACCTTATAATTCTTGCATCCAAAAAACATCCGCCCTGGATGCTCGTCCGTATGGTCCATCATTTTCAGCGGAGTTAACAAACCGCAGTAGCATCTGCTCGGTATTCCATAGCTTATATCTCGACTGGTATGAGAACTCACATCTTCTTCGTCCTTACTGACTACCCTAGCAGAGCTTCGAGTAGCCAGCTGGTCAGAGCTACTCGAACCCTCCGTTAACCAGCTAAAGCGCCCCATTCCTGTGTACGATGAGAAGATATCAGTTATTTTAAAAAACAGTAATTATTCAATGACCAGATCTCACCCACAAAATGAAATAGAAGCAAACCTAACCAATACGATCGCCGGAACACTTGATACTGTCGACGGCGGCAAAGAAGACGGATGAGAACAGCGGCCGGAGGATGAGCGGCGGAAGGATGAGCGGCGGGCCAAATAATTTATTTCTAGAAAATTAAAATTAGGGTTTACATCTCTATTTATACACCCGAGGGAGCTGCGGTCTAGTACTGCGGTCTAAGATATTTGAAATTTTGGTTCGCGCTCATAATTCCCGCTCGGTTCTTTTAAAATTTTGAAATTCCCGCATTTGTTTGTTTTCGCGGTCTACAACTGAGGTCTACATAACCCTAAACCACAAATTTTATAAAAAACATGAACCAAATATCAAATTTTGTTTGCCATTTACAATATTTATGGTTTGGATAACAAAACAATTAAATATAGACAAAAAAACCAACCAAAAACAAAAATACAAATTGAAACTATCTAAACCCTAAGAATTGGACAACTAAACCCTAAACTATCTATCCAAACTCTTATCAATTTGAAACATTTACTCATGACATTTATAGACTGATTCATTTTTCGTATAATTTATTTTCAATAGATGTCAAATGTATAAGAATTAATTATGCATACAAGTTTTTTATCAAATTATTTTTTATCAATTTTAAAAATTATTTTTAAGATTTCATTTTCCTGTAGACCTCGTTGTTAGACCTCTCACGGTTTTGCAAGTTTCTAACCTAATTTGTTTTTGTCAACCTAAATTCACTTATTAACATGTATGTTTATTTTATATGGACTCTAATTGTCTTTGTCTTGTTTATGAATACAAATTTTTCATCTAAATATTTTCTATTTATTTTATAAATTAAAAGTTTCATTTAATTAAACCGTAGACCTCATCCGTAGACCTCTTACGTTTTTACAGCTTTCCAAACTAATTTGCCTATGTTAGTTTAATTTGACTCATTTGTATGCAATTATAATTTTCCAAGATGCAAATTACTATTTATGATTTATGTATGCAAATGGTTTCATCAAAATGTTTTTTTTGTTTTTCCCAATTAAAATATAAAATTAAAATACAAGGTAGACCGACTATAAAAGTCTATATGTAGACAGCAAGCGTAGACCTACGCTCCGGGTTAATTTGGTAATCGCGGCAAATTTTTTTTGTTTGTTCATGAGGGTGACCTTTGTAATTTCGCTACCCAAACAGGTTAGTTTTGCAATACTTTCAAGTTTCGGGTTATGGTTATAGAAAAAAAGCAAATTTCGGGTTATATGTGGAAATTCTCCTTATGAGAAACGTTATATTAAATGTACTAAGCAAGATTTGGTGTTCTCTTTTTGGTACTGATTTGATGAAAAATTCAAAATTGATCTTGTTTAAGACTCGGTGACTTTAAACTGTCTTAGACTCGGTCACATTTGCACACAATGTTAAAATGGGTTCACATCTTGTCGTTGTGAAGGATATACTTTACTGTCCTGTCGAAATATTTTAGTAAAACTAAGTCGAGCAATAAGCTGAGACACGAAAAAGTTCAAGAAAACAAAAAGTGTAATAAGTTAGATCTCTCGAGTTTACATATCTATATGCTCGTCTCTTCTATATTAACCACCAACGGAGTAAATTGGTAACATCCCGGCGAATATTGTGCCAGGGCACCAAACTATATCCGTAGGGTTTCCGAACATGGAAATTTTAGAAACTAAGCTGGCAACTGGAGCTTTTTGTTGTTCTTCCAGCTGCAAACATAAAACCGAAAAATGGCAGAATTACAAGTTAAGAAAGATATAAGTGAGGTCAGGAACAAGAGGGGGGGAAGATGAAGTCATTGTTTAACCTTAGGAAATAATATTAATAGTAGAAGAAGTCGGCACAGAGCAATGTCTGGACAAGCCCCGCGATCCATGCTGCATTGTAGTTATTCAACTAAATTGTCAGATTCATAAAGAATAATCAATGGCGGAACGTATCTTGCTCCCTGTTGTAAGTCTTGTGGACGGCCTTGTGAGATGTACATGTACCAAATGATCATTTGGTACATGTGTTGATAACGTGTTATAGAAAGAGAGATGAATAGAGAAGGAATTCATGATATATTATTCTAATAGAAAGAGAACTTTTAAAGTGTACAAGTGTATGGTTTTCCTTATAAGAAGTACACTTGGTGGACATGTAAACATATTCTAGAAAATAGGTCTGATAATAAACATCTATATAAAACCTTTATACGGTTTATAGGTTGTTTTATTATATATTTTTTGGAATAAAATATTTTTTTCTGATCTTAGCTTCCAGAATAAAGTTTACAGGTTCTAGTAAGGAACCCATTAGAAAGCCCACATTATTTATAAAAGTAACGGGGTTCGTAGTTGTGTTAAGGTGTTTAGTGGTTGAAAACATTGATTTATAAATAGAATCAGAATCACTTAAAGCTTGACCACGCTGATTATTATAGACTTCGGTTCGGTCTGTTTATTAACGGTGAAAAACTGAAAATGTTGCCGCTTCATGAAGGTGTTATAAACATCTCTCTCTTTCTATAACATGTACCAAATGATCGAAAAGGAACTTCCTAAGAACACCAGCTTCATGAAGGTGTTATAAACAGACATGAAACTCGCGAAAATATCCAAATAGCGTGTAGCAAAGACGATGGCATAGAGTTCTTGAATCTTCAACGAGACCCCTGCAAAATAACCAAACGCCATTTGAAATTCTCAATAGAGATATTTAGCAGCCAGCATATGAAAACTAAGCACATGAAATTTCCTTTTTGTAACCCAAATCAACTAATCGATATTCAAAATCATCGATGTTCTAACCTTTTCCAAAAAGACGTCTTGAAACATATGAAACTTTTGCTGGTAGATAAACGTCTTCAAGTAGTATCATCATTTATTCATTGCTGTTTTAGATGTTGTCTTTATGTTGTTTTTTAGTCGTTTTATTTGTGATTTTTTTTTAATCATTATCATGTTATCTTAATCAGTTTTTAATTTATGTGGTTTTATTTTTGTAAACATGTAATAACTGTCGGAAAAAAGGATATATCAAGCGAAACTGCTTAAATGAAACAACTATAATTCCCCGGAAGAAGCCTCGAGGTCGTCCTTAAAAAATTCAGTCGAGTAAAGAACCATCGGCGGAAACGACACCTGCACTTCAAAGCCAGCCAACACCCGGATTTCAAGGTCAACCGAGTGTTCCTATTTTATTCATGGTATTTTTCATATTTTAGTAACAAGAGACGACTATGTATTTCTCGGTCGAAGCATTCGAGACATAACCTTTATCACATTTCAGAGAGCACAGACAAAACAAGTTGAACACTAGACTACGAAAAACATATATAATGATTTATTTGCAATTTACATTGTGACAAGTTTCTAGAAAGTTGTCTTATTTATAAGGTTACTCTTGTTCTTATTGACTTCTTCTATGTCACTTGAGAGCATTTTTAATAGTTCATGCTATATTTTATTACAAATAACAAAAACATTGCAATATAATTGGATTTCTCTCTCCAATGGTTCATACTGTATTTTCCTTTTCAACTTGTTAAAACTATAAGATTTCTTCCAATTTTACAAACTGAATCATCTATTAGAAAAAAAAAACCCTCCATACACAATTATCATATTTTTTAAAAAAAAATTATTATCATTGCTCTTTGTTGTTTAAACTATTGTTTTATGTTTTAAATTTTAATATTATTAAAAATAATCTTTAAGTTTATTATGGTTATGTTATTATATTTTCTATTAGATCAATATATTTTATATATTAATAGAGTTATGAGTATTTTAATATATTTAAATAAATCATAATCAATATAATTAAACGGTTAAATTAAATTAAAAGTATTTATAAATTGAATGACTATTTTATAAACAAAACAAATCAATGGCAAAATAGCATATTGTATAATCTTATACCAAATTTGGAAGCAAATATAAAATTTTATTATTTTGCAATAAAAAAATACAATATTATTGAAATAAATGTTATTGCAAAATAGCATAAAGTAACAAATTTGACATAGGGCTGGAAATGGTTTGGACGCTCTTTGAAATGCAAAATTTTCTTAAATGCTATTTTATTCTCACTGATTGATGACTAATATTACTGTGTAAACCGTACTGAATACCCAATAAAATTCGGTTTTAAAAAAAGTCATACGATAAAAAGAAAACAAATATAGCTAGTATTATTATATTGAACTCGTCCGAAAAAGTAAAACTAATTATAAATGAACCGCACGAAAATGAAAAATCAGAACTAGGAGGATAAAAAACCAAATGTCACATTCATTTAACTGGTCCTTGACATGGATTGCTCTATTCCCAGGTTCACGAATATCTATCTTTCCTTACTTTTCTTTATATAAAAAGAGACCTACATATTTTTATACTTCCTTTTAAAAATAACAATTTTAAGCTATGAACTAGAGTTTTTAGACATACAAAACAAAACGTTCACTGAAGTTTATTTAAATGTGATTAAGGTGTTGATTGGTTCACCCGCTGCCACCCGCAAACGCAGCGTTTGCGGGTAGTAGCGGTTATTGGCGTTTGATAACAATCACCACAAACGCTTTATACCACTTCAAACCGCTCAAGATCCTCAACATCTCAAAATCAAAAGCTCCTTCCCAAGCGTTTGCGGTTGCGGGCGGTTGCGGGTGGATAATTAAAAAAAAAAAAAAAACACAAACTTATATAAAATCCGAAAATAAATAATAATATTTATTAAAAAATAAGATTTGGATAATAAAATCACAATATAAATAAAAAATTAGTACTTTTAGTCAATATTCATCATATAATACTTATATATTTATAAGTTCTACAAATCAAAATTCTCTTGATAAATATTCTTTTCATACTAATACATATATATCTAATAAATAAAATTGTAATATAAATTTAATTTTCAC